CCTGAGGACATATTCTTGTCAGTGTCGAGGAGCGTTCGAGCACTCACGGAGGATTTACTGTACTCCCGAATGTAGATACAGTCAAAACGAAACTTTTACCAACGGGTCAGAGATGCAGCGAACTAAAAAATCGGGTCACGTAAAGATAAATCGCAGTGTGTACCCCATTCTGCTTTCTTTCTGTCTTCTTCGCAATCGAACACACAGCACACGCGACACCGACGCGATCGTCGTCGAGTCACACCCCTGTGTACACATTTTATGAAGAATAACACAGAAGGAAAATTTCGATTGGACACTTTGACACATCGGGGGTTGGAAATTTACTTTCGGATTTTTTCTTCGTACTTAGGACATTCTAGATAGAAAAGTCGTAAAGGTCTATATTTCTACAGAACGAAATAATACTTGAGCGGTTTGAGGTGATAAAAAAAGGCCATCGTCGGCACGAAGGCCGAAAAAAGAAAAGGTCGATCGACGCGCTATGGAAGTGGCGGTTCCGTGCATAGGAGCAACCACACGGCTAGTCGCACCCGGCGTATACACACACGAAGCTCTACGTCACGTCCGCATTTACGTTAATCTGCTGTCGGCCGACTTGGTTACCTCCGTCATTTACTTGGGACAACGGGTTCCACCCGTGCGTCGCGTCGGTTTGTCGCTGAATGTCCTGCTGCTGGTCACGAGTAGTAATTGGTGATACAGTATCGATAGTTTTGAAAATCTATACACTTTTCTATTCAAATATCGAGTTTCGAATATCGACACACTTTTCTATTCAAATATCGATATTTCGTATCGCTACAGTATCGATAGTTTCGAATATCGACAACCTTTTCTATTCAATTATCGATATGTCGTATCGATATTTAATGTGATGATATATTCCAGTATCGATACTTCATCCGTAAATATCGAAATTTCGATACGATCGCTGCAACGCAGCCTGTGTTATACAGAGGTCGTAAGGAAAATGGACCGATCGCAAGCTTCCATACAAAGTTTGCGATTAGTCCATTTCTTTTCCACGCTGTTACCTGAGAAATCGTCTTAGTAAATATCTGTTTAAATAAATGATTTATCTTCATTTTTGAATTATATTCTTATTTAATTACAAGTATCGATACCGATAATATCGATATTTTATAGGGGTTAGTTTTTACTGGCTATCAATACGTATCGATACCAAATATCGATACAATTCAAATGCATCACCATCGCTAGTCACGAGCCGGGATTTCTCTGAAATTCGCGTATATACCGACGGGACCGTGTGTAAGTATGTATATTAGGAACAGGAAACCCGAGACGTCTAGAACTCTGAAAAGTGAACACGAGGACACGGATGCTCTTCGAATAGTGTAATCGCTCTTTCTTCCATTTTTTTTTTCTTTTATTCTGCCGACGTATCTACGAACCTCCAGATGCCCTCCGACCGATAAGCGACATGTTCAACCGCGCATTTCTTACTAATTGACCGTTGATTGAAGTCAAGTTCCCGCGATAAATCATTGAATATTTCGGTATTGAAAGGAAGAAAGAAAAAGAGAGAGCAGAGAATTCGAACAATCTTGTTGAGCCTAATTTTATCCCTATATAAAACGAAAAGTTTCCTGTGTTATAAATACACGCACACTGGAGTGATTCATCGCGGCCGTCACGCCAACGAATGAAAAAAAAAAAATTAACAACGTTGCATTCACGGAACCGGTAATTATGAGTGCTCTCGACATACACAACATTGTTACGTGTAATTACACGAACGTGAGAGTAAAAAGACTAAAGACTGGCACAGTTTGGGAATCCGATAACGGTACGGGATTTAAATGTTAATTAATCGGCCGATAGCTGGACAACACGATAAACTTGAACTTCTGAACGGTAATTACGATATCTAGAAAAACTAGTTTCTTCCCTTGTAAAAAAGGAAAGTCGGTCTTTCCGGAAGTTGCTTGAATGATGAAATGAATTTTACCGGCAAGTCGCGGTTTTACCGAACTTGATGTAACAAATAACCACGGAGCAAGAGGAATATGTATAAAAATTTTGGAAATTGGTCCTTAATGAAATTTTCTTATTGATCATAGATTCAGTGCCAACTGACATTCTACGAACCTATACCATGTTAATAAATACAAACGTTGAATTTTTAATTATCGTTAAAAGTTTCGTGCCAATTTGTGTTTTACGAATTTTTGTTCGAAATAATTTATGAAAGTTACCAGCATCCAGTGGAAGTTGAAAAATAACTGAATACAGTTCGATGCCCATACATATTTCCATGTAGCTATAAAAGTTTTTCTGATACAATACCGTTTCCCTGTACTGCATAAAACTGCGGGTACGATAATCAGAGCAGAAAAGTTAAAAACATCCCGCTGGATAATTTTAGACGAGAGTACTGCGACATTCCCTGGGGACTGTACATTGTTTCCTGCTACAAAAACACATGAAATAATCTGGCTAATATGCAAATCTAAATTAATACGTACGTAAAAAATAACTCGATATTGCGACACAAATTCTGCGTTGAATCCTCTTTGTGTTCAAATATGCCGCCTTTAAGCTCGAATGTAAATAAGGATTCGAGGTATTCGACATACATACATAATCCCTGGCATGTAAATACGATTGAACGTCACAATGTAACCTTTTAAAAGCTGTTTTCCCCGTTTCTAGCCAAGGCCCTAAATCCCGCTGTGCGTAGAATGTATTAATATTAAGCATATGGACGAGTAAACACCACCAACGGTTTACGATAAGTCCTCCCAGTGTCGTGATGCACAGTCAAAAATAATAGTACATATAACGAACGTGAGATAAGGACTGAAATAACAAATAACTTCAAATATTGGGCTCGGCAGCTTGACATAAAGCGAGAATCTTATCGCTTCTAGGGAAATCTTCGTCCGTAACGTTGCCGACACTGTGCAAAACAACTACACTGGGTGGGCTACGTTCCTTGACAATTAAAAAATTCAAATTCCATTGTCGTTAATTTTGCTGGTACGAACAACGATACAGAATTATTTTGCTGTCTAGTTGTTCGCCATTATATTTCAAATAAGAGACTAATGAGCAAAGCTAAAAATGTATTACATGCACAGGTTTTTTCTTCCACGTATTGCACGCAATTGTACTTTCATGACCGGAAGTAGTTCCGGGGGCACAGGATCGGGACAGCCAGATGTCACCGAAAACGCGATCCGGAAGAAACGATCGCGGTCACGACACTAATTTATTAATTTATGCCGAAGAGACGCGCACACGCCCAAGCCCGGCAACGGTGACGTAACTGTAAACACACAACACACTACGAGAAACGAAGGAAATTGCTTGATCGAAGAAAGCTTTATTAAACGATCCTCGCCCCCCATTCTTCTTCCTATGCTAATAATATCACACATTCAACGATTTAACGTGTTTTACTAACGTCCCTTGTTATATAGACTTCCCTCGCACAGTGTACACCTGAATTCTAATTTTCTATTTATCTAGTACCGTGATAGAGAACGATTAGTCTATCGAACACCATCGTTTTAACGTTCCATATTTCTATAATGGCGAACGTCAAAATGCCGCAGAATGATCTATAAATAAAGGCTTTTTCATCGTAATACACGATGGGTGAAGAACTAATAACGCTTCTATGCATTGATAAAGTAACGGTTTTAACGGATACTATACGCTCTATGTACCAGTTTATGACAGTTCACGAGCCATCCAAAGGTTTTCAATAATGACTCAGCAGCGAATTCGGTACCGTGACGAGGATCGCTTGCACCGATCAACCTATGGCAATTTAGAACGTCACCAATTAATGAACTGCGCAGCGTTTAAATTGTTATTTACAATAACGACATTATTAGGGTAATAGGTACAAACACGTAACTTTAGCGTATGGAATAGAAGGCAAGGTACAGCAACAGATACGCTGTTATTAAATCTAACCTTGTAATTGAAACCAACTGAAATTAATTAACACAGCGTATAGGTGTGCAGTAGCCCTTGACAAACATCGTACCTGGCGTCAGATAAATATAAATAAAGATTATCCTACGCCTGTGGAGCGCGGATATTTTTGTAAATACTGTGCCTAGTGACATTGTGACCGTCTAAAAAAAAACTGATGCACTCAAGACATTGTATCAATCAAAATAAACGACCCGCAATCGATTAGATTGTTTCTTGCAATACTGTTCCCGAGAAGCAAGTTATCAACGTGAGAACACAGTGAAATTCTAAGAGGTAAGGTACGGTTATATCAATAAGCGATGATGTCCATAAATCATAAGATACGTGATCTTCACTGAATTCCTTTTTACCGCGTTGTATTTGCAGAGAATTTTCAGGTCAACGATAAAAGAAACGCCCGGTGTACAGTTTGTAGCTACGATCGTCACAATGCCTGACAGGTTTGCAGTGGGGAAACGGAATTAGGTCACAACAGATAGGGCGTCCTGACAGGTGAACAAAACCATTCATGGAACACCATGTAGCGGAAATTAAAGCGCTATAAATGACTGCGTAGCCGTGCCATCGGTGTTTGCGTTCACGATCTTATTCCGGAAGAAAATTCGGATGATCGAACGAAACGCGTGCGAAGCGGACGTGCCGATGGTTACGCAAAGAAATTACGATCGTCGGCGAGGTAATACGAAAAAGGTCAGTTTATTTGATCGTACAGTGGGCAGGTTCGTCGCTATATAGAATCGATGCCGCGTTGGGTAGGTGGCAACTGTTCAGACGTAACGACTGACTGATAAATGACAAACGGTGCCGTTCGATCGTTCGAATACGAACATCGTTCGGTCGCTGTCATACAAGCACACACAAATGGAAACTACGTGACGATTCAAAGCGGAGAGAGAAATCGGGGAAGCTAAAGGCGGCACACGCCATTTTTATCTCCCGAGTCTCACCCGTCACGAGACAGCCGAACGGAAAACGTAAGAACGATCACGTTTTCGAAATGAAACTGAACGAGACCTTCCACTTACCTTCTCGTGAGGATTCCCCGCGACACCGTTTTATCCCAGTACTCGCATAAAAACCCGTTCAAGTACACCAAAAACCACCGATAACGATCCACACGAACCCATCCACTCAGCCGACCGGCGCGCAACTGACTGAGCGCATACGGCGTCGACCTACGCCAGCGTAGCTAGTCCCAGTCGTTGCCCACCAATAGAAAACACGCGTGACATTATGAATACCTGCAACGCAACCCACGGTTGGTATGATATTTTCAATTCAAGTATTTAAAAAAAAACGCTTCACTCCCGATACATTATTTACAAAAGGTGTCAGTGAACTGATGGTACACTCAAATACGTAGACCCTACGTCAGAAAAACTTAGAAATGTCGATTAACATGCTGCTTCTCGAAAAACTGAAATATGACAATAATTCATCGAGCATGCTTATCAATACAGCTGATTATTATACTTTGGATTGTTTCATTTACATATAGGGGATAGAACTGAGTAAAATAGAATTGTAATAAGGATTAAGACAGATTTTTTCAGAGTTCGATCGATAATAGGAAAGTTTTAAACTGAAATGTAAATTTGTCATTAGAAATTATTATAAATCAGTTTATTAAATGGTAATTTGCATAAATTTCCGTAGTCTAGCCGTTATGTTTTAGATTCTTAAGAAAACTTGAATGCAGATTGATGCTACGAATTACGTGCATACTTTATTGGTCTTTTTAGAAGTATATAACATAGTTACCTCTCACGCATTAGACACATAGGACATTAATAAGAATAGAGATAGGTAATGAATTTTATAAAAAATTTATTTAAAAACATAGTGTATACTTGTCAGCTAGAATTTACTATTTAAGAAGCAGTATTCGTATGCAACATCTTAATGCGTACATATATACAATAGTTTAATCATTATTGATAGTAAGAACAGTTTAATATGCGAATCAAGAAAACTTGAATCAAAGAAATCAATTCGTTCCATTTAGAAATTTAAATAAAATGATTGTATTACTTTTGTATCACTAGTGTACCTGCCTTACGACAGCCGGCGTAGGAATACAAGATATGACATCACTAGTCCCGTTTACCCATATTCTGGACCGGGCACGCCCCAACCTCCCTGTTACACATTATTGCGAAAACAAAAAATCAACTAAATTACATCGAAACAATGCACATACCTTACATGCTCTAAAATGAGAATAAGCATGGATAACAAATCGATATACAAAATAATAGAAAAGACGCATGCACCGACGCGTATTATAGTCTTCTTTACTATAGTATCAACTGACGTTAGGAAAATGTCTTTATTGCACGCATTTTTTTTTAATTTTAGGACACATTTTTTTTATTATAATTTGGTTTGAAATTTATAAACTATATTACAAATAATAATTTAAAAAGAATATATGTATGTACATACTCGCGTGCGTATTAAATGAAACACCGTTCAAAGCATCTCTCGCTATTTTCCTTTAAAATCTTCTATTTTCATCTGAAAAATATGAAAGTCCAAATGACATGTTTAACTGCATAATAAGGTTAAATACAAGCTTAAATATAGATCACAGTGAAACGAAGGCGAATGGAAAATGTGTACATTTATATACATAACATAAGAAATACATCGCAGTGCACATTTTACAATGTTTAATATAAATAAATTTAATTTATTGCTCTCTCCCTCTCTATCCTTTACGATCTTGACACGAGTAATGTACAATGTCGCCGTTCGGATACCTGGCGAACGCACTGTAAAAAATAATTTGTATTATTCATTTAATTTCAACATAAAGATCCCTAAATACAAAAGCATAAGTATGAACCTCTCATTCATAAATCTCTTCTTGCATACTGGGCATATGTTAAATTCTGTCATAAGGACGCTCTGCGACTCATAATGCATACGTTGTTCTTGCACTTGCAAATGTTCAGCATAAAGCAAACCCTTCAAAACCTGTATCCGTCTCCTAGTGTTCAATTTCTCCTGCAAACTGACTTCCAAGAAGTGCTTTATTCTACCTATAGGAACTGTATCGGGCAGGACTTCTAAAGCTTTCAACGGATTTATTTTTGCCGCATGTTTTTCGAGTAACTTAAGTGCCATTTCCAAATCCGGTTGCGCTGTTCGTTGAATCTCTGGATTGCATCCTGAAAAAATATAATTTTTACTAATTTATCAAACGAATAATTGCATTGTAATTTTTATCTGTCATCAAAACTGTACCAGTATCAGGCTTCAGTAACTGTTGTATCAATATCATATAAACCTCTTCTATACCGTCAGATGGTTTTTGTTTATCTGCATTCTCCTGATCTTGAAGTAACAAAAGAACAATCGTACAAAGTTGCATATATGTAAGTGTTCCTGGTGTACAAATTCATACCTACTTTGATATTTGGTGTATACATTATGACAATAATCAATCGCCTTTGGTATGTCATTAAGAACATTAATATATATTGATATGGCTTGTTGATGACGTCCGAGTCGTCCAAGAATAATTGCACGTTCTTCGAACAAATTATCAAATGGAAACTGCAGTAATATTGTTTCTGGAGTGTAATGTGCTGATTTCTCCAAAAACTGTTGTAATTTCTGTCTAATATGCTGCGCTGCTTCTTTCTCAGCCGGTGTAGCGTTGTCGCTCATTGCTGCTAAATATTTCTCTTTATACTGATGTATTAAAGCATTATGGTACAGCGGATTGGTATCTTCCCAAATATGTACCACGTGTTCTGTATATGTTATAACTAGATCTTTGTGGCAACGAAGAAGATAATCCAATACTTTTGGTCTTGGTAATTGTTCAACTGCCTGCAATTATGAATGTTACTATATCTCACTACATGTAACTGTTGTAAATACTACCTGTATATCTTCCATAAATATTCGAAGTCCTTGCTCTGGATCCTCGTTCAAGACCCATCCGGCAAATTTCAAAATTAAATCCATATGATCTTTACCAAGATGTTGCAAGTACTGTATTGTTCTTTCAGTACCCCTCAGACTAGGATCGTTTTCTTTCGCGTGTTTCTCGAGAAGTTCTAACGCTTTTCTATGTTGCCCTTTAGTCTCGTATAATATAATGAGCTCAGGATACTTTTGATGCATTAACAATGTTTTCTCTGCCTCCGCTAGGTGACAATGATTTAATCTAAGCAACGGTGCTACCAATGCATCAGTGGTCTGTAAATAACATTTTAAAAGAGTTGTGTCAATAATTTTTAAAAGCTGCTCGATAGCTACTGTTGTCATATTTTTTTCTCCATCAACCACAGCTTTTTCTTTGCTGTTATCCTTCTCTTTTGACTTTGTGTCACTCACTAATTTATCTCTAACATTCGTAAGAAAAACTATTAACGCACGTAAGCCGTTTTCTAAGTCACGATCTTGTAGTGCAGGCAAACTTGGTGTTGGTTCATTAAGTTTTGAACTATTACTCGACGGGGTAACTAAATCAGGGAATAATGTGATTACTTCGTACGGATCTGTCCCCAACTTTAAAAACAAGTCCATCGCCTCTTGAAATCTTTTGTTAGCGAAAAGATGATGCGCGTATAACGTTTGTATTTTGTACGTTTGTTTAATTTTTTCTTCTTCAGTTATGTCTGATAAACTCTGAAATAGTATGATAAAATAGTTTAGTCATTATGATCTATTTACAAGAAACTTGCGTTAAGCATTAAAAATTAACATAATAAAAATGCTGTTTACGTACAGTTAATTTCAGTACCAGCTGAAATTGCTTTTGTTCAAGTAGTGTTCTAATTTTAAATGTTACATCAACTGCTCTCACAGACCAAATATGACTGATTGAAGCTACAAAAAACTTTCCCTGCTTACATCTACATATGAGTCTAGCTTTGTTCATGTCCTTTATTGTTTGAATGTGTACACAGTCCTCTATAGTGTATACTTCTAATCTGTCATGCACAATTCCTAGTAGGTAAGGATCATCCCAAGCTGAAAGAATTCAACCTATATGACACTAAAATACAATATTTTAAATTATACAAATTTTCATACCTATTGCACTTGGTGTATCTGACCACTTTACTGAATTATGTTGAATTAATTCACCCTTTGTGTCCATGATAAATGACTGAGAATCTTTTCCCAATAGGAATGAAGCATCAGACAATTTTGTAATACTTGGTTCAGGTGACTTTCCAGTTGGAAATAATTCTTTAGGTTTTCCATTTAAGTCCAATATTGTGTATGATAGACCACGAAAACCCAAAATCAGTGAGTCTCCACACCTGCATTACAGTTAATGCATATTGTATTATATTACAGAAATGGATGAGTCCTTCTGTAGTATAAAGATAATATATACCAAGACAAGTCACGTGGTATATCTGGTATAGTTAATTCAAAATCATTGAATTCCTCAAATTTCTTTCCCTTCCAAGTATATAACTGTAGCTTACGTTTTACAGCAACACATAAATATACATCTGTTGCTTTTTCGCCAAGTAAATTCTGAATTGATTGTACGTTTAAGCAAAATATGGTAGCACCACGTGTTTTTGGCAACTGAGAAATTTGTTGAAAATTTGGAGAATTTAAATCATGTATACAAACAATATTATCTGCAAGAGCAAAGTATTAATGAAAAACTTCGTCAAGCGTCTAAGAAAGAGAATAAAAACAAAAATACCTGTTAAGATTATCAGTAAATTATATTCTGGAACAACATCAATTTGTGTGATGCGTTTTTTGTTAAAATTCTTACTGTGTCGCAGTATTTCTAACTTATGACTTTCGTCTGTTACAGAAGGAACATTATACATAAGAAGATGACCCTCTCTTGTACCAATTAACAAATTGTCATCTGAAATGCATTGATAACATGCATGCATTTTTCTTTAAACACATCAACACAACAATACATATTTCATTCGATAGCTAATAATTTCTTCTACATTCATGTATATTCCATTGAATAAATAATCAATTACGATTTAAATTATCCTTTAAATTGATTAAAAACTTTTAGTACAAAGGTTATACATCACCTACCATATGCAGCCATAGATTCTATTTGAACAGAAATATTTAATACTGATGTTTTTTCGTAAGCGTCATGCATTTTGACGTTCCTAATAATTTCTTTACAAATTTCGAGTGTTGAATTAACTCCCTTCAGATTAATAACCACCCACTGTTGTCCAGTTGTCAACAGTACAATTTGACAATCAACTTAAACTGTGTTCGAAGAAACTATAAAATATCATATCTTTTGTTTCTATGTATTTCAAATATGTTGATAAAATTTGTAAAAAGTATACTTTTATATGAGACGTATATTTTTATTTATGAATTTCTCATTTATTGTTGTTAAAACTCTGTGAAATAATTTTATAACATATATGTTCCTAATAGGTCGTTGTTGTTATTGTGTAGATTCTATATACATACACTGTAGGTGTTTATTAGAATGTGAACCTAGTAAAAATATAAATAATTAATTAACACTGTACGTTCTTTAAAAAAAAAGGAATATGCATATCTAAATTATATAGTATAAATAGGATTTGTATATAACAAATTATAGTAAAACGATCCTAATTTTAGGACGAGTTAAAACTTATCATATGAGACTCATAAGCCCACGAGTCCACGAGACGTCTGCAATGCATGTATAGGTGGCGTTTGATCAATTTTTCGTATACATACTTTCTGATACTTTCTCGAAGCACGTTGTATGCTTGTATGTAGCATGTTGTCTCTTATTTTCTGTAAGTACATGTCATGCGAATTAATGTTTTATAAAAATGTCAAACTCACTTGTACGCAAAGGACTTGAACTACTTGGTTACGAGAAAAATATAAAGCAGGGTTTGTATATTAATTATACATGTTATACATATGGGTTCATAAGGTACATAAATTGTTACTTTGCAGAGAAAAAGAAAAGGAAACATATAAAATATAAAGGTACTTTAGATCTCATCCCAACAAAGCATAGGATATTATCAAAAAACGACAAAACAGGTATAAATGTTATTCTACCTAACAAAAGTTATGCTTTAGAATATTTAACAATTTATAAATTATTCATGTCTCTAGATCTTGGCACAGTTCTTGGAAGATCCAGTAAAGTGACTATTTATGAAACTAAAAAACGATTAGCAGCACAAGAGGATCCAACCAATGAAAATGTGCAAAGACTGTTAATGCTCAGTAGTAATCATATTGATTCAAATACTACAGACAAGGTATTAATTATTTACTTTTGGGTACATAGATTAATTCCCATTAGAAATTACATTATTCGGCAATTTACTTGTAGCTTTTGAATCGAGCAGTAAAAAAGAGATATATTCCAAAGAAAGAGAAACCTAAAGAACCTGAAGTTACTGCATTTACAGAAGAAGATTTCAAGATGTTTGAACAAGAATATGTAGACCAATAACTTTCAACATTAATCTTAAATTTCATAAATCAGAGAAATTATTAATTGTACAGACACACATATGTATAATGACTATTTCTTGTGGTGTACAAAAAACTCCTTGTATTATTAAGTGAAGTCTTAAAATGTTTAATAGCGACAGTGAGAGAGGTAAAGTGATATTATTAGTGACAATTATTTTATTTCTGTATTATACTATATGGGTGATTGGTTTACCATTTATTGATGATAGCAAAATACAATCACTTTTTGGCTCCCAGGACCTAGCTCTAATGGTACCGGCAATTGCAGGCTTGTGTTTCATTGGTGGATTAATACTGTTCACAGTTTATAATGTGAAACCATATTTCTCTTATGACAAATTAAAGAAAGTTCATGAATCATAGATTTTATATAAAACAACATCAATAAAAATCTCACACAGTAGTTGTCAGTAGGATATACCAACACACTTTATGCATACCTCTTATCTTGAATAAATAGGCAACAAGTTTGAAGAACAGGTGACTTACATAACTATATGTACATTACATCACTTCTGACCAATGTAGTAAACTATAGGTTAATTTAGATTTGTATACCACACAAGAGTCTGATTGCAAGAAACGAAAAATGACTTCAATGAAATGGATTGTACTTGGTATTTCTGGTGCGACATGTAGTGGAAAAACTTCCTTAGTGAACCGTCTTCAGACGGAATTGAAAAATTCTGTTGTTATACATCAAGACCACTATTTCTTACCAGTAGATGATCCTCGGCACACAAAAATACCGGAACTGAATCATATGAATTGGGAGATCATAACCAGCGTAGATATGGATAAAATGCGATCGGATGTTTTAAAATTACTTGAAACTTCATCTGACGGTAATAATTCTACAGAGACGAACGACGTCAAGGTTTTAATATTAGATGGTTTCTTGCTTTTCCAATGCAAGCTGATTTCAAACTTATGCGATAAGAAATATTTCTTAACGTTAACGAAAGAACAATGTTGGGAAAGAAGGAAGGATAGATGTTATGATCCACCAGATGTACCTGGATATTTTGAGAAGGTCGTATGGCCAGAGTATTTGAAACAAAAAAACGAATTATTAAAAGACAAAGATTTATATAAACATATAACATTCGTGGATGGATCAAAGAGCAAAGAAGAAGTATTTCAAATGGTTTTCGCGGATATAAAGAAATTATTATCTTAAGATTTTTATCATGTCATTATTGCAGATAAAAAAGCACTTAAAACTAAAAATAAATATACACTGTGAGCTGGATCTGGGTATTTATCTACTATTCAGTGAAGACAAAGTAATGTTATAAACATTAGCTATACATTCCAGGTTGCTCAGTACAAGATGCAATTAAAGTCATAAAGTATTCCTTGTAATCATATAGATTATTTATCTTAGATGTTCCTGTGCTGAGTTTCTGGATAAAACAATTACAACAGAATCTTGTGTATTAAATTTATACATTAATAGATCAATTTTGGTTTTATTGCAAAAAGTGTACTTCACTTACCTGGCACAACTGCGCATTGAGCATTTTTTTCATGAATCGTATTTTAGTTTGTGACCATAACTTCTACTTTTGTGACAAACGTGTATATGTACATGTTACTGTTGCATTACTAGCGGTGAACTTGACTTTATGAACCTCTTTGAGAATGTTATTGTACGAATTGATGTAGCATGCTTAATCTTTATGATAGAAACGCGAGAATTTTAACTAAGTATTACAATATTCTAACTATACCACGTAGATTCTTCCTTTTTTTTACATTTGCAAAGCCTGCTTTAGATGCTAAAGTTAAAAGTAGTTATATAAGACTTAAGAAATAAAGTATATTTGAGTTGGTAACTCGGTCATAGACACGTAGAACTTATAATTTCTCAGCCTTCAGAGTTTCTGAGATTCAATAAAAGTGTGAATTATAAAAGGACGTTTTACGACTTTCCGTTGTTTTCCTCAGTTTCAATACTAACTGATTTTCATCGTATTTTTCGGTGTACATAATCATCGAAAACAGGCTTCTAAACGTTCGACTCTTGATTTTCAACAAGATATTTTCATTTGTTTTCCGTTTTTTAATAAAGATAACGCACAATGACGCGCATATGTTACATAGAATAGGCGTTATGTTTGGATTGACCTTGCACATTTGTCACATTTGTTGGTGCAGGTCCAGCTGTCTGATCATCTTGTTCATTTTGCCCACAGGCTTTTCGAACATATTGTGGTGTGAGGACAACTTCTTCTTCCATTTCAAGTACTCGCTTATCTAACTCCATACATGCTGCCATTTCCTTCTCTAACTTTACCAGCATTTGTGGCGAATTGTACTTTTCTGGATCATCATGAAACACTACCATTCCATCCTTTTGATTGATTGTTGCAAAAATCTCACCATCCTCGATCTAGAGAGTACAAGCATATATCATCAATTTGTACATTGTGCATGTATTATATCATATTTAAATAAGATATGCATGTGTATACCATGTTCAAGATGTACTTTTCTGCATCAGTAGGCCCTGATAGCTGAACTCTGCTTGCCACATCACTTAAACTAAGTGTCAAAAAGGTCTTCGTCAACCTTTGTATATTCTTTTTGTACAAAAAACTGAGTACTTGTTTCACAAGTCCCATATTATGATCTCTTGTAAAAAGGTGTTGATATTTGTTAATAATTTTTTGAACTTCTTCACAGCTGTTCATCTGATAAGCTGTGGCCAACTCTTGGTACTGCTGACTTAGTGGTTTCACATACCTATTAACCACTTGACTTGTGTACCTAGGTAAGTTTAAGACTTTCCCATGCATTATTAAAGAGACCAGAATGTACTTCTTGTAAGCCTCTAACATAATGTAACTAACTGCCATGGCAGGTGTTGTTACGCACACCTCGAAAAAGTATAAGGCTCTGTTATAATTTTTCAGTGCTGTATATATTATTCCACCATAATAATAGTAAAGCAAAAAATGTTCAGAATTGAACTGTCCTCCTTCTTGACCAATACCGGTGATGTCTATATCAAGAAACTCTAGTGCTGGTTTGAAACATTTGGATAGAAGACATAGTTGGCATAGGTCAGCATGTATCGAAGTTAGCTGGCTATCAAACAATTGTATCTTACGTATTGCACGGCATAATAAATCAATACCACGCAAAGGTATTTCCAAGTGAACTAATTTTGCAGTAAACAGATGACATAGTTCTGCATCTACAAAATAATGTAAATAATAGTGTTTGCAGAGAAAAATTTTTATATTTTGAAATGTAAAGTAAATGAAAACTTACATGTATCAGGAGCAAATCTAACTTGTTCTCCATTACAACCAATGATAAATTCCTGAATCTGATCAAATAATGGTTTATAAGCATCAGCAGTGTTTACACCATTAGGATTAGGCACTGAGAACTTTACACACAACACTACCAAAATACCTAATGAATGTTGTTGTAGATCTAACGTTTCCAGAACATTATCTAGGTGCTGTCCATTTTCCATTAAAACATCTACATTTTTAATCATTATTTCACATAGCTCTCGAAAATTACCTGCAAAATATGAATATCTTATAACAATATAATAACATTTAAACCGATAAACATGTATACTTCTATACATTCAAGTTAAGTCACTGTAAATATTGAAGATCATTTTCTACATAAACTATTTGTATTTCAATTAGTGTTTCTTAAATATTGACAAAATCATATGGAAATTATTGCCCTGACCCAATATTTCAAATTTAGCCATCAACATAAAGGTCATTTAACATCGCCAAGGATAAACATGATCAACCTGCGCTTTTCTTTTGCGAGTCGAAGAAGCTAGTTTGAAACAATCCAAACATTCCTATCAAGAATCGCCTGGGATTTTTCTCAGAGGTTATGTTCGAGAGAATACACGGAATGTCTGAGCAACTGTCGTACCTTGTTTCGAAAGTGTCTGCACATTATTTACAAACTGCTCCAATGCCGACGCCATTACTGCGAATACTTTCTTCTCATCACCACCTTTGGTCGGTGGTGAGCCGTATTTACAGGAATTATTTTCGTGAACGAACGATCACCCAGGATGACGTTTTGAAACAGGCAACAGGAACGCTCCGAAGCATGTTACGAGAATAGCCGGTTGCATCGAACTCCCTCTTGCATGCTGCGATCAACGCGCGATTTCAATTTACTTCCAATTTGAATCTAATACCTGCCTCTTTCCTATGAATTCTATTGTTACACAAAAGCGACGATAATGACTTATAAAATGCTTCGAGTGTACATTCAACGTACGGTGTTAGCTCTAACTCGTGCACCAAGAATATCTTTGTTCCTATGTTGTTGATACGAAAAACGTTGATGGGATTTTTTTTAATTCGAGAAAGTAGGAAAATTAAGATAGATATAAGCATTTTGCGATTTGCATATAGCCGAACAGTAATAAGTTCTGAACTCAGTTTTCAATATTTACATAAGATAGATACGTAAATGCATACTATAATATGACATTTGGATCGAATTTATCCTTCACTTTAAATTTATATTATTATGCAGAGTGCATCAATCATAGTCAAAGAAGATTTTTATGAAATAATATTTATCATTAATCACCTGGCTACGTACTATGTGGTTGCTAAGGTATTAACGATTTCTAACAATTCTGAAAACAAACAGAATCTGCGATTCTTCCCATTGTAGCCCACCATATTAACGAACAAGTATCTATCTCTATACAATGATTAACACTTAGTTAACATACTTCTTGAAAAAAAATTTAATAATGTCAAGCGTGACGTATGACGAGCTTTGGAAAAACACACAAGCTACTTTGGATGAATTAATTCAAACGGACACAAACTTACAGAACGCAAAACCGCAAAAAGATCGCAAAAAAGCTCATAATCTGGTCTCCGAGTTGTACGTAAAGTATATCATTATAACTAACAACCTTGAATCATGTTATGATCAAGTAATACAACCGCAAAAGCGAATATTAATCAAACAGCTGCTAGACTCCTGCCTTGGCAGAATTTTGGAATTGAAACATGAGCTAGTCGAAATTGATCTATCGGAATACAGTTACTTCGATGACATTTTAATAAGGCTTGGTGTCACTCCGCAAGAAATCGAAATTCAGTTACCTAGATATTTTAGACGTGAACGTCTGAAAGAAATTGAGGAAAGACGAAGCTTCATAGAAAGTACTTTGAGGTCTATTGGCGCGTTAGACGAAGTAATCTTGCCAAAACAACTGACTGAATCGGAGGCTATCAGACTTATACAGGTGTTAATTTTAATAAGAATATATACAATTGATATAATGAAATAATTATATCGAGTATTATTTAATCTTACTTGTAGGCACATGAACGCGCAAGACAGGGACGGTTGAGGTTTCAATTTATGAAGGAAATTCGTAAAATGAAAGCAAGATCGACGATCAAACCGGAAACGGAAGTACAGAATGACGTGCGCAAAAAAACAGCTGCGATGAGGATTCAAAAAGTGTGGAGGGGATATGTTACTAGGAGGAAAATTCGAAAAAGATGTCTTGATGAAATGCTGCTGATTGGTAATAATTCTTTATACCCTAGATGTGTGTATAAAAGAAGGATTGATGATTGAAGTTCATTCATGTATATTTACAAAGGGATGCTTCAACCAAGTCAAGAAATTACTGAAACTACTAGACAAGCTGAAAAAGTTAGGCAAGAGAGATATCAAAAGCAAATTAAATACCAAGAATTGTATGAAAATTTAATCACTGAAATTAAAGAACGGATCCGCAAAGAAAAGAGTGCTATAATGGAGGAAAATATCAGAAGTGAAATTCGAAATTGGATAAACACGTACTTCCAACAAACAGGAAAGATTCCAGATTTGCCATCTGCTGAGAGCGGTGGATCCAGAATCATATTTAGTAGGCAGGTAAAGTTAATAGCTAGAATACTGCTGTGTATATAATTTTCTCATCATATTTCTCTATTTAGGGAACTGAAAGTACCATAAGCAAATCTACAGCAGTATCATCAAAAGAGTCTAAAAAATCTAAGAAATCAAAAACAAAGAAAGACAGCGAGACTGAGCAATCAGAAGAAGAGACAGAGCAAGGCTTTAAGTCTATACCTTCTAACTTTTTATCAGAATTAGTACATTGTAATCAGGAATATCAGGAAATATGGAAAAATAAAGATGAGTCTATGAATGCTGCACAATTGCCATATGTGAATATAATAGAAAATGATAAAACTAAAGAAGTTGAGCATGAAGTTAGAGCTACTGTAGATCAAGCATTGAGGGGTAATGTTTTATATGCATTGTAAATTAACAGCACAGCAATCATGCTTAATATTTCAAATGAACATAGGTGACATAGAAGCTCTCCAAAATGCATTGGACAGAGATAGAGGATTTAAAGGTAAACGTTCTAAGAAAGCACAGAAACGAATTCGTCGTAGTGGAAAGAAGAATAAGAAAAGAAAAGAAAAGGATTTGACTCCTGACAGAACAACAGAATCATTATTTGAAGAATTGTTAACACAGGGCATCATTAAGCTTCATAGAGAAATTTCACTCAGTGATTTCAAAGGGGAAAAATCTTTTACCAATAATAGTTTAAGAGAAAATGGAAAAGATCCTTTGCCAACAATTGGTTAAGTATTTCATGTCAAGTCGGAAAAATACTTTGTCTATCACTTTATTCTATTCTGATTTCTATTTTTACCTTCTGTAAATTAATTATTTTCATAGGGGATATAAGGCAATTAATAGCTGAATACTGCATAATTCCTATGGGAAACAGTAGTCTTAGAGAACTTACACCTTTAGTAAGATCAATTTTAATAGCTGGACCGCATGGAAGTGGAAAGAAAATGCTAGTAAATGCAATTTGTACAGAGCTTGGTGCTACATTATTTGACATTACACCAGCCAATATTGCTGGGAAATATCCTGGAAAATCAGGATTAATTATGCTTATCCACTTAGTATCAAAGGTACTGTTGTTCTCTATTATTCTGGTACATAACATTAAATATCCATGTTACATTTCCTTCTCTATATTAAGGTATCACGTTTATTACAACCGTCAGTAATATTTATGGATGGAGCTGAAAAACCATTCACTAAGAAAGTTCCAAAATCAGATAAGACTGATCCAAAACGTTTGAAGAAGGATCTCCCTAAGTTAGTAAAAAACATTACAAATGAAGACAGAGTGATTCTTATTGGAACATCACACTCTCCATGGGATGGAGATCAAAAACTTTTATATCAAACATATGATAAAGTCATATATATTCCTAAACCAGATTATGGGAGTATGTCTCTTGTATGGAAAGATCTGCTAAACAAAGTCAGGTTCCATTTACTAATCAAGTTATGATGTACACCAATGTTTAACATAAAAATGTTATACATTTCTTTCTTCCTTTATATTTATAGTATTCCGGAATTAACAGACAATTTGATACATCCGCGATGACTAGAATTTCTGATGGTTTTACTATAGGAACTGTACTAACATCCATTAACGAGGTATCAAAATTATAGCGATAATATCTTCGTTAGCTATAAAGTTAAAGTTTTTTCATACTGCAGTATTTATTACATTGAACTACAGGTAATGACGACAAAACGAATGGTGCAATTAAGAACTCACCCTTTAACACATGTCGAATTAATAAATTCGCTAAGCACAAAGGATCCTATTTACAGAGAAGAAGAAGATGCGTTTATAGGTGGTATACTGATAATAAATAATGTTAATAATGACAATGAATCATAACGTTCATTTCCTTTTTTTTTCTTTACAGCATGGCTCGTAAAAACCCCAATATATCGTAAAAAACAGCGTGTGCACGAATTGGAATTGCAAAAATCAGAGGAAGCGAACGAGAAGCAAAAGAGAAAAGGAAAAAAGACATAAATAAATTTTGGTAATGTAACTGATAAGACATCGACGTTCTTTTGTATAATCTGTAACATTAATTTCATTTCATATACCCACTGTATCGATCGTTTTGATCATACATTTACATTATTTTCTTGTCAAAGGAGTAAGCATGTATCGTGTACAGAGATAAGTAAATTGCATAGCTCTCTCGAAGTTTGCACAAATTGTAATAACCGGTAAGAAATTGACGTAAGCATATTGTTAGTCCGGCAGCAAACAAATGTAACTTGACCGACTAGCACCAAAGGGCACCGAATACTGATTACTATTTAAGAACATTTTATGATTCTCGGAATTTGAGACTGAACCGAGAAAAAAAAAGTTATCGTAATATCGCTTGCCGTGTCTCAATATGCTCGTACCATCGTTTAAGAGTTTTCGCGTGGAAATGAATGTAAAATCAATTTACGTAAGTAAAAGTAAACACGGTAACGTGACGACTGTTCACGTTCGATCAATGTTCCTCAAATTGTGGAAAATTGTCTTCTGCTGAAACGAAAAGGCAGTTCACGGATCGCGTGAGACAGGTCAAATCAGAAGAATCCTAAGCTCCTGTTATCGCTGTTACCACGTGCGCTAATGATAATACACATACATAAACAAAAAGATATGTTTTTCCGTTCCAACGATGATATATACCTTTTTATCACAATACTTTTCGTACATATTAGTTTCATTCATGCTCATTCAATTATTTATTCTTAGGTAACATTATGAATACATAAAACGATTTGTTTTAATTTTATTGTTAACTTTTCGCACGACATCGATATTTCGTCATAGCGATTAAGGGTATACGCTTCGTCTAGTGATCATCGATCGATAAGATACTTCCAATTCAGTTTTAACAGCAACTTTGCGTTAATTCATAAATTAAAGCAATTACGTCAATTCAATGACTTCTCTGTGAAATTTTTGCAGTTGTGTTTAATGAATTTGCAACAAAAAACAACATGAGTCATATTTGAACTTGACCGACAAAATATTGGTTCTTAAATTATATAATAATAACGCAATCTGCTTTATTTCTTTTGTACGTTTACCGCCTTGTTTCCACAGTTCATTTGGTAAATTTTAAAGAAGTTTAGCAGTACGTTTTCATCTCTTTATTTTTATGAAACCCTCAATTAAGGAAATATGTAGCAATTAGAGGAAGAGACAGATCACAACAGATAATGTCTTCAGTAACGTGAATTCGAGTTAGGGCTGGTACAATTGCAATTCGGCCCGTTTTTATTCATGAACCCAGCTTTGTAAAAGAGATAAGTAGGATGCCTCCGTTAGCTTTGCATCGTAGCACAAAAGTCTCGTTAAGTCTAAAGTTACACAGGTTATATGTTTCTTTCTTCAGTTCACGTGATACGGCACGCGGGCAACAGGCTTGGCAGTAACAAGTGGCAAAGACCTCTACAATGTGTTATCGAGCAGTTATGATATGTACTTGTTTCCCTTCTGTCACCAATCGTAGGAAATTTTCCTTGGCGTCCTATCAATCTCACAAATTGTTGAAAATTTAACGAAGCATAAATCGGACCAGAATGAGAAACGTCATAGCTTCCACAATTAATTATTTAATCCATGCGATATGATTTATGTACATATACATAATTCACATAAACGTGAATGGAAGGGATAAATTTAAGCATCTTTTACTTTGATCTGTTATAGATGGTGTGACCTAAGGTCACACCATGTGTATGTCATACATTTCGAGAAAACGTAAAATTAGATAGCTGTCTCATACTATTACTAAACATTTATAGCCTGTATTTTATTCATTAGGTTGTAATTATTCTGTTATAAATTATTCATTAGGAATATTTTTTTGTCTTCTTTCGCGACAGCATGCTCCTTTTTCATAAGACAAAATAGGTGGCCATTAGATATCGAAATCGCTTAAAATTAAATTTAAAAAATTTTAAATTTCAAACGGCAAGTTTCACGGATATTTTATTATGTGTACCTAGTTTTGTGTACTAAAATAAAATCTAACAAAATGATTATCGCGTTAGGAATGAAGAAGGTAATGCTGTGCCCGTTGACAGTAACATCACGACCAAACTTCTTATACCACGATTATACTTCTCGAATAGTCAGTTAAAAGATGTAAGGGAAATAACAAACTATCGCGAATACTACTTTCATAAAGTAGGAAATGAAGAGTAACAATAACGATATACATAAAACGTGTCTCTATTAATAACTACATAGAACAGTAGAATACCACCTATCACTCAAACAAATGAAACTCGTGTTAATAACTTATGTCAGCAGAAGTTGTGACTGTAAATTGACGTTTCTCAAAAGTATACATTCCAGCGAAACGTTCCTCGAATGATACGGAAAATTTTACTGCAAAAAAGAAACGATACAAAGAGAACACGACTTTGACCGTCTCAAATACACCCGGAATATGAGATTACGTTACTGCCGACAGGGGTATCGATCCCTCGTGACGGTTCGGCTCGGTTACAAGCGGTGAGTAATTCCACGGACAGTTTATCATTACCGATAATACAAAAGTTATGTAAAAACAAAAACGCGGAAGGTCGACATGTGACAACTGCATGTTCACGAATTGATCTGGATGTCGGATTCGAAGGATGGTGGAACGAGCCCTGTCAGCCGGCTGGAGTAGGTACGCATTAACGGAAAAGCGGAATATTCGTGACAAAAGACAAGAACTGCCGGTCCATCCGTAGTGCGCTTGCGTACCGGAAACTTGCTCTCTCATTGGTCGACACCACATGGTCTGATGTCAGACCACATGGTCCGTCCAATTCAATAATAACGAGATGCTCACCAGCTAGACGCTAGCCAGTTCTCTGCGACGTGTTCGCGACGCTTGTGCCGGTTATTGACAATAGGAAACCGCACGTCGCGCCTAAAGACACCGAACAGAGAAACAATTTCCTAGTTCCGTAACATTCTGTATACAACATTCCATTGTATCTTTCCGTACAAAAAGTACAGGTTGGTTTGGCAGGATCCATTCCCGTATTCGTTTGTAGGACAAAACCTGAGATTGTGTACAACTATTGGATGCTCCAGAACATTCCAGTGATAGGAAGATAGAATTTGAAACGTTTGCCAGGATTGTATCCACGTGCGAGGTAAGTCGTTCCGGCAATATTTTATTTCTCGCGAAAATCCCGATATTTCAGCAACCATGGTTACGCCGTACACATTAAGGGTGTAATTCAAACTGTTAGCGACCGTTAGCCGTGACATTAGGTGTGTCGTAAGGAGTGATCGATTGGGGCGTATTATATGTATGTCGTTTTCTTAGTGGACTTAAGTCAATTGTATATCCGTTTATATCTACGAGTATTGGAATCCCTGGCAGACGTCGTCCCGCTTGAATTTCCATTCGGAGCATCGAAAATCATTTCAAAATCGACAGATTTATGTAAAAATCTCTGATATACACCGGAATTTCGAATTGTCGACTTTACATGCGGTTATTTCGAGGTTTCACGTATCGTATACCGTAAAACGTGCTGTTTATTGCGGTTGAATTGCGTCGTGGAAAACCGTTTCCGGTGTTCATGTCAACTTCTGTAAGGAATCGTGATTTGGAAACACGAAGTTTGTCACGTGTTGTGTCGACTTTTTGCACCTGTCGGTACGTTACACACGCCACGAGAAAATCCAACGTTGGCTAGTTCTACTTTGTGAATTAAGGTTATACGAGTGGATAGTATCATTTGCAACAGAGAATTAGTTACGTGAAAGTTTGCTTTAGGAAGAGAACAAGTAATTTAGCCCACGGTTCACAATAACGAATACAAGTAGAGTATAGCAAACTGTACGGATTTCTAACGATCCATAGACATCGTATAATGTGTCGCGCGGAAAAAATCTTCCTGAAACGCCATGATTCACTTATTCACGAATGGTCCGCGTGCAATTTTCATAAACGTTTGCTTGTCTGACTCTTGTACTCTTTTACTACTGCGTTGCATACTCAGCAGCTTTGCTGGACGTTGTGCAGGAGTGTATTTACGTCATACCAGACTCGTTGCCGGCAAATTGTTATTTGGTAGAAACTAACCTGCTGCTATACCGACTTCTTTACAGAATAGGCTACAATATCATCTCGTTCTCGAATCGTCGACAAATATTTCTTTACGATGTTGACGTTACAGGCATCACAATTTGTTTGGATTCCATTAGCATTACAAGCTGAAGTACAGCTATTTCATTTCGCATTCTACCGTGTCAAAAAAAAATGTCGGAAAAAAACTGCTCTGACTGGTCGTTTTTTGGTCAAATGATTATTCATCTGTGAAGGGAGGTGTCAAGAAATCGAATCAGAACTCGAGAGAAATGAAAGCATGCGTATTTGGAGCAGTTCTTATAGATTGCTTGATGAATTTGATGAATTACTTACAATTACAAAAAAAATTAGAGTATTATTGATAATATTTCTTTCGAAATTCAAATCGCTGACTAAGACTTCCTTTAAGTTACGATGTTTCATAAACGGAATTACCGGTTCGTTTCTACATTTATGATCTTGTAGAAATACCCGATCCGTTTCGTCCAATGTTTTCCTGAATTTTGATTCTGTGCGTATCTACGTCGCGCGCCACGTGATCGAACGATGAACCAAGCGATAATCCTGAGTGGCTAGTTTCGCCTCTTACCATATTTTTTTGGTCGCGATGGAATTATTTGAAGCATGGATTCTTAAATAAACGATGCTGCTTATGATAAACCCCTGGTATCTTCCACACGAAGGTTAGACACGTGGATTATGATTAAGAGATCGTATCGGAATAACACTTTCTCTCCTACTATTCCAGTGATCGTGCGAAAAATTGAATGTCTCTGGTCAATTGCGTAATCGAATTCGTTAACTGGAGGAAATCGGCGAGCGTGTTTGACTCGTTATTCAAATAATGAATTAAGCCTCCATTGTATGCATAACAAGCTACAAATTTTTTACGCCTGATCGGCGAATGATAATTCGTAACTTTTGTATATTATTTTAATCCGATTATAGGACTCGTGTATGTTCAATCGAATAGATGTACATAATTTGTTAAGAAAATGTGGTCCTTTGATATGCAGTCTGTAACATCAAACACGTTGGCCGTTGCACACGCTAAGCAATTTATTAGATATATTAAAAATAATAATAATACAACCGTATTAGCGATAGCGTTCTTATTGATAATAGAGCAAGGTGCGCGAAACAAATCAACCGAAGATGTTTCCCCAAAGCCTTAGAACCGAATCACTCTAACCAAGAGACAAAGTATGTATTGCGGAAAATGTGTAGACATTTTTATCATTTGCTCGTGTAAGCGGGGATCACTTTATCGCGCGTCTGTTCCAACTGTGTTTGAAACGAGGAATCGGATGATTTAACGGAACTATCGCTTTAGATAAACTTCGTGTATTCAAGGCTAGCCATGTTTACCTCTGTATCGTGGTGCCCCTCGTCCGTGAATTCGAAGGAAATACTTTTGCCTGAAAACGACGTGGAGAGCCTACGTATTAGAGTGTGTGAGGTGGACACAGTTTTGATTGTGAGTAATATACATGACGGCTAAAAACGGCGTCCATGTCAACCTGACGTATATAACCTTATTCTGAGATTAGTAGATTTTGAATGCTCATGAATATTTATATGTTTAATCCCTTTAGAAAAAAATGGAATTGTTCAATGCCAAATTAAACGATTATTTTCAAAGAAATCGAAACAGCCTATCTGTGTATGTGGTTGTTTCGATAATATTCGTCCTCATTCGACACTTGCCGTTATTTTTCGGGAAAGGAAAACTTTAAGATCCAAGGAAAAATTAAAAGAGTAAGGGGGACACGCGATTATAGCAGTAGAAAGTCCTTCAACAGATAGTCAGTGTACAAAGTTTAGGACGTTCGGGGGACATATAAAAAAGACGATACCTGATACGCAATGACCTCTTCGATCGACATTATTATCGCCGCGTATGAAGAAGAAAAAAAAAAGTGTCCGAATATACCCGACACGAACTTTGAACAATGCTACAAATAATGGTTAACCGTGTAAAGTTCGTCGATTTAATAGAAATTCGATTTTCGTAATATTGTAATATTTAATTCTAATGAGATAGGAATTGGTTTTTCTTTCTCTTTCTCTCTAGTCTTCCGAGGGACATGAATACTGAGTATCAACTGAGACATAGAAGTGTTAGCATATTTTATTACAGTCATTGACGTCTGTTACTCGAACTACGTAATGAATATGGACGAAGAAAAATCTTCGCACGTTATACTGCGGCCACCATCACGCGTTATGTCAGTGCTTCTCGATTTACATAAACAAATTCAAATGCTCCGGAATGTAACGCGATGTGTCTCCAACACCTGCAAGAATTTTCATAAGGTTCATCAATAAACAATCCATTGATGATTTTTCTCTTTCACAAAAATGCGTATGCTGCTGCTTATTTCTCGAGAAATCCGTTTAAACGAAGACTAATAATGGAGTCCACAATGGGTTGATTTATTTTTAAAATTTGACGAAAGAAAATACCAACGATCGTTCGAAATCATCAATTATGGATTGTAAAACCGTGTGATATGCGCGGGAATCATTAACATAATACCCGGGCGATCAATTGCTTCTATAATTAACGTCAAGTGGACGTATTCGATAATGAAACGATATCTCGAACGGGCATCTAAGAATTTTTAATTTCTTAATTTCACCACGATTAAACCGATCTTCGAGAGTGTCGTCGCATGAACATCACGCGAGAATCTCACCGATTGACCGTGAACTTCTGCCATCTCTTAAGAGAGAGAGAGAGAAAAGAAAAAAAATAAAAGAATGAATCGTAAGATGCGATTGTAATTGCAAGTTGACGTTATCGGATTGGAAAATCGATCGATACAGACACACATACGTAGAGTACGGTTAATAAATGCTAATGCAAATAGTACAATGTATGTATATTGATAAGAACTTGGTGATCTAACCCTATCCGGGGTCACGTCGGTTACGTATCATAGGTTCTCTCTAGGTTATACCTCGTGGTTTGTACAAACGCATACGGAAACGCAAAATTCCGATTGACTATTCAGCGAGTAAACTTCTTATTTTTTTTCTTTTTTTTTTTTTTTGCAGTGTCCACATTGCATAATATGCACGTTGACATCCATTGGTGATTACGTCGGAACGGGTGCGGAGTACATGACGTTTGAATTGATCGCGAACGCATAGCTTAAACATGAATTTAGTCCTGTATTGTGTTATCGTGATTATAAATGTATATCCAGAGTTTTCGAAATTTCTACGAGAACCGACTCCCGCCGCCAGCCGTCCGATTGTGTGCAAATTTTTGTCTGTACAATTCTTTCGAATGAAATTTTCAATACCCGTGTACTTTTGACAAGCAACGAATCACATTTAAATTCCATTCAATTACACAGAGTTGAACTACTACATTAAATTTTCATGAAAACTTTGTTAACTATCCGCGATCATTCTCCGTTTCCTTACAGATGTTCCGGTTATATATTTTTTTTAAAAAGAAAAGGAAAACTGAATTATCATTGCAATTATTGTTGCACCGATTCTTGAAACACGACACGCGTGTTCCAATGTTAAACTATCAAGAATCATCAATTGATACTTTCGGAGTTCGTGCCATGCACGCCACCGACCAGTCACAGCCGACTGTGTTTTATCCACATTTTTTCTTTTTGATATGTTTCGCGCTGTATTTCGCGCGATCTGACGCGGAAACAACACGTCGTGACAAAAATACCGCCAGAAAAAAAGTAGCCATAGGGTCGAACACGGATATATTATCGTTGCGCAATTCACGTTCTGACGCTGTTCGAAGAATGTAATTATTATCCACGAAATTATCAAGGAAAAACGTTAATAACAGCAGACGCGGAGCAAAGAAAACTCGTTCATTGGGTAGAGTATATAGAATGCGTGTGGTAGGAAATAATGTTAACCGAATTCACTTTGCCCTGGAGCGCGAGTAGTTCAATTGAAATCACTCAATCAGCCCCGAGAAGAGGAGGTAGCCACCGCGGGTAATCTAATACAATTACTGAGACATTTAAGGTGTCCCAAGAGTATTGTGTGTTGTGATCCGCGTGAGAGAGCAGTATTTGTCCCGTGTGCGTCCGTAAAATTTTCAAATACAATAACATCCTACTTGTATCGAATGAATTTTTCACCTATCACATTTAATCGTTCGCACACCGATAAGAGAAATAATTTCGGTTGATTGGTTTACCGTTTATTGTCCTATGATCGTTGAGAAAAGTACGATTGAAATATAAAATGGTCTGTAGGTTAAGAATAAAGTCCTGACCCAGGGATCTTCACTGTCTCCGAAACATTCTCTACACAGTGCTAATGATAAAATGAAGTATTTTTTTCCTGTCTTTGTTTTCAGTTTACTGTCCACTAGGCTCCCACGTCAGATAGATTCTGGAAGAACGGAAAACTTGAAGGATCGTCACCTTATTAATCAGCAATAATGCCAGCCCAATTCGAAAGTGTAAACAGTCCTATCGCGAGAGAACCAATGATGAACGGTACCGGCCAGCACAGCCACGACAATGATGTCGTCATCAGTGGCTTTTCAGGTAAGAAAAAAACAACTATTTTTATGTTTAAAGATGTACACGTCGAGTGTAATTTACAATGTATAATAATTGAACGCGTATACGGTTTTTTCAGGACGTTTCCCAGAGTCGGACAGCGTAGAAGAACTGAAAAAGAATTTATTCGAGGGTGTCGACATGGTCACCGACGACGAACGCCGATGGCCGGCCGGTCTCTACGGTTTACCCACAAGAACCGGCAAACTGAAGACACTCAATCAGTTCGACCCTACCTTCTTCGGCGTCCATGGGAAACAAGCTCATCTGATGGATCCGCAGCTTCGTTTGCTTCTGGAGACAACTTACGAGGCGATAGTCGATGCCGGTATCAATCCACAAGAAATCAGAGGATCGAAAACCGGTGTATACATCGGTGTTTCAACCTCGGAGTCGAACGAGAAGTGGTCCGATGATCCGGATGAAGTTACTGGTTCGTCCACGTGTCTTTTCGCATAGAATACAAACAAAGAGCTAGTTGGCAATTAAAAACTTGTACACGTTCGAAATGTTTGAAACACACACAAAAAAAACACCATCGTCGTCAGGTATGAAGTCGGGTGCTGCCAAACCGCGAACATATACAAGTTTGAAAGATTCAATGCTACCACCATCGACGAGGTATAAGAATAGACCTTTTATCTAATGGGAGTTGGTGGCTTACCTAAATCGTAGTACCGACACCTTAAAAACCATATGATTTTAGCAACCTCTACGTTATGAGAACGGTGAATCTGCGGTGGGTAGTGACACTAAAATGGAAATGTGTCGACGTCGCCCCAGAAAAGTGGGCCGAAAAAATATATTGGATAAAATGTTTACTCCTATACCTCGTCTGTGCTACCACTTTCTTACGCGATAGATATGTTAATCGGATAACCTATGTTTTTAGGGTACGCGTTAATCGGTTGCTGCCGAGCTATGTTCCCGAATAGGATATCGTTCGCGTTCGACTTCACCGGGCCAAGTTACGCGGTAGACACCGCCTGTTCTTCGTCGATGTTCGCCATGCACCAAGCGATCAGCGCGATTCGCTCGGGAGAGTGCGACGCTGCTATTGTCGGCGGATGTAATCTTCTGTTGAAGCCCATCGCGTCGCTTGAATTCCATAGGTTAGGTATGCTGTCGCCAGACGGCATGTGCAAGGCTTTCGATGCCGACGGAAAAGGCTACGTCCGCTCCGAAACGGTCGGTGTGTTTTATCTGCAAAAGGCAAAGGACGCGCGCAGAGTCTACGCCACTGTGATACACTCGAAGACCAACACCGACGGTAATAAGGTACAAGGCATCACGTACCCGAACGGGGAAATGCAGAACAAATTGATGCGCGAGGTTTACTTAGAGGCGGGCGTCAATCCAGCCGATGTTGTGTACGTGGAAGCGCACGGAACCGGTACCAAAGTCGGCGATCCGCAAGAGATCAATTCCATTGCTAATTTATTCTGTAAAGGTCGGAAGGCACCGCTTCTTCTCGGTTCTGTGAAATCGAATTTGGGCCACGCAGAAGCAGCCAGTGGAATGGGTTCTCTGGCGAAATTGCTGATCGCCATGGAGGCCGGTGTGATTCCGGGCAATCTTCACTTTAAAAATCCAAACGAAAATATACCATCATTGAAAGATGGTAGTATACAAGTTATAGATAGAAACACACCGTGGAAAGGTGGCCTGGTAGCCGTGAACTCCTTCGGTTTCGGCGGAGCCAACGCACACATACTTCTTCGTAGCAATCCGAAGCCAAAGTTGTCGCCAGTCTTAGATAGTAAATTGCCCAAGTTGGTCCTCGCATCAGGGCGCACCGAAGAAGCTGTACAAATTCTGTTAGATAAAGCCAAAGAACACGAAAAAGATGATGAATTCATTGCTCTGCTTCACGATACTTACGCGACCAACATACCGAGTCATGCTTATCGAGGTTATTCTGTATTAGGAAATGCTAGCGGGTCAGAAATTAGTCAGTGTAATACTACAGAGAAACGTCCGATCTGGTTCATATTTTCTGGTATGGGTTCCCAATGGTCCGGCATGGGTAAGCAATTGCTTTGCATCGAGCCGTTCCAGAGAAGCTTGCAACGTTGCGCCGATGCACTGAAACCAGAAGGACTCGATTTGATGAACATTATTTTGAATGGAACACCCGAGACCTTTGAGAACGTTATGCATTGCTTCGTGTCGATTGCAGCTATTCAAGTGGCTTTAGTCGACGTGTTAGCGTATATGGGTATTCACCCTGATGGTATCATTGGACATTCGGTCGGAGAACTTGGGTGCGCCTACGCTGATGGTACATTTACACCGGAACAGACAATGTTAGCTGCATACTGGCGAGGAAGATCGATTCTTAATTCCAAATTACCGCCAGGAGCCATGGCTGCTGTAGGCTTAAGTTGGGAAGATGTTAAAAAACGATGCCCGCCAGACATTTTTCCGGCCTGTAACAATTCAAGCGATTCCGTAACCGTTTCTGGTCCGGTTGATTCTATCCACAAGTTCGCTGAAAAACTGAAGCAGGACAACATATTCGTGAAAGTAGTGGACAGCTCTGGTGTCGCCTTCCATAGCAAGTACATTGCTCCAGTAGGACAGAGCTTGCGTGTTGCTCTGGAGAGGATCATACCGAATCCAAAACCGCGAACCTCCAGATGGATTTCGACCTCCATACCCGATGGAGCTTGGAATAATCCGTTGGCACAACTCAGTTCCGCGGCATATCACGTGAACAACTTATTGTCGCCGGTACTGTTCCAACAAGGATTAACATTTATTCACGACAATGCTATTACGATAGAAGTTGCACCGCACTGTCTAATGCAAGCAATTCTACGCAGATCACTACCGAAAAACGTGACCAACGTTGGCCTCCACAAACGGGACAACGAGAACAATTTAGGCTTCTTCCTTGAGAATATAGGAAAAGTGTACACCGCAGGTGCGCAACCTGAAGTGTCCAAGCTGTATCCATCGATAAGTTATCCTGTTGGTCGTGGTACACCAATGTTGAATACTCTTGTTGGATGGGACCACTCCACCGAGTGGAGTGTGGCGAATTTCAGTACAAGCGGTGGCTCCTCCGGGGAAAGTATAGTTGCTGTAGACCTGTCCAAAGAGTCTGACGCGTACCTAAGTGGTCACAAGATCGACGGAAGAATTCTTTTCCCAGCCACTGGTTATCTGGTAATCGTTTGGAAAACCTTTGCTAAATTGCGCAATGTCAATTACGAAAAACTGCCAGTTGTGTTTGAAGACGTGAAAATCCTGCGTGCCACCATCTTACCCACAGAAGGCACAGTTAAATTCTTGATTAATATATTCATGGGTACGGGTGAATTTGAGATCTGCGAAAGTGGATCTGTAGCGGTGACAGGGAAAATATCTGTGCCGGAGAATGTTGAGAAGATGTTGTTGAATCTGCCCACGCCTGTTGTACGCAATGAACCAGAATTGTTAGAGTTGAAACCTGTAGATATCTACAAAGAGCTTAGACTGCGAGGATACGATTACACTGGAGTTTTCCGGGGTATCAAGACCTCTAATAACCGTGGTGGTTCAGGTGAACTTCTTTGGTCCAATTGGATCTCCTTCATAGATACTATGCTTCAGATCAGTATCCTCGACAAGGATACCAGAGCACTGTATCTACCGACACGTGTAAAGTATGTCGCTATCAACCCTATGATTCATTTGGAATATGTTAACAACTTGAAACCAGGCGATGGTATTCCTGCGCATTATTATAAGAATATCGACGTCACGAAATCGGGCGGTATCGAGATAAGAAAGATGAAAGTTAATTTGGCTCCAAAGAGGCAGCAAACTCAAGTCACCCCTTATCATGACAGAAGCTTGTTCGTACCTTACGTGAATCCTCAACCGTTGGTACAGGATCCTGACAAAGCTAAAACGTATGCTATGACGGTCTTGTTGCATCTTGTTCGCGAAAACGCGAAAGGATTAAAGGTGAAGGGTATCGAAATAGCCGATGAACGCCCAGCAGATACTCTCTTCGGATCGATAGTGCTGGATATCTTATACAGAGAACCTTCTGTCACCGTAAGTGTAATTATTTTCTTTAATTGGTTCAAACAATGAGCGTTCTTGTTTCACGGAATTATTATCTATTTCAGGTCGACTTCCAAATTGCTGGAAGTAACCCTAATCAATACACTAGTCTGGAAGCACAACACATAAAAGTCGTGCAACGAGACATGCACATCGCGCCCGTAGGTCAGGATTTGAATTTCATAATAGCGGCCAATGTGCTGTCCGAAAACTCGAAAGCTGCGCTTAGAAATTTATCTGAGAGTTTGAAAGCCGGAGGGTTTTTAATACTCGAAGAATGTGGTCAGCTTAATCTGAGCAACTTGAAAAGCTGTAATCTAATGTATGTCAGTAAACAAGTGATACATGGAAAGTCGTTCATTCTACTTAAAAAGATAGAAAATTTGAAGGAACCGAGTATCATACAAATAACGGAGAAGAACTTCCACTGGTTGGAAGGTCTTAAGGCGGCCATGAAGAAATCCGTGACTGAAAATCAAGAAATTCTCTTAGTCAGCCAAGGCGAAGAACTGCTTGGTGAGTATTGCAATCTTGAAAATTGTATCTGTAGATAAGTTTTGTCATGAATACAGTTCTCTTACAACATTACCTGTGATTGTTTAGGTATGGCTGGTTTGATAAATTGTCTCCGTATGGAAGAGGGCGGCAGTAACGTGCGTTACGTGTTCATTCAGGACAAAAACGCCCCCAAGTTTAGTCCGAGCAACAAATTCTATTCCGAACAATTAGAGAAACAATTTGTAGCAAATGTCCTGAAAGGAGGAAATTGGGGATCATACCGTCATTTACCCTTAGATGGGCAAAAAGGTGCATCGTCCCTTCAGGTTGAACACGCCTACATTAATGTCTTGTATAGAGGTGATTTGAGTAGCTTGAGATGGATCGAGAGCCCGTTGAGCTATTACCAACCGGAGACATGTCCAAACATGGAATTGTTCCATGTATACTATGCTCCTCTGAATTTCCGAGATGTGATGTTAGCCAGTGGAAAGTTACCGCCGGATGCTCTTCCTGGAAACTTGGCCAACGAGGATTGTATACTGGGTCTCGAATTCTCTGGACGTAACTCGAAAGGTCAACGAGTCATGGCGATGGTACCAGCACGTGGCTTAGCCACCACCGTTGTAGCCGATCCTGGATTCTCGTGGATAGTACCCGACAAATGGACTTTGGAGGAAGCTTCAACGATCCCGGTAGCCTACTCCACGAGCTACTATGCTTTGTTCGTCCGTGGTGGCTTGAAACGTGGCGAGAGTGTTCTTATCCATGCAGGTACCGGAGGTGTGGGACAAGCTAGTATTTCCATAGCACTGCACGCAGGTTGTACGGTGTTCACCACAGTTGGTACGCCAGAGAAACGTGAATGCTTGAAGAAGATGTTCCCACAGTTGACCGACAGGAATATTGGTAACTCTCGAGACACTAGCTTCGAACAGATGATACTTAACGAGACGAATGGCCGTGGTGTCGACGTAGTACTTAACTCCTTGGCCGAGGAAAAGCTGCAGGCCAGTATAAGGTGTCTTGCAATTGGCGGTCGTTTCCTTGAGATAGGAAAATTCGATTTGTCCAACGACGCGACCTTGGGAATGTCGTTGTTCTTGAAGAATACTGCGTTCCACGGAATATTGTTAGACGCCATTTGCGAAGACGACTGCGCGGAAAGGCAAGCAGTGGTGAAACTCGTTCAAGAGGGAATAGAAAACGGAGCCGTTCGTCCGCTTCCGGCAACCGTCTTCTCCGAACAACAAATCGAACAGTCCTTCAGGTTCATGGCCACGGGCAAACACATTGGAAAAGTCGTGTTGAAGATTCGCGACGAAGAGAAACAGAAAGTTGTCAGTTCTCCGGCGCCAAAAATAGTCGCGGCTATTCCTCGCACGTACATGAATCCAGAGAAGTCGTACATATTGGTCGGTGGTCTCGGTGGATTCGGTATAGAGCTTGCAGATTGGATGATCACCCGTGGCGCGAAACATGTAGTATTGACATCACGATCTGGAATACGTACCGGTTACCAATCGATGGCTGTACGTCGTTGGCGCGGAATGGGCGTTAATATTGCCATTTCCACTGTTGATGTCACAACATTGGCCGGAGCGAGACAGCTGCTCAAAGAAAGTAGCGAAATTGCTCCAATTGGCGGTATATTCAATCTGGCGGCTGTTCTGGCTGACAAGTTGATCAAAGACCTTAACGAAAATGATTTCGTAAAGGTGACTACACCTAAAGTCATTGCTACGAAACACTTGGACGCAGCGTCCCGAGAGATGTGCCCATCGCTAGACTACTTCGTTGCCTTCTCCTCCGTTTCCTGTGGAAAAGGTAATCTGGGTCAAACGAATTACGGTCTTGCAAATTCTGCTATGGAGAGAATAGTAGAACAGAGACAGGCAAATGGTTTGCCTGGCCTTGCTATACAGTGGGGAGCTATCGGAGATGTCGGTTTGATTCTAGGTAAATTACTTTTCCTTATCGCGTTTGAGTTTCTTTACAAGTAATTGTATCGATTGTGTACTGTATGTGTCATATATTTTATTTTTTCTTTTAGACACTCTAGGTGGCTCTAATGATATTGAAGTAGGCGGTACTACACCCCAGCGTATTGGAAGCTGTTTGGAAACCATGGACGTATTTCTACAGCAACCTCATCCGGTTCTGTCTTCCTGTTGCATTGCGGATCAACGCAAATTCCAGGATACATCGAATAGAATCAGCATCGTTCAAGCGGTTGCCAACATCTTGGGCATTAAGAAACTGGAAACCATTAATAACAATGTTACATTGGCTGACCTTGGAATGGATTCTTTGATGGGAACAGAAATAAAACAGACTTTGGAAAGAAATTACGATACAGTACTGTCTCCACAAGACATTCGCAATCTGACGTTCGAGAAGTTACAAATGATTGACTCCGGCGCAGTCGACACTGCCAAGAATGATGGGCAAGGTGGAAAGGAAGAAGAAGTTATGGCAGAATTCCTGTTCCAAGCAGACGGCACGGAAATTGTTCCTGTGGAAGCTCTTGTGGAATTGAAAACAAAGAAATCGAAGGGAGTACCCGTATTTTTCGTTCACGCTATCGAAGGAATGATAGGCCCATTCAAGAGCATAGCCAGTGAATTAGAACGTCCTGCTTGGGGATTCCAGTGTGTAAGAGATGCTCCACTGGATTCTATAACAGAACTTGCCAGTTTTTACATAAAGGAAATGAAGAAGGTTCAGAAGAAAGGACCGTATAATTTAACCGGTTACTCGTTCGGAGCTTGCGTTGCGTTTGAAATGGCTCTTCAGCTGGAGAATGCGGGAGAAAAAACGATTTTAACTCTTCTGGATGGTTCGCCAGAGTTTGTAAGGCTGCATTGTATTGAAATTGGAAAACAAGCGAGTCGATCAAGGCAGGATATCCTTGAGGACAATTGTCGGAAGACAATGTCATTTTTCATTACACAGTTCAATAGGAAGATCAGTTACATTGAGGTAATTTATTTTTAATTGTCTAGACACTACCGTTGCTATATGTATTGCATTACTAGATTACCATTTTTCTTTTCGTCAGGCATATACGATCTTGAAGGATGTACCAGATGACGAAATATGGAACAAAATGGTGAAAGTAATCAATCATGCGGACTTGAAGGATGAGGATTTGAAGGTTGCTGGACAGTTGTTCCACAGAAAGATACAGGCAGCTTATTACTACAGACCATCTGATACGTATAAAGGAGATGTCACGCTAGTAAGAATTGAAGACAACTTCATTCATGTGAAAAAAGATTACGGTCTATCAGAGGTAATTGCTATATCTATACAACTGTGAAATACGATTACAATGTAAATCGTCACGTCAATTCATATTTATATTATTTGCAGATTTGTACAAAGGATATACGAATTGAAGAATTGCCTGGAAATCACAGGAGTTTCTTGACAGGAGAGAGCGGCTCAGAAATCGCAAAGATCCTACAAACGTAAACTAACTTCTATTGATATTAGAATCAGAGCATCGAGGAATACGCGATATTTATCAATGTCGCATAGATAAGTTCTAGAAAGTATCAGTGTACAATAATATCGATACAGATCATCTTACAACTTAATTATTAATATTTAATAATTAATAGTTCTTAGATATTCTGTGTAAAGTTCTTTTTGTACAAATATTTCTTCCTCGAGGTTTCCACTCACATTGTTCATATGTCATTCGCATTAATTTATGAACCAACCTTCTATTCTCTAATCGTATATATTTTAAATTTATGAGAAGAAAGTAACTTTAGCGTTTTCTTTTTTAATTTGTAATAATTTGAGGTAGTACGAGCAGGTATTACTATGATTATTTAGTGGATCTTATGTATAAATATTTAAGTACTTTCAAAAATATCCGCTATAGGTCTTTCTAATGGTTTCTGGTGGACAAGTTACCATTATTTGGACATATAGAGCATATATGTATATATAAATATATATACATATATTTATTTTGTTCCATTATGCATTAATAAATGTTATTTCATATCTAGCTTTCTGGTATACCATGACAATTTTTACATGATAGAAGTATGTGCAAAACATTAAACAAAAATTTTATACGGTAAAAACCACATTTGAAGTCTTTTCAATATTTCCAATTTCAGTGTTGTACATTTTTATAAACAGTGTATCCGAACAAAAATCTCCGTCTCTTGCACATAACATACTTAATGCTTTTTTAAGGGCAAACATTTATACTGTTTTTTCATTGCCAATGATAAGTTTGTTAAATAATAAAAATGTAAATGTTTGCAATTACTTCGATTGGCATTGAATATTTGCAATCTTCGTTTGTTATATGTTACATCTCTTCTTGTATTATATGGATAAGTAAATAAAGAACATTCAATAAGTTAAGACAATTTTACAAGTAGATTTACCAGTTTATACAGAAATACGACTTTCATTTTTTTTTTAAAGAAACAATTTATTTAAAAAAGAGATCCCTAAACATCAGTTGTAGAAAATTAAGTGGAATGTAAGTTTCATACATAATAAGTTTACGTTGGTTGTTTTGTACGGTAATTTGGATCGGATACTGCAGCGTTTGAATCACAGGTGAACGACACGGTCAATGCATACCGAATTCCGGACTGCACTTTTTCAACTGCATGTAAATTTTCACTACCTGAAGTAAACATAGACACCCTACCTGCAGAATAAATTTGTAATTGGAATTATTTTCGTTTCACTGTTACATATTACTCCTCGTTACAACAGTTATTTACCTTTTCGAGGTTCCACTGTTGTATTAACATGGTCTTTATCCATGAATATGAATCGACCTCCCTCAAAATCTCTTCCAAAATCATTCAGATAAAGTAAAGATGTATAATGAAATGATTTGTATGTTTCCTACAACAGAAATTGTGTTGATGAATGTAGTAACCAGGTACTATGTAATCAATTTATATACCTTGTCAACATGTGGATGCCAGTACTCATCATGTATTGTTTTTGCAGATGCATTAGTCATTCGTGAAAAGAATGTAGGACTTGTTAAGTATATTTTATTAGCGGGTACTCCAAAGTTATGTGCTACTGCGTGTTGTATCTTAGTTTTTACTACTCTATAAATATAAAGTACTATTTAGTAGGGAAAAATTAAAGGGAATATAATGAATGTACTAGCTCAAATTTCACTATTTACGTTTTTCTCTTATAAATAAATGTCAGAAATTGACATACTTATAGATTGCTAGATCTGCACTATTAAATATCTTTTTAGCTTCTGGTAAGGTATAAACATCAATGAAACCTTTCCCTTTGCTCAGTGCACCAGAATGAAGATCCAAGATACTTGCACCTCCATCAGAACCACCCAAATTTAATCCAGTAATTGCCATCCTTAACAAAATATCTGTTTCTGTTGACGATACTAATTTATCACTGACTATTCTTCCACACTTTTCTGGTGTACATTCAGGATATTCAGTTACTTCTGCTTTATAATCATTTGAACATTCAACATATTGTGTACGGCTTAGCAGAACTTCTTTCTGTTTTGCAAAATAAACTTCTTTACCCTGTTTGCTATTATACCATACTATGAACAGTACTGCAAGTATTAGGGCACACCGTGACCATACTCTCTGATATGGAAATGTCACAGATGGCCCATATTTTCTGAAAAATGATACATATTTCAAATTTCACCATTGAATTGACTGCAGATGTTTATGCAACTTGCTTTGCAATATCAAAGATTAAACAAAAATCTATTTTATTCTCATTAGGAATTTCAATAGATCAACAATAAAACGGAAAATGTCATGGTTCCTAATTTTGTCAGTTCTTAATGCATAAACATTCATAGTCTATTCCCACAACAAAAAATTATTATAGTTAACCTAGACAATACGTATTTATAATTTACATCATTAACCATTAAAGTATTATCTGCAATTTATATTAACATTCAATAATAAAGAAAAGTTAACGATTCATCGTAAACTACATAAGAAACACAATGCTCAATTTTACATACAAATTGACATTCTCTTTCAGTGCTTCTTTCGCATTCTCCGTAGTTTTCTCTTCCTTCTGACTAGTTTTCTCTTTTTTTATTTGTTTCTTTTTCCCTTTTTTAACCTCCTGCGACATTTTGCGATATTTTCAACAAAATTATTTACACTAACAACATTTCACTGTCCTACACGTAAATATGTGACACAGAACATCAGCTTGCAGCGTTCTGTATCATAATCTATGGCCAATGATACAATTGGATATGATTTATAATTCGAACGTGTAAGTCAGCAAGGATATATTATCGTAACCAATATTATTACAGTAATCATTTTTCGATATTAAAAATATCGACATATGTTCACGTGTGATTCTAAGAATATTGACCAATATTGACGTCAACATTATGGTGTCATTTCTGACACCTGCTGATACCCTAAAGAATTAGCACGCTTCGTTCTTGCTCGAATCGAATGTATACATTGAAAATACTAAAAGAAAACAGCTTCACGGATGGTGTTACTAATTCTCAAATTATTCTGCTTTTCAAAAAGGTACAAAATTATAATATACTTTTTACGAAGATACAGGTGTAAACATTTTATGGACTATGTTTTTCTAACGTTCTAACATATTCATTACTCATTCGATTCTTCTGATCACAGTACATTTTCATTTCACGATTCTATAAATACTTATGAATAAGTATGAATAATTTGATACACATTTCTATTGACACTTTTTACGATCTAAAAGTATATATTTATATACATATACATATACGTCTCGGCCACTTTAATGCAAATCATATGTGCATCGATCACTTGTTAGTGCTTACAACTGTTATGTGAAGAAAAAGTATGCAAGAACGTGTCGTAGTTTTTCATGAAAAGAAAAAAAAAAGGAGAACATGTGGCTTGATAGCGTGGAACCACCTAGTATATGGTTCACATAAATAATTTAAAACGAAACTAATAAGTTTCTTTTCGATATATGCAATATACTCAGATTTCGGAAAAAAAAACTAGTAACAGAAATGGAATTTATATGTACAGTTCGATCAACAAGTCTAATCCTAAATCGACTGACAAACGTATAAAAAAATGGATATTGATACTTCAACGATTCGATTCAATGACAAACGGAGATCGAATAGTGACAAGGGGCTTGGGGTTTCTTCCACCAACCTCCGATAGTTCAAGTTTCAGTTAGTACTGGTAACCATGACTACACAGCGAAGTATGGCCGCTCGATTAACAGTTTGCCAGCGAGCGTTGCGCAGGAAAGTGATCAAGTACAAGTACGTGGAATGCTGGCGATTCAAGGCGTGATCCTTCTCGTAAGTGAATTTTTGATTATCTGCAAAACCACAATCGGGACACATTCGTCAAACTTTACATCTCTCATCTTTGCCGCCTGTTCGTCGTGGCACTTCCGGTTTTGACTGGCGTGCGGGGAAACATACTTACAGGCGTCGTTGATATTCGGAAGTTTTAGGGATTGTTTATTATTGTTAGCAAAAACTATCCATCGAGACTTGTTTTACTAGTTTTATCAACTACGTACATCTGTCTCAATTCACCCAGGGATTCACACTGTAAACGATCCTTCTGTTTCATAGAATTTCTTGAAATATGCCCTCCAAACAGTTTCCTGCGCGCTAACCTACCGAATTTTCAAAAAATTCGAATACTATGACAATGTTCCTACTGTGCGATAAATTGTCGCAGACACGAAAATATTTTTAGACGCTTATTATTTTCATTTAATTTCAGCATAATTTTGTGGTAGCGTACTGTATAGAATCATGCAAAACATTGCCATCTTCACCGGCTACGTCAGAGCTTTTACAAACAAAAGCTCTTCATTCACGTGTACCTCATCCAATACTAATACATTACGAATCATTCTAGAATTTGCAGTTTTACGTACACATCAGATTTTCAGTTATTGTCTTCTTATTTATTCCCAGACTATGTTTGTAACGACAAGAATTTCTAAAGTTCGAGTCAGAGATTCGAGTAAACGAAAGTTGCGAAAGAACAGTAGCCGTTCGGTAAACAAACTACAGCTGATGTCTATACAAATTGTCACTCTCGAGGCTGTAAGCTTCACCAATAATCATGTCATGACACATGATCGTGAAAGCCTCTACTTACGAGATTCCTGAAACAGTATCTATTTCTTTTTTAGTACCACACGAACGGTTAAAAGTTCCCGTAAACACGATTCCAACCGTTTTCGTCCACATATTTTCTCGGAACATATCGCGAGACCCAAGCAAATCTATATTCTCGCATGTTCTACCAGGTTGCCCCCGGTGGTAGATTGTCCGCATGCGAACGTTAAGAAAATGCTAATCTCTCGAAGCAGTGGCCCCCGGCTGGGCTGTTTCTCCCGCGCCTTCTAGGGCAAAGTCGTTTGTTAATCCCCTTTCGGGAGGACGTAACTGGGTTATCGTGCGCGCTGGTCAGAAACATGGAGAGGAGGGTTGATGTATCGTTCTTACGTCAGAAAATGTCAAACATCGAGTGGAAAGTGGCAAAGTCGTGTCGTAGTTCTACCACCCGGTAAGCGTAGAAAGAATCGAACACACATCTAGGCTTTGTTAATTTTAATAGGGTGTAAACGACAGGCTACTCTATACCTCCTTTCGTCGTTACCTGTCTTTTTCGTATTTACATACGTACTTACACGCTCGTTTTATCGATACGTTACGTGGGGCAGCCAGGTGTGTGTATAGAATATATCGTAACTGGAGAATGATGGAATCGATTGTCTACCACGGAACAAATCATTCCTTAATGAGCCTGTCGGGAACCTTTTTACGCGGGGAACAGTATATAGAACTACTGGGTTCTTCAAATAGAATAGATGAATAGAAAATCCAATATTGAAGGAGCAATTGCTATCTCCAAATAAGGTCTCCTATCGAGAAGGTGTAGCGGACCAGCTGTATAGAATACAATAACCATGTGCAATTACAGTAATTTTTACTATTCACTCTAGTTCCTATCTCAAATTCTTTCGAAGAGTATTATTAATTTGAAGGTGCTACAACTTTCGTGGTCGCACTGACTAAGGGTTCGCTATGTTTCGTCCACCGACTGTATTCCTTCGACTTTATGCCACTGGTGAGTCAACTTCCGGACCCTCAATTAACCCTCCCACGGCCTTCAAAAGTTTCCTTTAATCCAGTCACTGATATACTCCTGTAGTTTCATTCGACTTCACTATACATCATTTCTTTCACCCTTTGATGACCAGACCCTTGAATTGTAATCTCAAAATTATGAGACTGATATATATGTTGTATCTTGTTATTTTGAAGTCGAACATATCAATATTATATCAGCTTATTTTGTAACTTTTATAAACATTTATTTTAAACTCTTTTCCGTCCAAACACCTCTTCTCGGACAAAAAATTATTATAGTATTGAACTGTACGCAGACAGAGTACACGTGGGTGTTTAACAAAATCCGGACATCGATCCTGAAACGATCGGTGTCATTGTTTCGAGTGAAACACCTGAAACTCAGTTATCAGCATGCAGGTCGTAGGCATTTCTAACGGTTTTTTCGCGGACTATACAGGCATTAAACGTGTGCTGTTCCATATTTCACGAGCGGTATGTCAACGTTTTCTTGCACATTTGCAGTCGCAGTTAGCGACGAAACGAAACGTGGGTCTTTGACATATTTGTGTACGATTAAACCTGCTTTCGTATAAGTTCTTCTTCATATAAAACAATAATCTAAGGGGCTCTGCGGTATATTTATTAAAATTTTCCAAGTAGAATAATCGGGATTAGTCGAAGTTGTTCCTAATCTTGAATCACTGAAATTTACAATCTTTTCGGATTGAGGTCAATGACGTTTACTCCGTGGTCGTCGAAGGTTAAACCGTCTACAAACCGGAGATCGAATGAAATTTACTACAGCAGCGTTATGATTTCACGGTCGATCATGTGTGTGTGTATAGTCTTTACCGAAGTCGCGATATATCCAACATTAATGTAAACTTATATCCAGTCTTTGGCAAACATAATAATATTTTTTTTACGTTTTCGTGTTTTCGAACGATCTATAAGATAGGGGCTCCTATAATTATCAAATTCTAATTAGAAAAATATCAGAACACGCTTATCGGTATGAAGTGTGGTTCCCGATAGATCGAATCCACGGGATCTTCCGTAATTACATCATCGTTCGGACGGCGAAACGATTTAAAGACGAAAATTTTCCGATCAGAATCACCGAAAACATAAACACTTGCTCGATAAATGACCGCCGAAAATAAATACGAAACGAGACCATCTACACGATTTCGATCCAGTTTTATCGATCCGTCGCCGGAAGATACGAAAGTTTCGGATCGAACGTAGAATGAAACATTCGCGGAACAATTAAAGGTTAACGTCGTCTCGTTTTATACCCTCAAAAAAAAAAAAAAAGAACAGGAATGTATAAGCTATAGCTTGTGCCCGGCCCGACCATCGTTAAAAATCAATATTAAACAACTTGTAGATCGGCGACGAAAGGTCGACTCGCATTCCGTATTAATGGCGACACGTGGAGAAACCGATTACGCACGATTGAAATAAGATATTTCGATTCGCCCGCTGGCTATTCCTCTACTATCTCTGGCGCTTCAACAATGGTCTAATTACATAAAATTATACGTTTTAATAAAATACAGTGTAATGAAAAAAAAAGAAAAGCAGACGTCTGAAATGTTTGTATTTCAGGAATTACTATGATGCAACAGGCTGCATCCCGACGGTCGAGCCAGCTGAGAAGCTGAAGATTTTCAACGAATAACCTAATTAAGTGATAACCCGCGCAAATGACGATGAACCGATACATCACGTTGAACCAACTGGGCGACGGAACGTTTGGTTCCGTCGTTCTTGGCGAACGCATAGACACGGGGGAGAAGGTCGCGATCAAACGGATGAAGAGGAAGTATTATTCCTGGGAGGAGGCGATGAATCTCCGAGAAGTTAAAGTAAGGGATACAAATTTTTCGAGAGATATCCTATAAAATGGATAAAGTATAAATGAAGAAGATCAACTGAAAAATGTTTCCCGACAGCGTTGATTTAAATATCCACTTGCAACAAAATTGAATTGAATTTAAGGGTATACACTATTATCATAAAATTTCTTTTCCCGAGAAATGAAAAGTAACTGAAAAATCAGACACACTAAGTACAACTGGTGAAACGATTGAAAAAATAAATGGTACATACACATCTCTTGTTTTGCAGTCATTGAAGAAGCTCAGCCACGCAAACGTAGTCAAGCTGAAAGAAGTCATCCGGGAGAACGACGTGCTCTACTTTGTCTTCGAGTACATGAAAGAGAATCTATATCAGCTGATGAAGGACAGGTACCGTATGATTAGTATCTACCACGCATATTTCAACAGTCCATTTTCAATTTCGACATCGTTGGTATCCTTAAAACGACCTGACATTATACGACCCTTGACAGTCCTGGCGAAAAGAAACACCTACGGTTCCACCCAATTACCGATTGTGTAACACACACGTTTGACTTTTTCTTAAGACACGATGATGATGACGATCCATTGCAATAATAGGGATAAACTCTTCCCGGAACCGGTGATCCGAAACATCGTCTACCAGGTGTTACAAGGACTTGCGTTCATGCATAAACATGGGTTCTTCCATCGCGACATGAAACCGGAAAATTTATTATGCATGGGACCTGAATTGGTGAAGATCGCCGACTTCGGATTGGCCAGGGAGATACGGTCAAGGCCGCCATACACGGATTACGTGTCCACGAGATGGTAACTGAATATACCATGAATGGATGTGAAATAATCGTTAAAGTTAAGAAGATGTCACAAAAACAAATCAGAATACTGTTACAAAAACAAATCAAAATACTGTTGAAAATTAATACTTTATCATTTGAATTTCGAGGAACTCAATGATACCTCGTGTTTCAGGTATAGAGCACCGGAAGTGCTGCTCCATTCGACGACTTACAACAGCCCAATCGATATCTGGGCGGTAGGTTGTATTATGGCTGAATTATACACGTTCCGGCCGTTGTTTCCTGGCAAGAGCGAGATCGATGAGATCTTCAAGATTTGCTCGGTGATCGGCACACCCGAGAAGGACGATTGGCCAGACGGTTATCAGTTGGCCGCCGCGATGAATTTCAGGTTTCCAAACTTCACACGTACATCGTTGAGCGTTCTGATACCAAACGCCAGCCCAGAGGCGGTGATAATCATGGAAGACATGTTACAATGGAACCCGATAAAGAGACCCACCGCACAACAGTCTCTGAGGTACAGCTAAAATCTCGATAGATCGACTGGCCACTAGAAGTCGATTTAAGGGGTCATTACGGAGAAAAATACAGAGTGTAATCAAAAGCAGCTTGTTAGTATTTATTGAACTACTTATAAATAATGTAAAAAAAATTAAAAAAAGTATTTCCATGGCGCTTCATGAATTTTACACTTATGTCATAGAGACACCGTTTTTTTGTGATGTCACTTTCATGCTAGGAAATATCTTAAAACAAAACACAATAACATTTTTTGACATTATTTATAAGTAGTTCAATAAATACTAACAAGATGCATCCGATTACAGATTGTATTTACCGAGAAAAAAGTCTCTAAAGTAATGTACCTATGTACGTATGTACCTATGTACCCTTACCATCTAAATAATGTACCTAAGTAATGTACCTATTACCATCTAAGTAATGTACCTATGTACGTATGTACCTATGTACCCTTGTACGTTTAATTTATAAAAGTATTTCTCTCCCTAGGTATCCATACTTTCAAGTGCATGGTCCGCGTGTGATCAACAGCAAAAAGATCGGAATCACGTCCCATCGAGACCTGGTCCTGAACAAAGTGAATCTTCCGCCACCGATACAGAAACAGTACAACTATCCCCAAGACGCTCTCGAAGACTCCTTAGAAGCTAGGTAGTTCACATAAATTGCAACGCTTCTCATTCCCCATTATAGGAGAAGGTTCCCGAATTTGCATCAGTTTGGATCACTAGTGTTTACGTCGTATGATAGACGATATAAAAAATGATAGTGGTGATTGCACTAACTTAGTATACATATAAGTAACACATACTATCAATCACACGAAGTAAACATTTACACATGACAAGCTACAATAGTGGTCCAACTTAGGCAATTTCCAAATTCCGTAACCTTCCCTTACTACATAATTATTATAACATCGATTTGTCTGGTTTCAGAGCACAAGAGAAACTAGGACAGTCGCAACAACAACAACAGCAACCGATGCTACCGCTCCTGAACCACAACAATTACGCGCGCGAAAACAATATCCCAAAGTGGGATGAGGATGATTTTGCCGAGCTTCTTGGGTGCGTTGCCCGAATTTCGTAAATGAAACAAATAAGAAAAAAGAAAATTACAAAGAAACCGGGTGTTAGAATCGGACACCTCGTCTGTCCGTCGCGGACACATGTAACCGTTATGTATTCTAATCCCTCTGTGTATCCACGTCAGAAGCAAGATCGTTCCCGAGAACGTGAACGTAAAGCTTGCCCCCGATCGAGTGTACAAAGAGAACCGTGCCAATTGGAATGGCAATTATATGCCGGATAATCCAGGTGGTAACTGGACGTTACCACCGTCGTGGAACGAGCCGACCCCGTTGAACTGGGAACAACCGCAGGCGAACCTGAAGAACGGTCGCAAGGTCTCGGCGAAACAGCACTACCACCTGGCTCGGTACGTCACTGGGCCGAACACAAGCATGTCGTCCAGGTATCGAATGTTCCTAAACCGTGTACTACCCCCGAACCCCTATTCGCTGATACTCGTGCTTGGATATACGCTGGTCTGCTGTCTCGTTTGGCGAGAGAAGCTTCACGAGCACACCGCTTGTATGATTCAATTTCTGGCAACGGAATCGCGGGAAACATTCGAGCGTCTAAAAAATTGCCTTTTCATTGCACAGACTGATCTATTTCATGTTAAAGACCAAACGTCGAGGATCCCTTGCCTCGAGGACGTATCGAACCTTCTATTCGATGCTGTAACATTTGTTCGTACTGGCTGTCTTGAGATTGTGAATGAAATGTTGTATTTGAAGCACGTCGTGGTCGTGACGATTCTTCGACGTGTCGCGTCTATCTTCCAAAGTGTCTGTGACTTGCATCAACTGGTGCTCCAGTTTGAATATTGGAACTGTTTGAGCCAAATCTTTCAGCTGTGTCTCGATAACTTTCTCTTCTTGTAATTGTCCGCTTGTTTTTCTTCTGAGATCATGAAGTAGATTACAAAGGCGTTTACTGACTTTTGTCTTTTTTTTATCTATGTAACTAGAGAGTGGGTGAAGAGTAAAATCCCGTTGTAAATTCTCGTTTGTAAAATCAATGTGATGAATAAAACGAATGTAATATTTTCCAAGTACAATTCATCTGTTTGTTTCATTTGCTAGCGTTGTTTTTCTAATGATCGTTTTTTTTCTTTGCTTTTGCTATTAAAGGAACGGGGATTCCGACGCGAACCGATCTAGGTTGATGAGGAATCTAGTCGGTCAACCGTTGGAGAAGTACGAGGAATTCACAGATTCGTTTTGGGTACCGAGGAATTCAATCGAAAATCAAGCAAAACAGTATTACCTTCCAAGAAATCGTTACATTACAGATCAGACCTTGAGGTTGCCTTATCCTAGTGTTTACGGTACACAAACCATCAGTGAGTAACAAGTCGAAGACAACTCCGACTTTTATTTTATTGACTCTTTTTTTTTTATTAAATATCCGTTAATTTACAGAAAACACGAACAAAGGAACACTTCAACCGGGAGTGTACGGGAGTATGGTTAACCAGAAAGGCAGCGGAAGTCTTCATGGTCGAATCGACTGGGCTGCCAAGTACTTAAACTGACTACATTGAAACAGTTCTGTATAGCCTTACAATCGATACATCACATTTTCGTTGGGGCAACTTCAACTGTGATAGAATGATTATATGTCATTTCGTTGCATCGTGAAAGTGATTCATGTGAACCACACAGGATAATCCGAATGCCACGACGAGAATATAATTTACAGACGTCGATATATATAGCTCTTAAGAATGTAGTCACTTCACTGACTAATTATTTTTCAAGCTGTGTACAATTGATCACCGTTTTCTTTTCTTTTTTTAAAGAAATTCTGTCTTTTTAACTTTATTGACGAACACACTGTCGTATTATTTGTTGAGTAACCAGTATTTTAGTAATACTCTTATCGAAGTATTCAGTATATCATCCTTTCTTTTCGTTATACTTTTTTTTTATGTTATTTACTCGATATAGTGAAAATGTTACGAAAGACCAGTAATGATTAAATGATAACGATTAAGTGTGTAATGTTTGGTTCGTAAATAATAATAATAATAATAATTGGATAACGTATATATTAAAGGAAGTAACGTTTATGTATGTATATACATATTTATTGTTTGTACATATCGATTAATTCGCGATATGGAGTAACTTCTGATAGACGGATGATTAGTCAACAAAATTAATTGTGTGTGTCTCTACTTTGTCTTTTTATAAACGATCATGGTACTATCCGTCGTGTGCATATACGTATCAAGATTCGTACGGAAATTTACTCCATATCACGTCTGGTACAACGTTCGAGGAAAAAGGACACTACACGATGAAAAATATGAATTATAAAACCGAAATCATTCTCCGAATTTTCTACATATAATCTTTAAGAAAAAAAAAGCATCCTTATTCATCCATAGTTTACGATACCTCTCACTCATTTCGTTCGACTACCACGTGTGTCTTTATTTACTTGTCTTACAAACGGATATTTCTTAACATGTTTTCCTTCATAGATGGGTCGTGCCCGTTCGAGTATTCTTTTAATATAGTTTTGATAGATATATTTTGGAACTCATATGTTTAAGGTGTAAGTTTAAAAAGTAATAAAAAAATACGCTGCTGTCGCAGTAAGAAACGACGACTAAATAGTATGTATGTTATGTATAATATCTCACTCCCTATGATGCACTCACGAGTCGGAAGTGTTTCATAAAAAATATCTCGTCATCAAAGGAACATGTGACAAAATTCGTTTAAAAATTATACTCACTCCCGAGAATTTGCATTATAGTATTTATACACCAGTTCTTAACATATATATGAGACATAGTATTTCTTGAATTTTCACCTCTAAAAAACTTCGAAATCCGCAATAAGGGATATGTGAAAGAGTAAGTACTCGATACATATATCGTATCTTTCCCTGTATTTTAAACAAGCCCATTATTTTGTTCGTACTATTTCACGAAAAAGTTGGTAGACCATTTACCATTTGTATGAAAAACAAGATGGAAAACTGTGATACTATTCACGTATTCACGATACGGTTGAAAATCGATAACGATTAAGTGTATGTGTGTTGATGTGTGTGTGTATGTATATGGACAAGAAAATCTATGCAGTTCCTTGTGTGCCTCGTCTAAATGATCTCTCTAAGTCCTGCATTAAATACAAGAAATATATCTGTAAGCTGTTTGGATGGGTGGTACACTGGTGAATATTACGCATATACATTTATCCATTAATGTAATACAATTTTTTTATATTTGAAGTAATCCATCGGAACACGCTCGTAAAAAGGCTTTCCGAGAGTTAACGTATTCGCATACGTACACGATTCGTCGGTTAGTTTAAGTCCATTTAATTCACGAGCTTGGATGAGCTTCATTACATGATTCGTTAAAAAAAAAGAAGAAAAAAATGAAATTGAATCAAATAATCTACGCCCTTGTTAAAATTACTGGTTTAAATTCTATCGACGACGCGCGTCGAAATAGTAGTGATCTCAAGCCTGACACACGCATCGTGTTATCGTTAATTTCAATGCTATAAAGAATGAAAATTTGATTATAATATCTCCCACACAATCGTGGATATGTTTTGGGTTGGGGACACGTGTAGACAAATCTACGCGCTCGAAAGAGACAAATACTTCTTCTTCATCTTATACGGAAATATAACTTGTCTTACAGCTTATAATATCAACTACATCCGCGAAATGTAACAATCTCGTACAGAATATACTGTAATGCACCGATAACTTCGTCACGTAAATTTCCTATTTATCAACCACTGATACCTAACAAGTGCATCGCGCCGCGTCAGAATTATCAGGAAGGATCGTTACACCTTACGTAATCGTTTTAAAATCATTCCGGATAGTTCTACGGAAACGAAACTGAATGTAACAACTATAACCAATAAACTATATTTATCACGATCCTAAGGATAATCGATTTAATTCTTAAATAATATCTGATCCAACCCTAAGCGAATTCGCTTAATCCCATTGTTATTCTATATAGTTTATCAGGCAGAAACACTATTAACCAGAATATTTAAGGTTCGATAATAGAAATTTCGTAAAGTCAACTGAGATATTGACGATTATTGTTTCTGCCCATGTCGACAAATTATCGACCATTAATATTATTTAAGGATTAAAAGACATTCATTCTTTTGTACACATGCAACAAATTCGTATAGCCCTGTACACTCGAAATTTCCTCACCTTTAACAATAATATTTGACAAGCGATGGACAATTAAAAATTATTCACAACGGTATGAAAGGCACAATATCTTCGAAGAGAAACCAATTACAGTAACCGGAAGTTCAAAGAATGTATGTACCTAGCCGCCATATTTTTCTACGTCTATCGAGAGTAGAAGCGTTTCGTATTCGATCGGTGATTAGAAAATTTAATCGAAAACTCCGTTAAAACGTAATCAAAATTAGCTCGTTCACGTGGATCTCGATATTAGTCTGTTTTTGTTTCCTTTTATTGACTACCGTTCGTTATTCATTTAGAAAATATCCTTTGCCCATCGATTAGCATGTCATTAAAAATGTTCAAACAAAATGGACCGTTACAGTACATGGAACGATAATTATGGAAAATTTCTAATTGTTGTACTATGTGCTATATTTAAAAAAAAATCGAAGGATACGAAGAACGGATAATTAATGAAGAAACATTTTTGTTCAGAGATCTTGTTATTAGCTTTATTCACACGAAACACCAGATTCAACACAACACACAAACATGCGTGTCCTAGTGTTGCAAAATCGCATTATTAACCGCGGCAGCGGTTACATTGACTAAAATTTTCGGGGCTACAGTTGTGGATGCCTCCATAATACCAGTTGTCAATGTGCTAACGGTAGCGTTTGAAATTAAAGTGGACGTTAATAGAGTTGTCAGAACACCGACGGTAGTTTTAACCTTTGGTGTAACGGTTTCTAGCGTAGGCAAAGTGGAAGACGCAACGTATGCCAAAGTGCTTGTTGTCGAATTAGCCAACGGCATTATTGTGAGTTTCACTGCCTTAGAGCACACGTCTTTAGCTTGAACTGGTAGACCAAAGCATGTGTCCATCATATAAGCCAATAACGAGCCTACTGTCAGACCCGTGGTGTACGATAAGGTCATGATATTCCCTGAGAGAGCAACAATGTTATGAATTTACAAAAATGCAATTGTTTTTTTTAATCATGAAAATACCTGCTAATTCACGGTGTCCTTCTGGAACTTTGGTAGGTGCTTGCATCATTGGTACAGAACCAACAATACCATTTGTGACGCCAAGTAAGCAAGAGAATAGCAGTGGATACTCTTCAGCAGCGAGGATCGGATCACCTCTTGGTAGTGCACACAATAGGAATAAAGGTATCAGTATGACCCGGGCCGTTGAAAAATATAATAATTGAGTACGTTTCCAGTCGTATGGTATCAGTGCAAGTAGCTGAAAGTATTTGGTGCATCATTGCTCTGAAGTGAATCGCATGCTTCTGTTGTAAATTCTAATTGGTAGTACCTTGCCTAGTACATCAGAAGCATTGAAAGCAGTCATCAGAATCACTGGCATCCAGGATTCTAGTTTACAGGAAATTATTTCTGACATAATGCCAGGATATAGACAAAGCGTAACAAAATATGCTACACCAATGCTGGCCATGTATGGAAATATTATCTTAGCCACTTCGAGTCTTGCAAGTAAACCTCCTAAAACCACATTCTACATGTTAGTCAAAGTGTATGGTTTATTATATATATATAAAAAAAAATCAACAGTGATTCAAAATCAACTGATGTACTTTTAATTTCAGGCCATGGTTTATTGGTTTGAGATCCGTATGTTCCTTTCATAACTACAACATCCTCAACCTTGTAAGTGGGACCAGCACTACCAGGAGGATTTCCTGATGGTGCACTGGGTTCATACACAGGATTACTGAATGAAAATGCTGAATATTGATTCATCCCTGGTAATTGAAATAAGATAATCATATAAATGAAAAATATATTTGCATTTCTATGCATCTCAGATCAATTTTAATTTACCATTCAAGTCAGTGTTACCACTTGCAGACTCGTTCCCTAAAGGACTAGTCTGGATTTTCAAAACTCCATACTGACCTTTCGCAGGATCCCCAACTTGATCCAGAGGATCCATCTTTAAAACATGAAACTTCATAAATATGATCGTAATATTATTGTTTCAACCTACGAATTTCTATATACGAACCAAACCAACATCTTCGGTCGGTTCCAACGTTATACGATTCCTTTCCTGACACAACGTTATGTAGAATTGCACGAAGTCAGTCTTACGAACCACTTGGTGTAATACGAAGCACATCAGGATTGTTATATTCGATAAGATGAAGAACATGGATGTATTACTGCGCTCGTCGTCGAGCAGTGACTTTGTAAATATTCGATTAATAGATACCCAGAGACCGGCAATACCTATATACAAAAAAGCGACAAAGTATTTTGTCGATTTTACTTTTTAACTTGATTGTTTTTTTTACTCACTTTCTCCCGTCATTACCGCTTGAGTATACCGCGTGGGAAGCATAGATGTGTATCCATAAAAGCTCGATTGTTGAACTTTAATTCATAAATGTTAGTAATGAGACTTATTCATGAATAAGCAAATACATACAAGTAATTTTTACCTGTACATCCGAGTGATACAATTGCAACGGCAACTAAATTAATGGTATACGAAGTAGCAACGCTGAAGAATTCCCACCAGATCTCGCATACCACAATGAATTTCAAGGTAACAAAAGACACCAAATATCCTAAAATTGTACCCCATTGCATTATAATACAATCATTCACCACCATCTCACCATTGATCCGGCATATCGATTCTCACCGAATGTTATTCTGGTGTTCAAAGACAGTGTCTCCACTAAAATATTGTTCGCAAACACCGCGAAGAAGGCCATGGTAATATAAACGAGGGACATGTCGAATATCACTGTGGTTCCAGGATATCTCGTCTGGAAGTAATCTACTGCTATGATGAAGCTGTAAATACATAAACACACGCATTGTAGTATACTTCCAATGGGAACAATTTCAAACGCGACAGCTCGCAAATCAAAGAACCTCTAGTGCGTACAACGGGTAAGAAAATAATAGATCTCATTGAACCCTCTAAACAGTATTTACTGCTGAAAAAATGGACCAACTATTTTATCAGATAAAAACAAAATAGCAACTCTACCGGATATCTCATTTCAGAAACACACATTCTTTAACATTCACTCGCCGAAGCTCAATAAAAAAGTGGAATAAACAAACAAAATAAATTCAAAGCCTGTGATCCCTATAACGATCACGATACACCAAGAAAACAATACGATAAATAATACAATCTAGTAAGTAACTATATCAAATAGTTGTTCCATGCATGCGTTCACTTAAACCTCCAGAAAGGTCAAGTTCGCTTCCCATCGAAGTAGGCGATCCGAATCTTTCAGGGGTAGCTAGCTAATCTATTGACGATCAATCGTTTCGATTCCTCGGGTAATACGTAAACAAAAATGATTTTTCTAGCTCGTGAAAAATGTCTTTTTCGTTTTATAGTCGAGGCACAATAGATTCGAATGGGGACCCAGGGAGGTCTTTGACATTCGATTGCCGGGACACACACGGGGTGAAGGATTAATGGAGTGTTATTGGCGGCGTGACCTGTTGTACGGCAAGAGGAATCCTATCCCGCTGAGTATCAGGGCGAAGAATATGAAGTTCCGTTTGTCGACAGGCGGCGACAGATGTGTGAATCCGTTCGAGAATTTGAATTCATTCATGCCCCTCGCCTTGCCCAACTGCACGTAGCCCCGGCTCAGGTTCTCGTCCATGTTTGCGCGGCCCCGCAATACGGGCTTTTTCGCTTTCCTTTTTTCTGTACACCAGCCAAAAATGAACGAACGCAACTGGCGAACGCCGTGTCTTTATGGGTCCATATTGTTCGACGGGAAGAAGCTTTTACAGACAAAGCGTCGCGTGCGGTTCTTTTACGGTGAACTTGACACACCACCGTTGCCCAGCACATACACTCACTGACGCACACATACACACGTTTTTTTTCGACCCGGGGACCAGAAGTATTAATCACACGGCCACAATCACACACTGCAGCACACCGTATTTATTTCTTCACGCGTACTATAGGTACACGGGGAATAACCGTGATCCGCCGCGACACGGTCCGAGCGCATGCTTTGAAAATTTTGCGGCATTGATTTCTGCGCGCGCTTCCGCTTTGCCTACCCACCGGGGGTTGATCCGCCGAAAAATTTCACCGGCGGAATTGCACGCCGAAAGCTCAAGAGAGGGGCAAGAGCGGTCAATTTATATATACGTCTGAGTCTACTTTTTTTTATAGTGTTGTAATATTTGGATTACGAGAGTTGGAGTGGAACTGCGAAAGATTTTTAGAGGATCTCGGTGTAGATGGAACTTTGTTATTTTCTCTGAGTTTCATAATGCTGTGTATTTGCTTGAATATTCTAAGGCATCAGTAGTTGTGTAAACTTTGCGTATTGGTGAACTGAATAGCATTTTATTGGCTTTTATTTAAAATTTAAATCATTGGTACGAAGTATATAGTTTAGTGTAATATTTGCATAAATTTAATAATAATTTGTTTAGATACTATTTATCAGTAGACGCGCGATAATTGATCACCTCGGAGCTGTAGTGGGCCAAATTTCCAGGAACTGATCAATTAATAAGCGCCAATTACCCGCGCGATTTCCTCACCAATGTACGCACTTTTTGATCGTCTTACTATCTCCGTTATATTTAAAGATATCGACAAAGTTTAGTCGCGGAATAAAAATTAAATATAGCCACATTCCTAGAAATTTCCTCTACAAAATATAGATCTTCGATCATGGTTCTTTTTGATCAGTTATACTGGGCACCAAATCATATTGGATACACGGATTATGAATAGAATATATAATGCTCTATTTGTGCTAATAATACTCAGAATTCATGTTTTATTGGTAACGTCGGGTATTAACGCTGATATGGTTTGTATTAATAGATGGTGCTGAATGCTGCTAGAACCAGCTAGAACAGCAACATTATTCGAAGCTAGACTGTACTTGTATATTTTAACTGCATTTACCGCGTTATATGGATAACTGTTTTTTCTTGCTAAGTACAGAATTAACAGCTTAAAGAACGTAGATTAAAGTTGAATAATGGTTGGTCTACTAGAATTACACATGTAATTGCATACATATTAACATCGCTGATGATTGTAATTCATAATGGTGTTATCGGACATTGATTGATGGGTTCCTAACAGATTGACTTCCACTTGATTTCAGTGAAACGTTTTCCTTTTTAAGCTCTGAATTTGAAGGTCCAATAACAGATTAGATCCCAATAATTGATAAATAGAATTATGAGGATATGGTTAAAATATGGATAGACTACTTCGACGTTCGAGGGCTCTGTGGGTTCGGATTGAATTACCGCAAATAAACTTAATTTTCTATAATTTCCTCTCAAGGTTTTGTCTTCATCTTTAAAGCTGGAAAAAATTTAGATTAAACTCCAGTGATGATCGATTCATTTTTGATTCGGCATATTACAATTATATAATACAATTGCCACTTTATTGTTTCCAGCTATATGTACGTATGTACTTTTGCTATACTACGAGTGATAAGTATGCGCTTGCGCTCTGCGTCATACTATACTTATCACTTATGAATCAGCTGATGAAAGAAGAAGATTGTTGCTGTAAGTTTCAGCGGTATTTTGGGTAAAAATTCGAAAAATGTCATTAAATACAGCGCACGCAAACGGCGGTGTTCTTATACACGCCGGTGAATGGTAAGTAGAGAAGATTATCTATCATTTTTGGGATTGTCAACGTTATTTCGCACGTTTTCGCCCGTGACGTTTCTGCAACGTAGTTAATGTCTGGCCTTTCGAAGGCGGCTTCCTTATTATGTCAATAATCTTACCCTCATTAAATTACGATAAACTATTGCATTTCAAATGTACCTTGTGCCTGATACAATCACTGTAACAACCACTAACGAAAATTATATTTATGTCTTCAGTATATTACTATTTTGCGATAATGTCACCATGGAGTTCCATGGACAAGAGCAACCAGTGTTCCTTGGAAGCAAACGTGGTCGTTTATACTTAACAACGCACAGAATGATCTTTAATGCCAAAGATCAAAAAGAAAAGATGCAGTCTTTCAGCTTTCCTTTTGTAACATTGAGTGACGTTGAAATGGAGCAACCAATGTTCGGAGCTAATTACATCAAAGGCAAATGTCATGCCCAGCCAAATGGTAATTGGATTGGAGAATGCAAGTTTAAGTTGCATTTCAAGAGTGGTGGTGCGATAGAATTTGGGCAGGCCATGTTAAGAGCAGCAGCAATGGGTATGATACATGTTATCAGAGAGATTGATATTTATTTAATCATAGCATATTTGGAGGAATTATTAAACATATTTTCAGCTCAACGTAATGGTCCTGGATCTGATACTCCACCACCCTATGAACCACCAACATCAAGCTGGTATGCTGCTCCACCACCTGCTTATCAAGCTGCAGCTACTGGATATTATGGTTGGGTACCACCCACTAATGTATTCCCAGATGTGCCTCCAGGTTAAATGTTTTTCCATCTTTTTTCCTTCTAATGGTCTTCGTAATATTGCTTTATTAACAATTTGACTGCCAGCCCGACACCCATAAAAATTCCTACAAGATCAAAACCTCTTCAGTCAACTGAACTGTCCAGTGCTACACTATGATACATATTGTTGCTCCCCGACAACTTTTAGTACCTCTTAGGGTCCGCTTTGCATCCACTTGTCTTTTAATCAAAATTTCTTTCTTTAATTTTTTAGCTCTAGGCCAAACGTTGTGTTACTCTAAAATGATGTGGCAGTCAGAGTGTTAAATGATTATCTACTTGTTTTTATTCAAGACAATTTCATTATTTAAAATTGTTTTGTGTATGTATATAGCAAACACTGTATTTATGACGGACATGCCACCTCCATATCCTGGTATAAATGCACCTTATGCAAGTGGTGTACCACCGCAAGGTGCATGGGGTGCTGCTGGACAACAATCTGGTGGATGGGCACCACCTCAGCAAAATGGTGCACCTGGATGGGCAAATCCGAGTTACAATAGCCAACCAATGACCCAAGCAGGTGGGTATCCAAACTATCAACAACCACAATACGGTGGTTATTCACAAAATCCACCACCATATTCACAACATCCTCCAAGTAATAACTACCCACAACCTGGATATTATCCACAACAAAATCCTTACAATCCTTATCCACCTGGTTATTAATTGTATAATGATTGTGATAACACAATTATATTATATTATATGCATACATGTGAAATTTATGAAATTCAAAACATTTAGAAGTGATCCAAATTTTGAAAGTGATCTTTGAAATCAAATATGTGATAAATGGACCGTAACAAATCGCATATAGAATACAATTATTTTTTAAAAACATAAAATGCAAATATATATGCATATATGCTACTATATTACATTACAACACATACAAAAGGCACACAATAATGTAACATACACAATATATAAGAAATGCTAATTTACTTTATTTTTTTTTGACATATGTACTCATAACGAACAATATTGTTAACTACTGTTTTAAAGTATTGTTTTGTTGTTCCAATGATATAATAGCTTTGTGATAATGATTATAATCAAACATACTATGTTATTAAAAGTTAGACAAGTATAACTTGCTGTTTTTATTTAAACCCACCAATTCAAAATGTTATGTTTTTATAAAGATGATAACTGAATAATGATGCCATATTTTCTATCTCACCTGTTAAGTCTGAAGGTTTTGAATATTATGCAATCTTATTGCACAACAGGTTTGGTTGACCTGAAGTAAGGTTGACTTTCACTATGCTCAGTTATTATCTCATAGTTGCCAGAGATAGTTCAAAGATACGTGAAGTGTTATTATAAGCTTTCAATCGGTTTTTCATCAACTAATCAGTCTGTTTTAGTTACAAAAGTGTATAAAATTATTAATTATATATATATAGTTTTCACAAAATAGATAACAACGATTATATTTTGAGTGTAATCAATGAGTAACTCAATCAAAGTATGTTATAGATAAAATATTGTCTATCGTTAATAGCAATAAAAAACGCCTATATAACTTTATAAAATTTTTAGATTACAAATTTCCAAAATTGTGTTGAAAGTGATTCATCATATAATTCCACTTCATGGACAAATTATTTGATGTCACAGTAACAAAAATTAGGAATCAAATATAGAGGATCACTTTTGAAAATATTGGGACAATTAATTTATTTAAACATTTGACAAAGATGCCAAAACGTTTTCAATTCACTGCATCAAATATATATACATGTATGTAGTTCATTATGTTTTCCAATACACTTATAAGAAAAAAATCTTTCAGTGAAGTGTTACTAGTGTTTCACATTATTTCGTTTTGCAGATGCAAAAGCAGCAGAAGCTGCTCAAAGTGCATATTATGATCCAAGTAGACCTCAGTGTGCCTATGTTCCACCTCCTGCATACTATGTAAGTATAAAACAGTTTCTATGAAATCATATAATGTTTCTAACACTACTTTGTCATAGGAGAGTCCACCAAGTTTCCAACAGGCAACAGAAAAGAAGGATCAGTAAAATTGCTTTCACGATTTCTGAAAGCAGTAATGTAGCATTGCGCTGTTACTGTTTGAATAGTATTATACGTGTAATATACTACATAGGAGCAGATATTATGCATTCCAGTTTAGGTTTTGCTATGATGTCGTTTTGGTGTACGCATTTCAATGATACAATATTTCTATCTTTCTTATATTATTCACCATTCTGACTATATACACTATATTGTACTGGTATGACTCAACATATGCAACTATTTATACTTATTGTGTAGGTTGTATAAATATTGTATAAGAAATTCTATTGTATTTTGCGGAATTAATGAAATGTATTAAATAAAAGTTACTGCATACGAATGTATAAAGAAATCTGATTCCTATATTCATATATTTTATTAAGAACTATAGAAGGTACACAATATTTGTACGTATGTAAGAACACAATTAAATATAAAATAAAACAATTCGCATTATAGTAAAATTTATACAAAATTTCAGTTGTTAAAACACACTTAAATATATATTTATATTTTTTTTTATCAATTGGATGTAAAACAGCGGCTTTCGATTACATGCGCACTGTTTAACATTTATATTTAAATGCATGTATAAAACTTTAATTACATGTGTATAAAAATACGTTTCTATCGCATAATTACAAGTTGTATTAAAATACAGTTGACTTGATTTGTGCTAATAGCTGCTCGAAAATCCTTGTTTCGACTAGTTTTTAAATATGGCAAAAATGGTACATACAATAATTTACGTGTGTACAATAACTTTATACACTTTAATAATTTATAACAATTCGGATATAATCGGCAGTCTAAAACGTTACAAAACTCAATATTTTATAAATTACAATTTATGCATTAATAACTGTAACATTTCATTAAAAAATGGCACCTACAAACATCATATGAGACAAAAATTCATTATACAAGTAATTTAACACTAAAATGCTGATCATTAACAGCATTTGCATCAATCTGAAATTTCCAGTATGTATAAAACTTTATAAATATTCAATAATTGAGTAAGGCAGGTTATTTTAGGTTTCCTTATTCCACAAAATAAAAAACCTTAACTACATAGAATGCTATCTATGTAGTCAGTAAAATTATTCAAAAACAACTGTATATATCTGTATTCATGAAACTTTACCCATATTCAGAAGTGACTGTTAAACTAAAGCTTTTATCTATAACATAAGTGCTATGATACCAGATTCTTGTATCTAAAAGAACAATGTCTCCAGCATAAACGGTGAAATTAAAATGCTTGCAAATATTATCACATTCTGGAGTCGGAGCAACAGTCCATATTTTATTCCCCAAGATTTGTCCCTGCCACATGAGGCGAGAGATGTAGTCCAGCTGTGAAAAAAAAGCAATAAAAACTTCATCGTTAATTGTCTAATTTCATTTTTAATTAGCATAAACATTCATAGTCCACGTATCACCATTGTACATACATGCATAATGGCACCTTCCTCATACCCCAAAAAAACATAATTGGTATATGGAACCTCTGCATCCTCTGGCAAAAAATGAGGTAGATTGTAAAACTGTTTCATAGTATCCAAAATTTGAAGATGACAATTTTTCCAACCAACATACCAAGGATCTTTTTTACTAAGTTGCAGGGCTCTATCCTCGCTCATGGCAAAGACATCCCTTAAACTAGTGAAATTGCTTTTAAAATGTAAAAATTGACATTCATCTACAGACTCATAAGCACCCTCTGTTCTCTCGTATAAATCTCTGAAGAATTTCCAACTGAATACTTTTGAAGCAGGCCAATGAGTTGCTGCATTTTTTATTACCATAGGCCGAGAAGAATAAGCATATTTCTTAAATTCCTCTCTGGTTAGATTTGGTAAAATTAAGGCCGTAGTAACATCTTGGCAATAATCACAATTCGATATTGGCCTGGTGAATTCCCATATGAAATAATTATTTGGTACCAAGCACCTAGTTTCTTGAATATTTTTTACCATATCAATACTTAAATACTTAAAAAGTATACTACAAAATATTGGCACAAATAAGGCAAGGAAGACTCTCTTTAAACATAAATAATAAAAACTGGAAGATCTCTTGTGTACTATATTACTTCTGATACTAGCTGATTTGAGCTCTGACAGTGAAGCACCTTTCTCTATAAAGCTCTCAGTTAAAGCTAAAAATGCTTCTTGTATATTTTCTAAAGTGTTATTACTTCCATCCATTACTAGTGTTAAGGATAAACATTGAAGATTTTCCTTAAACCACTTTAAGTAACCATTGGAGATTCAGTGGTAATTTTCTTTTAATTAACTTCGAAATCGTCCCGTCACTGCTACCTGTTCATTCATCCTCCAACTACCGTGATCTCGTAGTAGTAACATTTAGACTCAATGACAACATTATTTCTCTTATCTTCCGTAAGTATATAATCAAATTTGTACCTTATACATCGATTTCAATTTATGGCAACTTTTCGTTGTGTTTCATATATTCTTACAAATGCGTTCCGTTTAACATAGCGAAGGTGACATCGTTACTTTAAATATTGTTTACAACACGTTGACTGGTTAGATATTCGTCCCAAACATAATTCGATGGACGATGTATTCCTTCATTATTTTCTTCAAATGCGAAAGATAGGTGAAGTATATACGTTAATCGAAGGGTATCAATGATAACACGAGAACAGCTTCTAAGAAGCGTGACTGTGTGGATTTCACCGTACTTTTACACATACATAGCACACTTGCGCCGCAATGAAGCCTTGAACCACTTCTGTTTCAACGAAATGTGAAGGTTTGCATTGATTGCGGAACAGGTATTATCATTCTCCGATTGGTGCAGAATCCTGTGCCTCCTCCCGACACTTTCGCATCTTCTTACGCGGAGCAAACGTGAGCAAACGAATGAAAGTCGAAGGTCTGCTCCGTCTACTCGCTCGACACCAAGTAATTTAATACCCTAATAGGAAATTTCCTGTTCACGTGATGAACAAATGTGGGCTAATGCGGGCATTCCATAATTTCCGCGGCCACATCCAGAGAAATTTAAAATATTGTACCGTAGATAAAATATTATACTGAGCTTATCAAACAGTCCTTTTAGAAATAGTTTTGAAAGAAATTGAATTATAAATTTCAACATTTTATTAAATAATGAACTAACTGTTTTCTCCGACCATCTTCTGTTATGTTTTTGGTATTCATATTATTCTTATCAGAGAGATTTTCTCTCTGTTTTTACCAAACTGCTAGAATATACAGAATACCTATACCATCATTTTTTCAAATAAATACTCGATTGTTAGTGGACTATGGATGTTTAGTTAAATCCAAATTTTCCTAGATTAATTTATGACAGCAGAATTTAAATAGACTTTAATGAATGGTTGCACATGATAAAGGAGGGTTCTGTCTTAATTTTATTTTATTGTTTCATTCGGTTACGTCTGCTATACATCCGTAAAATTCGCGGCCACAGAATGAAATAAAATCAAGCAAATAGAGAATTCTTAAAATTGTTTATTTTATGAAATCGCACAACATCATGTACAAGTCTTATTTAAATGGACATTGAAGTAAATGTTTTAATGTGCAAACTGCAATCACAAATTCCATGTAGATATTCTGCTAAACAAATTTGATTTGTCGTTTCGTATAATTTCGGTTTTTTTTTAAAAGGTGTATACGCAATATAAAACCTAATTTACAGCAGTTATAATACTAGGTTATGCAATATGAAATTTGCTTATGCTCGTCGAGATACAGTCCACTTGAATTTCTACAACGGGATTCCGAAATAAGACTTTTCGCAGACGATTTACATAGGCCAATGCCGAAAATCTAAAGGCCAGTGTAAATATATATTTAATTTCGCAACAAATTCGATGTTTCATTATCGAACAATCTTAATACACTACAGTGCATTTTTCTGTTTGTAAAAAATGCAGGCTATATTTCTTAGCAGTGACGTGGCTCTATTATGGCTCGATTGATATTTATAAATTCAGTTTTATTTCTTTTCTGAGCAAAACATAAGTTTCGTTAAAGCGCGACATTTAAAGCGTGTGTTTTGGTATGAAACTTAACGTTGTTTCGAAATGTTGTATTTAAAATGTTTACGGGAATATCTGAACTATTACAATTTACTTATCAGCGTTACTAAATGCAGTAAAAAGTTGTATTATTGTATTTATTGGAAACTCGACGAACTTCAAAAGATTGTAAATGCAACATCATAACTTCTTTCTTCGCATCCTCCTATAAATGTAATTTTACAAAAATTTCACTTTTACGTTGAAGGTTTATACGTTCCTAATTGCATAAATAAACAAAACATATTTAGAATTCTCTGATCTGCTTGTTCAAACGATAACGTTGTTTGTCGCTTGACGCGAATGTTTTTCGGTTTGAGAGTCAAAAAAAACTTATTATATTTACAAGTCTTACATACGATATAATCCAAAGAAATTAATATTATAATTACAGTATTATCTCAATGTATCAAAATTTTTCTACATTCCAGAAATCACAATGCCTTATAAATACTATATGTTCTGTAAAAATCGATATTGCCGAATTTTATCAAATAACTGTCATTGTTCTCAATAGAAATTAATATCGTTATTTATCTAAAATGATTTCTTAACAGAATACTTTTATTAGGACACATCAGTTATAATCCAACGCAAAATAAGTTACTACTTACTGTTAAAAATGTGTGACTAGCACAATCGTGTTTGTATCAATGCTTACACCTGATTACACTTTGCATTCAAAAAGATAGAAATTTCCATCAATGATCAATCAGAAGTAGCACCACTTGCCAAGAATAGCATCTTTTATAGCCGATATGTATTGTGCAGGAACCCAATATATCCAATATCTTGAAGCCTCTGTTGTGCCTAATTGAATGGCCTACAATTTAAAAGAACAATTAAGTATAAATACATGAAACTTCAAACATGCTCACAAAGTGGAGATACAAACCATAATATGATATTCTGGATGGTCATGTATAGGTTCACTGTGTACACCCTTTATAGAATTCATAGGTATTTTGTCCGTTCTTTCTTTTGTACCAATCCAAAGCTGATCTTGTTCCAATTTGAATGTTAATCTAACTTTGCCACCAGATTTATTTAACATGCCAGCCAATGGAAATTCTGGTAGAGGCTCCTAATTGCAATTCAATTCATTTAGACTGAATCCTTTTGTACACACCAATTAACTAGTTCATTTGTAAAGTACCTTGCTATCTAATATACCAGGCATTACATCTTCTGGAATACCTTTATCTAAAACTTTCCTATGCATTTTTTGTTGGGACAAGGGTTCTTTGCTTGTAGTAGATGCAGCTTCATCTGAGAGATCTTGCTTTGTTGGAATTGACACAGCCAACACGTCATCTAACTTTGACCCTACTACCATGACTTTGGCACCTTGAGAACATAATATGAGCAATATCATCAAGGAATTATTAGAAGCTTTTTATATTCTATACAGCGAATTACCTTTTGTAACACCCAGACTTCTCAATGTTTCATAATCTTTGGCTAATCCTTTGATCATAACTTTCTGCATGGCTTGTGGCACTGATATGATGTTTTGAAGATGTGCCTTCAATTGTGCAACAGTGCCATCAAGTGGGAAATTCACATTAATCCGCTGTTTATTATAAACCACTTTAAAATCTATATTTTCTTGGGGGGGATCCTGTGAAATGGTTTCATTATTATCTTTTGGCTGTGTCTCTAGGATTTCACATTTTGGCAGTGAATTTTCTGTTTCTGTAGATGGAGCTTCATTGGAATTTGTATTTGACACTAGCTCAGAGCAAGGTGCAATGTTACAACAATTGTCATTGCTTTCACTCTCTGCAGCCCCTGAAAAAAATAAACAAGCTTGTTAGAACATTCACATCATTATCTTTTAATTAGGTTAATATTTCCTACAATGCAATAATATGTTTTGTATCGTTTGGAATGTCGAGAAAGAGCAATGCATAAAAAGATTTACTGAAATAAAGGAAATATTTTAGACAGATTAGTGTAGGTTATGTCCAAAAAGATACAAGTTTATGAGAAACTTCTGATTCACTGACGATAATTGTGCATCTTGATTACTGCATAGTATTTAATACAACTAGCAAGTAATTGTGTAAAAAGTTCTCATAAGAGTAACGAACATTTTCTCAAAATTCATTCAACATACACTGTTATTCACAATATTTTATAAATGGATTAAATTGAGTAGTACTCTTTCGTTATATTTAAAATAATTAAAAACAAACATAACATATGACAACGTAAAATATTTATTGATTGACGATCGCTATGAAAAAGCATGAAAAATCGTCAAGATTTAGTGTACGTACCGACGTACTCCATGATGAAGTGTATTTGGTTGACCAATCAAAACTGTTGCAGGATGCGTTGCAACTTGCAATTTCTGCCATTCGTATTTACACCAATCTTGGGAATGACTTTCAAAACTTCAAATATATCCTAAAAACAGTCAGGGAGAGCTTTCAAGTTCAATTAATTTGAAAATCAAATTTAAAATAACATTGTATTCACTAATTCGTAAAAAAATTAATAATCGAAATTTTATATATAAGTAATATTAATATAAATTTTAAAAAATAAGTTAAATAAAAACTTCAAAGAATATAATTGTTTGACCCTTTAAATGTTTTTACTTTTTTTCAGATTTAATTTTGTATTCAATATATGAGCTTAAAATGACCTTTCATCCCAGGATAAAAATAGAACAGCTTTGTCTAATCTACTTTATAATATGAACATTTATGTCTATCTCAAGTGTAAATAACATCTAATTTGTATAGAGGATTGTAAAAACAATGATCAAATTATGTTAGTTGCTATCACAGACGAGATATTTGCTATCAAGAAAAATGTACAGTTTTAAAATTTGATTTATTGCCATTATAATTTATATTGGAAAGAGTAGAAGTTTAGTACACAGTTAATAATTTCGTGTAACTAAATATACCAATTAGTAAAACTGAATTTCATAAGTATCTATGTATCAATTTAATAAAAGTCTGAATTTGTATTAAACCACACGGTTGTGTACATATGCATGTGTAAACATTCGTCTGAATATCATTCATCGGTACGGGCACGGAATTCAAAAGTGTGCAATCAAAGAGTGTAAGGTGGCGTAGTGATCGGAGAACGCCATCTTGTGCACCACATGACCTCGTTGCCGTGTCCCGTGACCAGCTCACGTGAATTTTGACAAATTCAAACATTTTTGGTAGAAAAAGAATGGATATATTGGAGCAGCACCTCGAACAGCAGGATGTCAGGTAGTGTTTATGTTAAATATCGACCGGCTGATAATGCGAACACCTATCCCTCCTGTTTCGGTCGAGGTCTCCTCAAGGTCATCACGTAGTGCACAGTGCGCACTTACAAGACTTAGGACAACGGTCGTGGAAGTAATAGGCATAGACGTAATTCTATAGACACGTTGCATATCCATTCCTCAACATCTCTACGCTTCTTTTACAGCACTGTTAACGCGAAGGATGAAGGCGGCACGGGAATTGTTATTGAAGAGGCGGAAATCGTCGACTGCGAAGGTAAATATAGCTTAAGTTAATGAGTTAGTTATATCTCACAGATGTCAAGACTTACGTGATTCTGTAGTATATTGGTTGCTGGAAAGTGTTATATAAAATCTTATTATAAATTTCGTATTATATACTTAACTTGAAACAGTTAAATGTGTACTTTGATGTTGATGTCTTGTTCAGTGATGTGTTTATTTGTTTTTAATTTTCTTCAAATCACTAAACATTATTTACATCCAGTAACAAATGGTGGTAGTCGGAAAGAATCTAGCTAATAGTTTAATGTCTCCTTATGAATTAAAAGTAATTGTATGCTATGTATTTTAGTATATAGGTAATAGGAACTATGAATATTTTATAGGAGAAACTGTGGGAGAAGATGGGATGCGCTACCAAGAAGCTTTGGCATATAGGGTGGTACAAGTAAATGGCACTACTACCGGCAATGAAATAGAATTACCAGTGACACAACCAGGGAATAATACTGTACAGGTCTTGACATCCCCGTTGAATGGTCAATTTTATGTCATTGGGAGTGCTAATGATGTTTTCACCACTGCACAGACCTCTAGATCATTGGTCCCTAGAACAACTACTTTACAGATAGAAACACCAAGGAATTGTACCACTGGATTGAAGAAGGTATAGACCTCTCAGCATTTTCTGATAATTTTCGAAAAATTCTATGATTCAATCTGTAATTTATGTATCCCTTTTTTTTCATGTACTACAGAGAGATGATAGACGGAGAGCAACTCATAATGAAGTCGAGCGTCGACGAAGAGATAAAATAAACAATTGGATTGCAAAATTGGGAAAAATTATTCCTGAATGCAATGCTACTGCGAATGCGAATGCAAATGGAACAGGAACTGGAACTGGAACTGGAACTGCTAGTAGTGGTGAAGGCAAAGCAAATTATGAAACTCAGGTATTTTAATTGGAGTTTATCAGACTTACAGATACTAATGAGCAGTAATATAGCCATTTTGTATTCAATTTTTCTCTGCAGAGCAAAGGAGGAATTCTGGCTAAAGCTTGTGAGTACATAGGAGAGTTGCAAGCAGCTAATCAGGGACTGGGTCAGTGTTTGCGGGACAATGAAAAATTACGGCAAGAAATAACTGCTTTAAAGCAGATCGTTACACAGTTGAAACGGGAGAACCTCCAACTCAGATCTCAACTATCCTCTGCTACGGGAACTAACGTCGACGTTGGTCATTTGAGTCCTTAAGAAATTGGTAGTCCGTAACACAGTGCTTCTTTTTTTTTTTTGTAAATATTAAGGTACATAAGCTGCGTTGATGGTCGAACGAAGTATTTACTCTTATGGTTTTTCTTTCCACGAGAACGACATCAAATTTCGTCATATTGGGTTTACATTCTTCAAGAATGTATCACGTGGTCCGAATGGTGTGGTCATAACTGCATATGCGGCTATATGTAACTGTACACACTTTCTTATCCTTATGAATTTTCCACCGATAGGAAAAAGGGTATAGCATAGTTAATTTATGCCTAGAAGATATTTTGCCTTAATTGTATGTAAAAGGTTTAATGACGAAGCTCAAAATTTTGTGTTTCCAATTGATGTATCTTAAGTGCAATTTTATATTATAAGATCACCGTAGCAATGTTTGATGTTACAACTATTTTTCTCGTAGGACTTACTTAAAATGATCTTGTTTCCGTATATGCATGTGCATTGGATCGAATTACCTCGTGTACGTGAACGAGCCAAGGCTGTGAATATTGAGCATTGATTTGAAACTCTCGGGTTATGTAATTTTAGACTGTGCAGACAAAGTTAATTTTTAAAAAGGTGAAATGGAAAGATAAATGTAAGTTTTGTTGGGCCACTACCGATAAAATTACGATACGAAATATGACGACTGAAGAATTACAGAGAACGTTGAATATTTTTTATTTTTAATACTATTTTCACGAGTGTAGAGTAGGTATTTCATGAAATGAATTAGGGACTGAAAATGTAAAATAGACTATTAATCCTACACGTATGAATGTGTATATAATTTATATATGTATATATACACGTGTGTGTATGTACATATGCATATAGCAATAAACATATTTTTTTCAATCCGGAATTCTGTGCGCCATACAAAGTGACGGCAGAAAAATTGAAATTAAATACTGGTTTGTAATATATCGTTGATGTATATATCGCGAGGTTATTGTTATATAATATATGATTATTATTAAAATGAAATTTAACGAAACATATTGTTGTGATTCTTAATTTAATAATATCGATAAGTCCTAAAGGGAGACTGTTTTCGTTTTCTTTATGCATAGTCTTTATTCGTTTTTACATATGATACAATGGAAATGTCGAAGTTACTGGAACACTGTTTACGATGCATGTTTTTCTATACTTTCTTTCCATTAACGATAAAGACCCTGCACCTCAACAGTTTAACATTTTGACACTTTTTTAAACTTTCAGACCATTTTTTTGCAACTTTTCAACGTTTAAAATAACATCTACTTGTACATAACATGTAGCGTCTGCATTCGTCGCTTAACATGTTTACATAATACACTATGTATAATACAATATTTAATACTCTTTAATTGAAGTTTCATTCTCTGTAAAAAGCCACCATATCATCCCATGCAACAACAAAAATATTTAAGCACATCGTTAACTATATATATTCTTTCGCGAACGGATGAATGGAAAGCTTCTTACGATGTTCTTTTATACTCATTTTACATACATACAAAAGTTTCTCTGCTCTTCAATCCTTCCACGAGTTTTTCTCCATTGATGGCAAAACAAATATAACCGGAAGTTTAATTGTATATCAGGCAGTTTATACTTTTTGACGACTCGATACCAATCACTGATTACGGATTTTATGCTCTTATGTAACAAAATCTTGATTGTAATGTACTAGAAACCTTCCGGAAAAACATTTCTATTTAATTCTTGTCATTTGTAAATTAGTCTAGTAAATGTGACTGCATGACCATCTGCAGTTTACTAAGCAAAATAGAATTTCGGTTTCAATGTTTCAGAAGCAGCTCATTATAGCACATAACGTAATTTGGATAAGCTGGAAACACATTTAAGGACGTTCTATATTTGATTGCAATAGCCATCACGTATGATTTTTTGTTAAATGTTAGTCAATACACACACGGTTACGGTAGACTTTATATTTGTAACTTTTTATGTACAATATTTTTATGCTCTAAATATTGAAACTAATATAACAATTTAGTGTGCGATACGTGATTATGAATGCCTGTTTTATATATGTATGTTTTCCCCAGCAGATCCAGGACATCCTTAAATGACCAGCATATGATTCCTGAACGTTCACGTGGAGAAATTATATTCGTATGATTGCCTCTGATAATTAATCTTCTAGATTTCTAAACGCTTGTTGGATATCTTCATGCAGCTGATCAAAATCAGCTCTAATCTTTGCTTCGCCATCTTTAACAGGGTCCTGAAATAAATATAAATGTATAACATTAATTACTCTCATTTGTTCCACTGGCCAGAAGAATGGCTCGTCTGTTTTATTTTTTGTGGTATGTATATTTACCTTGAACTTCATTGAACTCAATTGATAAAGAATATTACCCATGCTGTCCCTAATGACATTCCATGTTATTTTATTGTCTGACTGCGCCGTGGACTCTACAGCATGCCTCGCCATATCGTAGAACGCGATCATGTTTCGTAACATTCCCACGGTCTTATAAAATGGACAGAAACGATCGTACGGCGAGTAACTATAAGGAAAAGTTCACTCGTAAATATAAATGATTACGTCGAAATGCCAGAGTATTTGAAAAACAACGTTGATACCTGTTCTGTTGCAAGAAATCGTCTTTCAGAAGTTTCGCAACTTCCAGAGTAATCTTGTCCGTCTCGGCGAGAGATGCTTTACCAACTAACTGTACAATCTCTGACAAATCTTCTTCCTCTTGCAGGATTTCCTTCACTTTCGTTCGAAGAGGAACGAATTCTTGGAAGTTTTTGTCATAGAAATCGTCTAAGGCTCGCAGATATTTACTGTACGATATGAGCCAGTTAATGGATGGGAAGTGTTTGCGCTGAGCAAGCTTTTTATCAAGACCCCAGAACACCTGAAGAAGTGGTTGGATTGCATATTTTCAAGCCCATTTATTATATCAGAATTCTATTTATTATATCAGTACCTGCACAATACCAAGAGTTGCACTGGTGACAGGATCAGAGAAGTCACCACCAGGTGGTGATACAGCACCTACAATACTGACGGAACCCTCACGATCAGGATTACCTAAACACTTCACTCTGGAAATGATATGTTTAATATTAGTAACACGTAACTGATAAAACTGATTATTCAAGAATTATATTTACCTTCCCGCACGTTCATAGAAACTGGCCAGACGGGCTCCAAGGTAAGCAGGATAACCGGAATCTGCAGGCATTTCGGCTAATCGACCGGAAATTTCACGAAGAGCCTCGGCCCAACGAGATGTTGAATCCGCCATCATGGAAACGTTGTAACCCATATCTCTGAAGTACTCTGAGAGAGTGATACCTAATAACAGGGAAAATGATATGTACTACTTTCATCAGACAAGCAGATAAGAACATTTAAAGGTGAGAAAACTGCATTTTCACATTTTCCTTCATTAATTACTGAACACATACCGGTGTAAATAGATGCTTCACGAGCTGCTACAGGCATGTTGGAGGTATTAGCGACCAAAGCAGTACGCTTCATGATGGACTCAGTAACACCATCGATTTCTACAGTTAGTTCAGGGAAGTCACGAAGTACTTCAGACATTTCGTTACCACGTTCTCCGCATCCGACGTAAATAATAACATCAGAGTTGGAATACTTGGATAAAGCTTGCGAAATTACGGTTTTACCACAACCAAAGGCACCTGGGATTGCTGTAGTTCCACCTTGGACACATCTAAAATTTTAGGAAATACTTTGGGTGATTCTACGTATTAGAGAGTGCACGTGAAAGCAACAAGTTAAATTCTTACGGGAAGAGCGAGTCCAAGACTCGTTGACCGGTAAGTAAAGGATGATTAGCTGGCAATTTTTCAGTGACAGGACGAGGTTGACGTACCGGCCATACCTGCATGCACACGTATCACCAATATTATAATTGTACAAAATATTAGAAGTGTTGCAAACTAAACTTTTTAAACAGCCCATGTACGTAGAGCTAAATAAAAAATTAATACCTGAAGCATAGAGTATTTGTGCGTTTCGCCATCGAATTCCGTTTCTAATACAATGTCCTGAAAGAACAAGAAATGGTAAAACTTAGCTATAAATTGTATGAAATGTATAATATTACTTGGATAATATGAAACTACATAGCTTACATTAACTGTGTAGTTTCCAGGAGGAGCAACATAAGTTACAGTTCCCTTACTTTTTGGGGGTAAAATCATTCTATGCTTTACTAATGTGTTCTCATAAACCACACCAAACAAGTCTCCTCCAGTGATATGACTACCACTCTTTATATTCAATGGATTGTATTCCCAACTTGTAGTTCTTGACAGAGCTGGTACATTGATACCCTTTGGTATGTAAATAGAGTTTGTAAGTTCATTGATGTCCTTCAGGGGACGCTGGATACCATCGAAAATGCTGCCCAAAATACCAGGACCCAATTCCACAGACAGTGGTTTGCCCGTACGTAGTACAGGATCTCCTACGGTTACACCACTGGTTTCTTCATATACCTGTAAATATTTATAATATTATAATATATGCGACATAATATTTATGTGAATTTATGAAAAGTTTACAATACCTGAATGGTGGCCATATCACCTTCTAAACGAATAATTTCTCCTACCAGCTCATAATATCCTACTCTGACCAGTTCATACATAGCTGATCCTGACATTTTCTCAGCAGTGACAACTATAAGCAAATAAGCAAATTAATATGGACCAAGATTACAACTGAATCAAATACTTTGTATACTAACCAGGACCAGACACTGCATACACATAGCCAAATCTACTCTCCCTCTCCTCATTGCTAATTTTTGACAATCCATGGCTCGTCATCTTGAATGATACTCAGTTAAAACCACTTGATAACTGAAAGCATTTTGTACTATGAAGTGCAACGGAATTGCAGCTAACGAAGTACATATATTTAGAACATCCTACTCAAGAAAAAATTAACTACTGGATAACTTAGATTTATTGAAGGAAATATGCAAAATAAATCAGGGAATATATCAGACAAAGACGTCAGAATCCTTTCAGGAAGATTAATTAAAACCATTTAAGGGTTGCTAAATTTAAAAGACTATTAACCAAACTACCAGTTTAGGATAACATCATAACTCGACTGATGCAAGGATCAATATAGAGTGAATATTATTAATTAATTTCGTAGAAGTATTACTCTCGATCATAATAAAATTTCAAAAGGTAGTTGCTAATTTATGATGTTTGATCACGGGACTAAATCAGTGGTAACACATCGGTCTGACGTCTAATCAAACACCTTGCAGCGCAGAAAAATTTGGGGAAACGGTGATAAACTGACAACGATCATAGATAATTTTTACGAATCCAATGTTTTAATGAACGCTGCAAGTTATTACGCTTAAAGTCAATGTGAAAGTCTGTGTCAGCGAACACATCCCATTCATCGTGAAATTCACGTGAGCAGTTCATTTAAAAAGTAGGCGTAGCCCTTTTTAAGCCCGCGAGGCGTCTGCTGGCCGAATGAGAAGACGATTCTGAACGAGATATTTGTCCATCGATCAACTACATGGAAGGGTTCAATTCGTCTGCCGCGAGATTCCCTTAAAAAACCTATTTTATACGATTATGGGTCAAAGAAAACGTGTAAATTCTACCGCTAATCGAGAAACGATGGCGCATTCAAACTGGCACGATCGATACTGTACGCGCCAGTCTTTTTGTAAAAACCTCTCGCACACTCTACATAGGACGAAACTATTCGTATTGTCTCAGCTGTATAGTAAATCAAAGCGGTATATAGTCAATGAAATAAGTGACGATAAAGAAACTTACGAGACGTGCAACGTATCGAAGTAAGTCCACCTTACAACAACGAGTCAAGCTTCAGAGCCAAGCCTGGCTGCTATCACAAGACAGGTCAGCTGACTGAACGATGTGCTTGTTTTCAATTAGCAGTTCCTCTTGCGACTATGGGCTAGTTTACAAATGCGCGAAAGTAGGATGAACTTTTCGAATTTACCACCAGAGGCTACGATTATTGTATTTTTGGCAAAGTATCAAATACAAATATGTATATTTTTAGGATAATTTCTTTTATATTAAAGTAATTTTACTTTTAAGGTACAAACTATTAAATGCATAGCGCAGAATATTGCTACCATACTCAAATAGAAAATAGTATATTAATGTTAGTCCAGTTAACAAATGCAGTTTCCAGAAACTTATCAGCAGCTCAGAACACGGAACAAAGAATAATATAAATATTTAATATAGAACAGAGTAATACATATATATATTCTTTAGTAGAAAAAGTTTTATTTAATTTTTTAATCAAAGTTAAGCACAACATTTTTGTGAAAATTAAAATACTTCGATGTAGTTGCCACTGTAGGAAGTTATATTCGGAAAAGCAAGCGCGGCAATTATAAATTGCATATACACACCATTTCGAACGGTGCTGTCAGGAGCTGGTTAAAATTAGAAGTAACCAAGGTGCAGTTACACTCTATTGCTATAATTACAATAAACTATATAGGTTTTTATCAGGATTCTTGTAGGGTACTTCCGCTTATAAAAACGAGTAAAAATAGAACAACTTGTATTTTAACAAATGAAAGCGTTCATATAAGCTAACTGTATAACTTTTTACGACAATATAACCAGTCCTTCATTATAGATTAATTCAATTCTAATTAAAGATTCAATTTTAATTCTAATTAATCATTTTCACGTGTCCTTGGATTTCTCAAAAGAAGAACTGTACATTTAACAATGTGTCAAAAAAAGCTTTTAATACCATAAGTCACATCTGATCAACTCTTCTGCGTAAAAAGTTAACAGCATAATTTTAATGTTTAATAGTATCAAAGGGATATTAATGTTTTTCCAAGATTTTCCTATGCTCACATAAAATACTACCTCGTTTATTTCCCCTTCCCTAAGTTTCTGCGAAGTAGGAGTGCCATCTAAGTACTCATAGATGTATGAACTTCTAACGCATTCACCCACATTCATCTACCTTCTACACAAAAGCAGTTACGTAACTTTCTTATTGTCCGATGGGTATGTATGTGTGATGAACGTGTTGGATGTGGATGCATATATCTCAAGTCTTGAAACCGAGGACAGCATTTGCGTGCAGCAGCATCAGCAGAGCGGATGATTGCACACACGATCGAGGAATCGACTTCCTTCTGTCGCGGTACTATTTTAACGTCAAAGTAGTACATAGTGTAGTTTGAGGATCGTGCACGAAGTTGCACGACGTAGTGAAAACGCATAACTGCAACTTTGCGACTTAACATTCATTAACAATAGCAGCATTTCATCAGAATCATTCGACTTATCCAAGGAAAAGTTTATTCTTTGAAAATGGACATCAAGAATCTCCAAGAATTCATGGAATTAATTGGAAAACTAAAGGTAAATATCATTGGTGTTCTCGAGGGATATTGCGAGCGAGGCAGCACTGTGACAAATATAAACTCATGACTTTGACAGGCGCGTGTAGACACAGCATATACGTTGAATGTTCGCTTTTGGCATTCCTAATCAGCTGCGATTAGCGTGATTTTGTGCAGTTGACAAAGCAGTTGTTTCAACACCATATATAGTATATTTATTATATAATCATTTTTGATAATCTTTTATTCTGCAAATAAAAACAGTGGTTACATATTTCAATAACTTTCACTCGTCAAGGGCGCAGTTTTTGTTCAGTCGAGTAAAATTTGTAATAGAGGCAACAAAAATACAATGTTGAATATAAGTATCAAAAGGAATGTGAAACAGATAGAATTTGTATTATAAGGAGTGTAGAAGTTTGAGAAACTGGAGAGGTTGCTTTTCAATATACATCTTGACGTATTTGCTACAGTAATATGGTTTCGGAAACGTTTATCACTATTTTCTTGATTAGATATTAAAAATACATAAAACAAAGACAAATGAATAAGATAAGATACAGAGGAATATTGCAAAACACATTCTGATTTTATTAAATAAATTATGCTGATTTGGAAATTGATGTTTCACGCATATGTGATACAGTAGTGAATGTGAATTAGTACTTCCTCTTGGATGATCTGTTTTCTAAAATTTAAATATTTGCCTAAATACTTTTTTATTTTAATAACAGTTCTAATAGAATAAATATGTTTATTTTATGTATAAATGACAAGTTTCGGATGTATATGCTATAATTTCAGCATATGAAAAGGACAGGATGGGTCATCAGAAATGTTCCTGATCCAGAGACAATTGCAGGTCACATGTATCGGATGGCCATGCTGTCTTTTTTAGTGGATAATGAAGAAAACTTAGATAAAGTCAAGTATGAAATGGTATTATTATATTGTTTGTGCAAGATTTGTCATTTTTGAAGTCTGATTAACAAAGCGAATTATTCTTTGTCTCTATAGAATCATGCAGATGGCTTTAATTCATGACTTGGCAGAGTGCATTGTTGGGGATATAACACCTCATTGTGGAGTCCCACCTGATGTGAAGCATAGGCTAGAAGATGAAGCCATGGACTATATTTGCAAACTCTTGGGAGACAAAGGGCCTGTAATATTGGAAATGTTTAGGGTAAGATCTGTCTAAAGATTTATTTTACTGTGATTTGTAAATCTACAATGGCACATATAATTCATTTTTTGGAACATAACAGTTTCTTCCTCTAAAAAATCTTTGTATTGATTCTGAGAATGTTGTCAAATGGTGAAGTATTAAATTCACTTGAATTTCTTTTGTGAAGGTGCATATTTGAGTGACAGTACCTGAGAATAGTTATTTTTTAAAGTTGTTTTATTTAACATGTTTACTTTTGGTTTGCATAGGAATATGAAAGACAAGAGTCTCCTGAAGCAATGTATGTGAAGGATCTGGACAGATTAGATTTAATTATGCAAGCATATGAATATGAAAAGAGAGACAATGTACCTGGCGAATTGGAGGAGTTCTTTGTAGCAACAAACGGCAAAATAAGACATCCTTGTATAAGCAGAATTGCATCTGGAATCAACGCGGTTAGAGACGCTTTCTGTCGCAATTCAAACCATTAACCTAGTTCAGATTTTATATGTTTAATTCTTTAAGTTCCACGGGTGTCATATATAAGCCATAGTGATAAGTTTTGTTGTACAGTAACTGTGGAAGGCATTAGAGAAGTATCGATATTACTTTTATGTGGGCACAATTATGATTTATAATTGCAACGTAACAGTTTTAACAGAAACTAAAGAGAAAACTGTGCCTTTTCAGATACTTTTAAAACTATGTTCTTTTTCTGACATGAAATAGCAATATCTCGTCTTATTTTCTGTAAAAGTGGAATCTATTTGCAATATCCTTAAGGTTTTAAGGAATTTACTATATTCTGATGCATAGTACAATGTTGAGTAACAAGAGGAGGTCAAATTTATTTCCCTCTTGTTTACAATATATTTTACTTCTTTGACGATAGATAAAAGTATTTATTTTATTAATAAAATTACGATCGTTTGTCGTCGACGAAGCTAAGCATTAGTTTGTTATGTATTGACATCCTACTAAACAGTATGTTACATTATTATTTATGATAACTAATAAAGCTTTATAATTGGAAAAGAAAGTACTTTTTTCCTTTTGATGATACCTGTCAATAATCATAATTGATAATGATAAAAATATATTGTTTATCAATAAAAAATACAGCAATATTGATAAAATTGCAGATAAAAATGTATATTTTATTAGCCTTTTTTGGGTTTCTTCAGAATTTTGATTTTTGACAAAATTGTAAATTGCTTTCATTTATGATATGCATATACATATATGTATATACGTGTCTTCCGTCATGCGAGCAGAGACGAGATATCAGTCTCACATGCTTTATACATATTCAATCTATTTTAAATACCCCCTACATACGCATATAAAGAAAAAATATGATAGAGTCTATCAGTTACACAAATACCAAAGGTGAGTGAAGGTGTATTTGAATTTTTATTTTTTTAAATAAACGTTACAAAATATTTCTTTTAATCCAATTGAAATACCAATTTCTAAAATTCTTAAAATTTTGCAATTTTAATAAAAACAAGCGCAGATAATATACTTAACTCAAAAGTAAGGCACGCTACAAATTCTACATTATATACTATTCGATAAATTATACTATTCGACTTCAGGGACAAAAAATTTAATATAGAGAAAGTTAAATAAATATAATGTAACGAGATCTTTGCTGAATGATTTAATATACTATTTGCAAAAGAGTTCCGTGAAAGCTTCATTTTTCACATTCATGTTTGCTAACACACGTGTATTAAACTGTAGAATTACTCTTTAAATGTTTGTAAACTAAGATGACGAAACTTTTTTGGAAAAGGAGTACCTGACAGAGGGAAATTTGAGACAAGCGTAACATAATTGTAAAAATTACATCCTCGAAGGAAGTTTTAAAGCTCTGTAATAAATATTATGGAAACGTATGTTCATACGCTTGTAACGATCGATAGATGTTGGGCAGCTGCTACCCAATACGCTTCTTTAGTGTCTCAGAACCGGCCTCATGAAACAGTACGCGTCAAATAAGTTTCATAGCAAAGTAATCCACAATCAAGGCCGCCTAAATTCAAAAAGTATTTAATAGATATTTTGAGTAAAAACGGTTTCTGTTGTTCTCAAGAAGAAATAAGAATTCGGCCGAAGAGATTATTGTCGAATTATCGCTGACATCATTCCATATAAAACATGGAACAAAGAGGTAACAAATCGATGATCAATCTGCGTGGTGGGAAGGACCGACAGAGTTCCCACTTTTTGGCTAATCTCGATTTACCTAGTATAGAGAGCGCCTTAAATTATACGAACTTTCACCTGACTTGTGGCGCTCTCTTTCCACCGGAAGAAATTAAGCAGAACGATTGGAGGATAAAGAATATTTTCGAATTGTTGGATAACGATTGCGATGGCATTCTGAAGGGACAAGAAATAAAAATGTGAGTTCAACCGAAGAAACGAATATGTACTAGGCTATGTAATCAATCGTTACGAACGTTTTCTACGTAATCGCAATTTATTCTCCACATTGTTCGCTATTGTTCCGCAGTCGGAAGTGTATGTATGTACATTTGCACGACAGTTCCACCTGAATAATTCGTACAAGGCAAATTTGATTAATGCAGCATATAGAATCATTTAATCAATTTTTTGGCAAAATAAGATAATGAAGGAAAATAAATAAGATAAATATGATACAGATTAATATACGTTAGTCGTATTGTCACTTTTTAATATTTTTCGACTCAATAAGCTATTTTGTAAAGGTACTATCTGTAATTGTGTATAGATTTCATGATTGGTTGCGTACGATTGTCGAGCCCGTGAGTGCCCTGCTGATCGTGGATGTGCAAAACGATTTTATCACCGGATCTTTAGCTCTTCGTAATTGCGGATGCAATCAGGATGGTTTGGATGTGGTGGGACCGATAAATCGTCTGACGAAAAATGGCCAGTTCGATGAAATTATTTACACGTTGGACTGGCATCCCGAAAATCATATCAGTTTTCACGAAAATTTGCATCTACGAGAACTGCATTTGGACTCGAAGGTACGTGACGTCGCCGCGAATTACCGTAATCGCCATTTAAACACATCCGAAGGTCGTAACGAGTGCACAATTCTTTTAGAGAAGTAAGTTTTAAAAAAAATCACTATATATTTCGTGCATTGATCGCGTTTCCTTTCTCTATAGTTTATGTCTAACGAAATGGGTAGAATTGCGTTTACGAAACACTCGACAATCTTAAAAATTATCAAACAAAAAAGGCAACCGTGTTATTATCTCAGCTATACCTTCCTTTCCTTTGTTCTAAATGTAACACCATGTATAATTGGGAGACTATGTAGTGAAAGGCTACAAAAGGCAGTATTTCGGGCAAAGATATTTTTTTTCCGGTTCTTTTGTTTGCCCCATAGGTAGAGAAAGGTTCAAACGGATTTCTTTGCCAGATGTTCATCGACACGTCGAGTGGTAGATACCCAAAAAGAGTTCTTTCTTTGTCACCGATAGCACGTGCGCACTACACGCCGTGTATGCGTGTAGTCCCAAGCACTTTTGTCCATTTTTTTGGTTACGATCGGGATATTTATGACGCAGCTGTAAATCGACCGGAACTGCGACACTCATTCTCAATCGAAGGTCATTTTCACGTTTACCAGACTTATTTTCTGAGTGGCTGACACGTGAAAAAAAACAGGGGTAGATTTCTTTTTCCTTCAGCACCACCTTCTCTGCGTAGAAAATTTTAATAGGGCACTAAGGATCGACATTTTTTATTTAGAATAACTAATGAGATCGAGTGTTTACGATGACTGCTTATTTTCGTCTTTGTCCCATGATGGCTCGTGGATATTTAATTCGTCGAACGGAATGTACTACGCTTTGGCCGATAGATGTTTGGATTATTTATGACGCAGGCATGAACATTATGGACCTGGAAATAGAGACGAATATTTCGTCATCATGGGACGAAGACGAAGCAACCGGTTATTATTCAAATTCGTTCTCACGACGAAGTGCACCCGGAAGTTCTTCGTCTCAATTTTTGCTGTACTGTACAGTATTATTTCTACTATTCACTGTCTTTTTATTTTTATTTTTGAAAATGTTTAATAAACTAGATGAATTGTTGTGATCCCGTGGGTGAAACAATTGTACTCTTTATTTACCAGTTGATTGCTTTATTCTATCGTTACACTTAGTCACAGCTAGAGATGTTTCTTGTTCGAGGACTCGGAAAAGTCTTCCTACAAAGCATCGGAGAAAGCGAAAGATGGTCCTAAAAGGGTAGAGGTTTTTCCTTGGAGGGGCACGGGTAGGATAGGTCCTTGAGAACCGTGACAAATCTCTACGTCTAAACGCAGTCACGTATGCTGCCTTGACTGTTACAGTGTATAACCAACTAACCAACTATATGTAAAACAAACTAATACTGGGGGGTATCCAACAGAATACACTGTACTTAAACCAATAGAATCTTGAAAATCTGCGACAAATGGATCTCAAACGAAACGGTGATAGCACAAGTGTTAAATTCTTCGTGGTCAAATGGCTCTGCTGACTTTTTCACGGTCACTTTTTGTTTCACAGTTTTCAATTTTAAGTAGTCTCTCTCTCTCTCTCTCTCTCTCTCTTTTCCCTCGACGCACTGAGTGAGTATAGCGTCCCTTTTGACTGGAGTGTGGCCGTTGTCGAGGGTTATTCTTCACAAGTGATCTTCCAAAATTATACAGACCCTCCTGCGGTGTCTCTTGTTACGAATGTTTTGTAGTGAATCGAGGTAGTATGGTTTGTTTCACTCACAGCCAGATGGGGGACAATGATCAGGTCAAAATTTATTGCTTCCTCGGGTTACTCTTCAAGGGTTTACCACTTGGCAAAACTTTCTCTTCAAGGATAACTGTTCCTTCAAAACATCAACATAATCACGATCTGAAAAATATCCCAAGCCATTTGTGATTGGACAGTTGTGAGAGCAATTAATGAGATCGATTATGTTTCGACGTAGGTGACAAAAGAAAATGCAAAGCTGTTCGATACCGTGATCTTCGCCGAGCCCTATTTGGAGCAGATACTCTGGCCCAAGCATTGTGTTATGGATACGTGGGGATCTCGATTGCACAAAGATCTCGTGATCGCGCCAGATTCGAAGCAGGTATTTAAACAAAAATAAAAAAAATCTGTCCGTGAAATTTCATACCATTATCACTAAAATTTGATCGTTGTGCAGTTACGAAAGGGCCTGAATCCGGATGTAGAGGTTTATTCGATATTCGGCGAGAAAGATGCTACGGATTCGAACGAGGTGCACCGGATTCTGCATGAATCTGGCGTCACGCAGGTATTTGTCGGCGGTATAGCTTACGATGTATGCGTGAAAGCCACTTGCTTGGACGCGCTTCGATTAGGATATTCGGTGGCGGTGATCGACGACTGTTGCCGCGGCGTCGATGTAAATGGTATTCAGGCTACGAGGAGGTTGATTACCGAGAACGACGGCCTGGTCATTAACAGCGACGACGTTCTGTCGCTGGTGAACAGGGAAAAACGGAGTCTTATCATGAGCCATAAATCCGCAAAAACGATGGCCTCGATTGCGTTCCATCGAACTAACGCGAACGTTTTCGATTGATACAGTGCTATGATGAATAGTAGATGAATAGAATATCTAAGAGCACTTGCTTAGTGAAAATCAATTAAATAACTATTGTATGCGTAATTTTGTGGTATATCGAAGTGGGAACTTAAGAGGGCATTCCTAGTTTTGTTATTCCTCAGGTGATTCAGGATTTTTAAAGGCATCAGAGTAGGTACTTATGGGGACCAACTTATTTTATTCAAAATTTGGTACTTTTTTTGTGGATCTTTTACTATATGTGGGGCTTATCAAGTTTTCTGCGTATACAAAGTATTTAGAGCGTATGGTTGCATTTTAATGTAGTTACTACCTTCAGTATTTTAGTATCTGTATTGAATACATTCAGTATTTATGTGAAATATTTATGCACAATTTCGTGCACAAGTATTATTAATAAACGTTTTCCACAGGATTAGTACAAGATTCATTTCTCTGCTCAGACGTTTCAACAGGTAATAAATAATTAAACACGTAATAAATACAAAACCGAATTACACTAATAATCTACTTCAGTCGTTATCTATGCCTAAGGTTGCCCGTCGATTAACATTCGCGCGGTTTTCTCGATCCTGTTCGCCGACTCGTCGTCTACCGTTAATTTGCAAGCGTATCTGTGCCTTGCCCCGCAATCGTCGCTTTGGTAAGAGTACAGTCGTGATGTTGAATTGTAGGACAACTTCAGACATCTGTGAAGACGTAAGTGATACGAACGAATCAGAGACGAAATTGAAATAATAATTGGTATTATAATTATTACAATACTATCGATCTTCAATAGAAATCTAACGATTCTTATGTTGTAAAAAGTTCAAAAGTGAATAATGACGCTCACCTGCCATCGCCGGGAACGGTTTGCTTTGTGTTCTGATGAACTGGTTTCGCGCTGCTCGCCCAAATCCACAAGAGACCAGGATTCAATCCACCGGTCCAGAAATGTTTACCTTTCAGTTTCGAGTTTGTTTGCAGACTGGCGAACACGTCGCGTTTCTCGTCATCCTTCTCGAATTCTATCAAATAACCGCCCATTCCGCGGCAGAGGCTGGAGGATGACTTCCAATCGAATTCGCGGTCACTAAAGTGGTAGCAATACTGGCCGATTTTCGTGTAATTCGCGGGACAGGACGCTGAAAAATGATTATCTCAATGAATAATTCGTAAAAGAGAAAGAATGATAACTCACGTTTCTGATTCGTATTTCCAGAAATCACGTAATAGAGGAGTTCTTCCGCTCGTCTCAGCCGGTTCTCCAGGAAGTCTACTCTGTACACCAGCTTCTCTATCGCTCCTGAAAAAAAACGTGAATTCACATTTAACGTTTCGAAAGATCGATTACAAGTATCTAGTGTACACTGTAGCGAATGATTTTACCGAGAAGATAGAGATCGGTTTCGGACACTTCACGTTTATTCGGTGACGATATTTTACTGGAAACCATCAAGGTCTTGTCGCCCAATTTCATCACCTTCGATGTCCTAAACGACCCCGAGTCGGATACCACCCAGTTCTCCAGAATCTCGGACCATGGTCCCGGTGGTTCGATCGTGGATACGTTTGACAGACTGTCTGATGAAAGTTGTACGAATGTTAAGAACAAAGCAAAGTCTTTCAAGCTGGAAAGTTCAGTATCAGTAGAGATAGTTTTGTTTCTTCTTACCGGGACTTCCCATGCAGATGTTCAACTGTATAATTATCAAGAGGCATAGCTGAAGAGGTCCTTTATCCTTCATGATAAACCTGAAAATGGAGAGATGCGATGATCGAGCGTAAACGAGAACGGATTAAGAAAAGAACAAAATGCGTTTTTATCCGAATTGCGTTCCAACCACACTATCTCCAACTTTCTTTGAGAAAGTCCGAAGGAATGCGCGTCAGTTCACGAAAACATCACATCAGTACGAGATCCTTATGATCTTTGTTTATATAAATGCTACTGAATATATTAACAATTAACGTAATCACATTCACTGCTACAAACTTTTCTTATTGAAGACTCCTAATGTTTTATATTTAATTACACACAGTCAAGGATAATTTAATGTTGAATTAATAATCACGTTGTTCGTGTATATTCGACTGATTTGTAGAAATTCGAGAACGATTCGATTACCAATTGTTCCACTTACATAATATTCATGAAACAGATACGTGACGGCGGTTATTATCATTCCACTTTTATTTCTTCCCTCGCACCTGGCCGATCCGTTTCCGTTCGTGAGCCACGCAAGACTATTGATCGAGAGATCCCGATCGCGTGTACGCCTTCTGCTGGACACTTTCTCTCCTCCTCGGAAAAATGAGTCACTTTCTTCGTCGGATTCGTCTGTCTACCTGTGTCACGCGTTTTCGCGAGGGCTTATCGAAACCATCTTTTAAAAAGATTTCATTCTAATTTTCATTCTATTATATTTCTATTCACCATTTTAATCGTAAACAGGTCAATTGGTCTGCGTGTATAGAGAAAATAATTTTGTTAAGATACGAAAAATATTAATTACTGGCAAAATACCCTTGATGATGTCGTTACAAGGTTCTCAGGTGGGTCCATTATGTGATTGTTGCACGAGTTTTCGGCACACTAAAGAGAAGATACACCAGTTAACCTGGCATTTCTCAAAGATCGTCCTACTGACACGATTCTCTCTGTGAAACGGAACTTTTATCTTCTTTCGAGGCGGACGCTGAAGGTACTTTTATCTTCCTCTGAACCATTATCTAAGGCTGACTTTGTTGACAAAAGTATTAGAACATTGTCTCGAGAGACGATTTTTATTGGGTTTGTTCTACGTAGCCATTTAAAAATTCAGAGAATCTTTCAGTACAATCTAGATACTTTTCAGAAATACACTAACGATTTGTATTCGCTGGAAATATTCTATTCTTTAAAAACTGGATGGTGTACATCTTCCTTTAAGTAGTGTGCTTGCAATGAAAAAATACTGTATCTTTTTTTGCATGTCTTTAATGAAACAACTATAGCGAAGACGAATTCGTGTCCCGGTACGAATCGTCCCCAACTAATACAGTCAACTATACATTTGTATATGTACATACATCGTGGTTAAATTCATTTAGAATCTGGCAATGATACGAATAGCATTGCGCGAACGATCGATCGAGTCTCGTAGGTGATTGACGGCAGGAACAATCTCGGCGTTCAGTCTTTCGTTTCGCGGATCAATTAGAAGTACACGGTGAGATTGAGTCGTTCGTTCCCCGTCTGGCTGTTCTTGGACATAGTTTCAGCCGCCACTTCCACGCTGTCTACCGTCTGAAAGATGTAGAAACTTTCTAAAATTGGGGAATTCGTTTGGAGGATAGTTTCGACGTTGCCATAAATTCGCGATAAAATCTTTGTCTTTTGATCAATCTCTGCGAGATTATGAAGAGAAATTCGTGTATGGGGCTATTATTAATTTCCGAGGGACGTCAAACAGCGAAAATTAATTCGGTATTAAATATAGCTTTTGAGGTCAAAGTAGCTTTAGCAAATGCAAGATGGCGTCGTATAATTTCAAACGGATGGTTACTATTGGAAACCTATTTAGAATTTTATTTTGATTTCGAATTGGTCGAGTGTGTTGGACTTTTTTATTGGATCATTTATGTGGTGTTCTAATTACCCTGTCGTCGTCGTCCCACGATAGTTTCTTGACCCTCTGCGAGACGGAGCAAGCAGGCCACGCGGGCATCAGCGATTCCGGAAGATCCCCAGAGTAATTGGAAGATTCGCGTGAAGCCGCGTTCAGGTTCGATTTCGCGCTCAAGTCGTTCATGTTCTGCACCAAACCGCCGATATTGGGGATGTTCGAGGTCGCTGATAGACCTGGCGGATTCGGGGCTGGAGCCACTTTGTGTCTTGGATATATCGGTACTTGTCTGGCCGATGTTAAACCTTTAAATGAATTTCGTTAATCATAACAACGGAGGAAGTACAACTCTACAGTTGAAACTCTATCTTTAAATAGCTTTGTATATAGGGTCTGTTATGGTTTGGAAAGAGAGAACTGCACGTTAGAGGAAGTATTACGTGGAAGGACAGGTAGAAAATAAAATAAGGAGGTTTAGAGAAGAAAGGGAGTGATGGTAGGATAAGGAGTGGGATATGTTTGAAGTATGGAATGATGAGTGAGAGCTAAGTAATAGAAATTGTAAACCAAGTCCATCCCTTGGTCTTCAGGCTAGATTATTAATAAATATATATGTACATATAATAGCTTTCTATCTAATGATTGCTTGGTTAAACAGACAACTCACTTTTAATCGTGGCGCTGTAAGAGTTCCTCGCTCCAAAAACAGGGTTCTCGATGTCGTTCACCTCATTATTCATCTCCCTCATTTCGCTATTGTTACTGTCGTCGATCACTTCCTGATCGACGTGATCCTCGTCTTCGTGATCGCCACCACCATCCTCCTCTTCGTCGTTCTCGTCGATGCTATGTGCACCCACTGGACGATTTTCTCTGCGTGGAGCCTCCAGGGCATCCTGGAGCATATTTGCCCCGAGCACCTGAGGAGTGGGACTCAAGGCAGAGGGAACAGGTGATTTTTCACGATAGCCTGTCCCCACGGAGCTCACCGAGCCGCTAGTCTTTGGTCTCTTACTGTAACACGATCGTGAAAATTCAAAGTTATTAAAGAGTTCGATGAATTTGCACCTGTAACGAACTGTTTCACTTACTGTTTATATATGTACAAAATTAAAACAAGTATAATAACTCCTAGCAGACCCAAGACAGCACCAAAGACCGCGACCAGGAGGACGCTGCTGCCTAACCAGGCAGGTGCAGCTCGTGCTGCGATTGGTAACGAACCGCTATTTGGTATATGAACGATCACTGGGATCATACTTGACCTGTAATGAGAATGATTATCGAGAAATGTTGGTGGATAATAGTTTATTTATTTATCTTCACTTGTGTACCTAGGAGGACGGCCTGAGTCGGAAGCCACAGCCACCAGTCGAGCCAAGGAACCATTGACAGTCGCTGATGATCGAAGTATCAACTCCCCACTCTCACGAATCTCGAACGATCTGTTATAATCGTGTATTTAGTAATGTTGATTAAGGTTCAATTTTGGTTTTTATTAGTGTGGTGTACCTTGCGTCGGGACCTCGAAGCGACAAACTAACTTTGTCGTCCCTGTCACCATCGGCTGCCTCTAGTTTTCCTGAATATTTTATTATTAAGGATGCATAAGCGAGAGGTTAATGAATTCATCCAACGAAATCGGTGCAGGAGAAAGTGGCTTACCGACAATAGATCCCTCTCTCAAGGTTGCTGCGTGAAATTCGTATCTGGGATGACGAAACCGGGGTTCCCATTCGTTCACATCCTCGACGGAGACGTTCACTCGCGAGGTGTCGTTCTGGAATCGTGTTCGTTAAATATTTCTCAACATATCTTTGAGATAAAGTGTCTATAATTTCATTAATTTTCTCTTATCGATCATTTGATTTAATGTTTCACGTAAATATTTATAATCTACTCTCGTCTCAGACTGTTGACTTTGAATTGTGATCGTGTCGTGACCCGATTGCAGATATACGTTGAATGTTATTGATTTTACGATCATATAGAATAATATAGCAAGTAAATTAATTTGTTTTCAGTTTTATAAACTTACATGATGACCATCAGTGACACGAACCAAGAAACTGTGTTGGATTCTTCTCTCGTAATCCAAAGTTCCTTTCAAGATCAGTTCACCAGAGTTAGTGATGGAGAATCTTTCCAAATCCTCGATCGCTCCCACCAGCCAGAACCTCAAATTCTGAAGAAAGTATTTATATAAAAACTAACTTTATTTAAGTATTCATTTTCTTATAAACTCACGGAGTCCGCTTTGTTCACTCCCGTCGTTAATAATACGCTTCCCGGCGGTGTGTTCTCCGGAATACTGGTTTGATGATCACGCCTGATGAACTTCACGGGCAATCTTCCACCTAATTCGCAACGTTCTGATTGATTAGTGGATGTTTTTAGGACAGGGATCGATCACACGAAACCCGGTTAATTGCTTACCAGCGGTGGGTTCCACGCTCCAGTCGCTTTCCCGCGACACGACGATCGTCGAAAGCGCGTACTTGTCTGGATTGTCTATCTGAGTGGCCTGTAATCATAATTTATTACATACGCAGATGTGTCACGATTACTTTTAGAAACGCTGAACATAAAATTACATGTAATGCTTGTATAAAAGTCACGAATATTCAAATATTGCGTTGCGTTTGAACGATCGAGCACAGCGATGGCGTTCACCACGCGTTGAAATCACCAGAGTAGCATGCGCGTTATTACTGTACTCATTTAATTATAAAGTGAAATCAGTTTCTTTTAATCATTCATAGAAGATCTAAATTTTTTTAATATACTTTATATAAGTGTATTAATAAGGTAGCGAAGAAGTAAATGTAATGCTTGCCTTAACAACAATCGTCGCTGGAGATAAAAGTTCGTGCTCGTACAATGGCCGCGTAATGGCGACCTCGGCAATTTCAGGGTTCAATGTAAGAAACGGCAGAATTCCGCCTTGAATCGTGTATTTAACGGGAGCATTGATCCCCAGATCTTGATCCACCGCCTTTATCGGGGCTGGATCCACCTTCAGTACCCTTCTCTGAAAGAATATTCAATTTATTCAAGCTATCGGTAAAATTAACAGGCTTATGGATTAAATATTATTTAAAAAAACTTTTAATTATACCGGTATTATCTGTCGAGGGACAATAATTTTATATTGATCGCTCTGGAAAGCAGGATTCTGATCATCCGCGTCGATCACATTCACGTGGAGGGTTGTGGTGGACGATCGCGGTGGATTTCCTTGGTCCTACAGATAATAAATAACTTTTAATTAATTATTATATTAAAAACGACTGGAACTGATTGAAATTATCGTGTGAAATCACCTGTGCCCGAATGTCAACGGAAAAGTTAGACAGAGTCTCGTAATCCAACGGTTTCCTGAGCACCAGTGTGCCCTCTAAAGCGTTCACGAACACGAAGTAGTCCTACAAAGGTATTTCAGAGTGAGTACAACTCAGAATCGACGTCACAGCGTTTATGGGAAACGATAACAAGTACCGAATGCGGTCCAGGTAGGACAGCATACTGCACAGTAGAAAATGGTCCTGGTTGATCAGCATCCACGGCTCGTACTCCCTGCAATACCCTTGTCCCAACAACGGTAACCTGAAAATAAAGAGGGGAAAATCAATAGAAAATTATTTACAACACAATAATCTAGAAAGAAAAAAAGATTCTGAAACATTCTTACCTCCGAGATATTCAGTACGTAAGGCGCGTTGACAAATTGCGGAGCATTGTCGTTCGCATCTGTTACACGGATGTTAACCGGTATCACGAAGCCCTATATGAGATAAATCTGTATGAAGATCCTCCGTCTGATGGCCAGACTACAGATTTTTATGCAAATATAGATTTTTTGGGGTTAATTTACCAGAACTGTAGTCACATCAAGATTTATTTACTGCATTTACCCTTCTAACAGGTTCCAAAGAAAATAAAAACTTTTTCAGAATTTACTGGTCTCTCGTGTACAGTGAGTTCTTGAGAATCGTGTGTTCGCGTCAACGTGTTTTAAGTGGAATCTTAAAGAAGGCGGATGGTCTGTTGCTCATTGACAATTGGAGAATTTATGATAGGGTTTCTAGAATGCAAAAGGTCTTGAAAGAGGGTGCATGAGACTAAACAGACCTGGCGTTGCATGGTGGCGAGAGACCATGCTGGGTTCTTTGGCTATCGGCGACTTGGGGAGTTCTTGATGTGAAACAGATGAGTAAAAGTCAGAAATGGCAATAAAGACATTGTTCCTAAAGGATCTGGCCACGGAATGGGAAAGTCAGCGATGCATTTTGGTAAGAGGACTGTTATTGACCAGATGGCACCTACCCCAGAACCCTGAAGGAGCGTAGTTCTTTTTAAAAATCAAATTCTATTCAATAGTAATTACTATATTGGTAAATATTAAACTGAAGAGGCTTAAACGTCTCAAATTACAGTTTCGACTACCCGGGACACTTTTATAACTTAATAGTTTCACGAGGACACACACCGACTTCACCAAATTACGAGTCTTATTTCAAACTGCAAAAAAAATGTATCACTAAAGCGTGATAAAAGTAAAAATCAGAAAGATACTTAAATAGTAATTGCATAAAAAATTGTACTCTTGATTGTAATTTGACAGGTATATGGACGAATACGTGAGTCACTGTACCCAGTGAATTTCACTTACAGGATCCAGGGTGTGCTTTCTCTCGCAGATAACGTTCACGTAGACGCTGGCGGGACCATCGACGCCCTCTTTGTCGAGGGGTCGGATCAGGGTTAAATTATTCGTGTACGCAGCGAACGTGACGGGACTGTCGATCTCCTGGAGCCTTAGCTCGACGTCCCCTTGGGGACCAGGATCACCCAAGACACCTAGAACACCCACGGTGTCACCGACCGGCAGATCTTCGCTGACGAAGAGGTGCGCCGCGGTGGCACCGTTCTCCAGGAAACATCGCGCGTCACGGATCACTGTGGAAATAAAAATAAAAATGGATTTATATCGTTACTCCAGAAGAATCTTCTGGCAAATAATCGATAAAAGAAGTGGAAAGCACGGCCACGACAGAAGGAAGTGGATTTTAGTGGATCGGATGCGATAAAAGGAAGGGACTCGGTTAAAATGCGGTCAAGAGGTTTTTATTTCTTTCTAGAGTTCCTCGAGTCACGCGCGATCGTCTTCCTCGAATTCGTATTGTGTTCTCTGGAACCGTGTGTGTGGTCTTGGGGTTTCCGGGAGACTTTCAGAACCGGTTAGCTCGTCTTCCTGTATGCACACTCCTGTAGAAAAAGTGTTCACTGGAAGACTATCCTACTTGGGAAGGAGTTTGATAAAAAATGTTGTATAATTGTTCGTAATCAGGCCCAGTTAGCCGTTTGATGTTAAAAGATCGTTGCCTCCAATTTGTTGTGCATCGAGGCTTCTGCTACATCCGTAACAGAGTCGGGAATAATTTTATACGTAGTGAAAAGTAGCAGTATTTACGAGCTATATCCTGACTTTCGAACAGTTGACGCTTTGCACTCTTAATTCTTTTTCAATCTTCGTTCCAATAACTAGACATTTAAACTAGCAATTTAAAAATCATGCATGACTCGACGTGGGAGCACCTGTGAATGAAATTGATGCGAATGAGGTTAATGTGACGAAGTGTCTAACCATTCAAGAAGAAGTATTATTTTGTTATAAAAATTAGAATTTCCTTACCTGATCAATTTACTCATTACTCTGAATCGACAATGAAACGAACAAAAGATCAAAGCTCCCTTTGTCAATTCAAGCTTTTCAACATCCCCTAAGTATGCAACTTAAAGCCAAGAATTCAGTATCAATTTAAAGAAGACTCTACGAGCACACTAAACATCATAGTATGCTCTCGTGATGTTCGCTCGATCGTAAAAAAAAAAAAAAAATTGAAATGACAGCGTGCCCGTGGTCGTGTCTCGTTCCTGTTCGCAGCACCCCGACTTCCAACTACGGACACAGTAGAAACCTACATTCTAACGACCGACGGAGTGGTCATCCCACATTCGCGATCGCGTCGTACAGATAAAAGGCTAGATTCATACATAGACAGGACAGGGATAGGTTGTGTATGTGTCATTTAACACACACAGAGGCAACGTGCACGGGGGTTAGAACGTGCTCGCTCCCTTGGAGCGAAGTTCCGCCCGCTGCCAGCTCACGGTGTACATATACATTGCCGATGCAACGTTCCGGCGTTGCCTTTCGTAATCTTTCTTTCCCCCCGTCGTCGATCCTGGAAGACCTTTCCAGAAGAAAACGACAGTATCAATTTGAATTTCGAAAGATATAAATACTCTTTCGCGACGAAATTGACGGATGTTTGATGCGATGTTAGGTTCGATGGGGTTGATAGAGCTGGTATGTGTCAATGGAGGTACTTCGATCGACGTGATCGTATGGGAATTGTAATATTATACCTACTGTGAGTGTATATATCATTCTAGAGTGTATTTATTTATCTACTGTCTTGCAGGGTCTACAAATTTGTCGAAGGTAACGTGAGAATTACGTACCTACAAGTAATCGCTCGATTAAACGCTACCTTGACAACGACGCGTTTCCTGCCGAACGAGATAACCACCGACTATTATGCAAATGTGGAGTGCGTTATATCGCGTCAACAACGTGCTCGATGGAATTATGAAGCACCTACGAAGTACGATTAGACAGTACTGTGGACTAGACTGCGGAAATGTATGCAAATGCAGATATCTATAAAAGTTTAGGTCCACAAGAAGATAAAAACCTGACTGAGCTTCATCATTAATCCTAAGTATTCTATAATCCTTCTAATATTCTAAGTATCCTAAGAAATTCATCCTTCGACGACTCTGTCTACGAAATTCCCGTACGAAGATATCTATACCATCCGTGAACAGGTACAATTTAATTATTATCCAAGAAGATTGGCAAAATTAACGTGGAACAACGCGTGTTCCAGCGAACGACGGTCGAGATCGGAAACACGGTGCACGTGTTCCGTCGGCCGTGACGTTAAAAACGCGAAAAAGGAAAATTAATACGTCGACTCGAGTGTCTTAATTTTTCGCAACACCGTCGACTTTCTCTAAGTTATTCGATCCGTCGCGCTGGCGAGTGTCGCGCGATGGTCGTCGAAGGGAAAAACCGAACGTCGAGGAAACTTTCGTGGTTTACGTTCCACCGTCTTTGGTCCCTCCGATTTCCGTTTGCAACCATCATCGACGATCCTCCCGCGTAACCGTTTGCACGCGATCAACCGTGTGATGAAACGGAAGAAGGGGCCGATTAAGGTCGCGATCAGAGAAGGGGGGTCAGAGGAACAGTGGCAAACCGCGGGACAGAAGGGACGAAAAGGTGGAACCAGGGGGGTGGGGGGCGAAGAGGGGCGGAACAGGTGACCGTGGGAAAACCTCGTTGGAGAAACCCACATTGTCCACTGTAAATATGCAACGCGCAGCACAGAATTGGCAGGATCCTCAGAATGTTCTGTCTCATGGCGATCCAAGGACATCCTTCATCGGTCCCGGCGTCCACCGATACATCTGCAACTCGAGCGAAATGTCACGATTATGATTTTGAAAGGAGAGCATTTTGGAGAAGAAGGTTCCTTTCTGTTTTTAGGTCGAGGAAGTTATAGATTAACGCACACTGCAGCTTCCAAAGCTACTCTGTGTGGCTCCCGAGACAATATTTTGTTATAAAAAACATATACAGGGTGTCTGAAAATAGTTCTAAGTCCTTGAAATGAGGGATTCTTGGGGTGATTTGGAACAACTGCTTCGATAAGGAAAACGTTGTTTCAAATCACCCCAGGAATCACCCCTTTCAAGAATACACTTATTTTAGGACACCCTGTATATAAACTATGCAACTGAACAAAATGATGCTTGAACCAACTAGTGAAATAAGTACTATGCATTTAAATGAATTGGTACCAGAAGTTTATTTATTAAAATACGTTCAAATTTACTGTTTTAATACTGTATTATATACGCGTACATACGATTGACGAAAGGAAGCGAAAGTATTGCTGAAACTGGGCCATTTTATATTCAAGAACATAATGCATTCAATATGTTCATTTACACCATCTTTATCCACGTATACTAACTCTATGCTTGAAGTAATAAACTAGACATTTTTTACCGATAGAAGAAGTGATTGGTCTAGACGGGTTTCTTGAGTGACGTGACAAAATCAGCAGTCAGACAACAAAAGCAAGAGCAAACGTTTGTCGAATCGATGTACGATCGTCCGGTGACGGGGTCGCGGAAAAATGAACGAGCCTCCGTGTCTGAAACCGGCGAACATAACGCGTGGTTAGAAAGCATGCGAAGAAACTACTTTATTACGTGAAACCTAGATACGTGGAACGACAACCGAACGGGGGCCGGGGGGGGAGGTGGCGAGAGCGATAGTTCGGGCCCAAAAATGGGCAATAAGAATCTAGGTGCGCATAAAAATCCGTCGTTCCTGAATAAGGGAAACTATATCATCGAATTCGGACTCTGGGAAAACGATCTCCTATTTCCTTGCTCGAACGTTTCTTACACCCTTCTGTGCACTTTTACTCAATTTTTACTGAGAATGTAGTACGTATACATTAAAAGTTATTTCATTCTGATGCTACCCAGATAGCACGCAGATGACTTTTAAGAAACCTTAATGACGGCCTAAAATAGCCGTAAAATGGGCGTCTTCGTGTGCTATCTGGGCACAATTCTTCCTTAGTTTGAAATCAAAAGACAATTTTGATTTTTGTGGGAAGAAAGATTTCAATTTAACTGCAATCGTCCGTGAACCAGCGGATATTGGATCGTTTCTAACTCCGCAAGAGACGTGTATACACGATGTAATCACCGTATCCTTGTTAAAGTTGCCAATTACGTTTTCTATCGGCTGGAACGAAGCGGTAAAAGGAACCGCCGCGTGAGAGTAAGCGGAGGAAAACGGTTACCTAGTACCTAGTAGGGCCAAAATGATTTAATACGGGATCCACGGAGCCGGATACCGTGGTTATGTGGGCCACGATACTCCTGAAATTCACGGGACCGTAAACTGAAACGCACTGCCATGGGCAACCGGCGTAAAGAGTCCTCCTCCCCCTTCGGCCCGTGATTCGCGACGCGCCGTTTCGATGGCGGAGTATACCAAGAAGATGAATCACTTCGTTTCGCTTCTATTACTGTATCGGACACGCGCTTAAACGATTCGAAATGACGAATTGTATTTACCTTGAATCGAAACAGAAATTTATATCTTTCATCCAGGTGAACGTAAAAAGGAACCATTATTAACCCTTAACTGGTCTGGTGGAAATCTTATTATATAAGCCTCATTATGTACGTAAATCTTATTTCTAGACTGCGGATTTTATGCATTTATAGAATATTTGATCATCTAGAATTCAGTATAATGAAAAGTGTCAGAAGTTTTAAACCTATTAGGATCCTTAACAGGGTAAATAAATTTCTCTTTGCATCCAGTTTAGAGAGATTAATCCATACGATTTTATATTTGCATAAACATCTGCAGTCTAGTTATTACACAACTATGTAGTTGTTGAGCGTTTTCATGTAAGAAATAAACAAACATCTATTTAATTAACTATCGAATGAAGATAAAAAATTCTGAAAAGACTCAAGGGAGTCTTTAGACTCCACCTTACCAATTAAGAGTTAAATATGATTATAATGTTGAATTTTTACTGTATTCCAATACGTAAATCCAATCCTAATGGTTAAAGGATGAAGCTGCGTATACAAAACATAGAATAATAAACCAGGTACATCGTCATCCGTATGACTCAATGTTTTCCATCGTCTCAGATTATTTTTCAACAATAACTACCCACTAACTACTCACCACAAGCAGCGTTCGTCGACCACTATACACCCTCGACGCGTTCTATTCCGCAGGTTTCACAAAGTCCTTCCTTAAATCGCCGTAAACCACCGAAACAAAATATATTCCTTTCAAACCATCACCCCACGCACAACAGTCACCTACACGTTCACCTCAGTCATCCTTCAGTAACGACCAAACTTCGCCGACGAACACTTCCCGCCTTTCCTTTCGGTATCCATCCACGCCGTCGAGCTTTCCATCGTTTTCGGAACCATCGACACTGGACACCATCGAACGACCCCTTATATCGGACGATATCAAACTTCTCCAGAACTCACAAATTCATTTCACGATCTTTTGTAATTTTTCTATTACAATCGACACTTTGATTAATCGAAGGAGTATTGCACAGGTGTATATATTGTCAGAACGCACCTGACCGCTTTCGTCCAGCAGGACTCGCCGCTATAAAACGCGGACGAGCAAAGAGCGCGGTAGAGCGGGACTCGGGAAGTTCTCTATTGTGTTGTGGGAAGGGGGAAAAGAGGGGAGGGGAATCGACTCGGCCAACCGAACGCCTTCCTGGCCCTGCTTCGAACAGGTGTTTACACTTTCGTCAGGTGGAAATTGTACATACGTACGTACGTGTGCCGGGGAGTGCACATGCAACACCGCTGCTACCCTCCCGTCCAGCCTGTGGCCCCAGCCAGCCTCGTGAAAGCCGAAATCCTCCGGCCATGGAGAGACCGATGGCTTCCGTTTACGAAGTGTGTATACCATTGTTCTTTAACTTTTCTTGAAATGACGTTTTTTTTTCTCTATCGTTTGACGGGCTGGCTGATGAGGACACAAGTGGTTGCGAGAGATTACGCGTATCGATGGAGATACACTTTTCGTTGCGTAGAGGTGTACAGGGTGGACCACGAAACGTGATCAGCTTAAATTATTCTATCGATAGCTGTTCGATCGAACATTTTTTTTGGTTAATATAACATTATTCAATGGGAGCTTTAAGATGATTGGATCTAATTGTTTGTCAGCCATTTTCCCCCAGAGTTTTCGAGGCACCTTCAGTTATTTTTTATAGATAAATCTAGAATTTTTGTACGCTCATCTTTTAGCGGATATTGAGATGAATTCGGCAAGCATGATAATAAATATTTTTTTCTTCTTCTAAACCAACGGAACATTAAGAAAATATAATTTATGATTAAGAAACGATTGCTTAGTACTATTTATGACGTCTGCACCGATTGTTAATTTTATTGTTAATAAAAATTGATTACGTTTAATGGTACATCCTGTGTATTTGATCGAAAAGGTGTGATTTCGAACACAGAATAAAGTTTAGACAGTTTTAATTAAAAGAAGATTGAATTGTTTAATAAGAATCGGTATTGAACGTTGCAACAAGAATTTTTTTTTGCTTCTAAATGAGTTTGAAACAAGTGCTGGGGGCCTTCGAACAAGATTTCCCAATTATTCAGTGTGACGGAGAAGGAACTACACATATGTAATTATTTGAAAGCGTTGCGCTTCACGCGATCGCATGTCGAGAGAAGTGTTTGTCGAATCCATCGAAGGCTATCGATCCATCGTCGAATCGTTAAGAGGTTTTTGCAGTGAGAAACTGATTTCAGTCTTTAACGAAATTTTTACGGAATTACTGAAGACGGCTACACTATACATCGTGACAATTAAATCGGTGAATTTTGTTGTTTCACATCAGGGGTGCACCGTTCCACTGTACGCAAGCGTCTTGCCATCTACAATTGACAAAAGGAAACTGTAAATGTTTCTGTTTTTAATTGGATGTATCGTAATTAGTAAAGTGCGGATTATACGCATTTATAGCATATACGACCATGTGAAATACGATAAATGGTAAAGCTAATATCAGATCTAATACATGTCATATTCTTGTCATAATAAAAGTCTTAAGAAACTAAAGAAAATTTCATCTTCATATCTGTCTTCACAAATCAGTTCAAAAAATATTATTTTGTATAAAGTTCCTAGTGCTCAACTCACTTGGAGCGAATAAGCTTCTCCAAAGGGGTCGCAGCGATGTCCGTGAGCTCTTTGCTCGAACCCTCGAATTCCGAATCGTTTCCAGAGTTCGACCTAGTGTCCACGGTCATTGTGGCGTGGCTGCCGCCGCAGGTGAAGTATTGCACCTCGAACCTTGTCAGACCAGAAAATAATAGTAAATAAAATCAATCTCCAAACCTACTCGAGACACCCAACCCATTAAAGACCAATGTTGTGTTAATACGTTTCATTTGCAATTTTTCCAACCACTCAATATTATTCACTTCTGTTTTCTAGTATTGTAGCTATTAAAAGGAGAGTCCAAGGATTTACTTAATAATTTTTTCACCGTACGTAATTTTGTAATAAATAAAAAATCGTATTATTCCACTACTTGGTCTTGAATGGGTTAAAGTTTGAAATGTTTTCAAGAGAGGACATTCACCTGCGTTCAGCGTGATAATTTCGAAGCAATTCTCGATTCGTGTTAAATAGAACACCATGGTGACCATGGCACAGAGTGACCCAGATGGGTAGACTGGGTGTCTTCAGCCGGGAGCCCGGTTGCCTGCTCATTTGCCCATCCCCCTCGTGAACCAGAAACCCTATTTCGCTTCTCACGAGAACGCCCCATTGTGGCACGGCCTTGAGAATATTAACGGGGAATCAAGGTTGGGAACGAGGTGAAATGTAATCGAGAGAAATTAATAATCGGTTTACATATGTGTTCTCGTCCCCGACGTGGAGCACCCCATTGTGAAGGTGAGGCGATGCACGACCGGTTAACGACAGGATCACCACGCTGATGGGCCCTTCCTCTGGGCAGCCGCTTAATATCGATGCCTTGGGTTCTTCTAGGTCCGCTCGTACCCTGTTACATCAACAAAGAATGTAGAGATTTTAGGTGGACTTAATTATCAAGAGTTCATTTTGTAAAAATGGTCTCCACTGAAGCTAGCTAAAGATTTTAAGTAGATTTAATTAACCCTTCGTGGGCCACTTTATTTTTATTGGTACCATCATTTCCCTAGGTTTTTTATGTCCAGATCTACTTTTTTTTATCTTATCGGCTTCCGAAAAATTTGAAAATGTTCAAGGATACGCTTCCAAGGACCTTCGCTATATGATCTAACAGTTTTTAAAATGGAATGTTTAATAGCAATCCCCTCATTTCGGAGATATTTGAGCACGAAAAAGAATTCACGAATCGATTTCACTCAGAATATATTTTTTATCTAATTTTCACAATCGAATGTACTCACTTCGAAAGACCTCTAGAAAGCACAGCGCTGTACAGAAGTAACTTGGCACCGGGGCCACCCTCGTCATGGAACTGAAATCCATCGAATTCGTATTTAGGAACGAAAAGCTTCTAAAAATTTTCTAAAATAGTCTAAGAAGCATACCAAGTATAAATATCTCTTGACGAATATCTCGAGATCCTGGAGAGAATCAAACTCGAACAGGTGGAGCTAAAAGTAGGATACTGAATTTTTGGATTGACCTGAAATTTTATTTATTCACATACCGTCTCTGTCAGTCCATCCTGGAAATATTGCACGCTGTGCTGCAAATAGGGTGTCTCTTGGGGCAACACGACGACAGCTCTGGGAACGTTCGCGTTTCCAGCGACATTTTGATTCGCCGTGCAACCGGTGCTTTGCACCACAAATCCACCCGCGCATCGCCAAATGATCTCGGCTATCGCCGAAGTGAGGACATCGATTTGTCGGTCATAAGAAGGTTTCAGCTGGCTGCCCAAAGAAACAATCATTGAAACTTGTCGATAGCTTCTTATCGATTTCCAACCATCTATACTGTTACAAGTTCCTTTAACGAACTGTAATAAGCAGTCTGCTGGCTTTATTACACTTCAACGTTGAATAAATGCATGTAGGCTCGAAACAGTTTCTGTACAATTCACTTCACTGGGCTTAAGAATTACAAAGTCTAAGAAACTAGTGGAATTACAAAATTCTTGGTAACAGTAAATTAGAAAATTGTACTGTCAGGAACGTTTATTGAGTAGTATATAAAAATGAAAGATGGTGTCTACCTATCTGGGTTAGCACGGACGTCTTTTCCGTTGCACTTGAAGAGGAAATGCTTTAGCATGATGGCCTGGACAGCGGTGACTAGTCCTCTGGTCGTGTTCCTAGGCGCTCGTAATCCAAATGCCAAACTTTGCCCGTAAGGTCTCAGGGTTAATCCGGTTCTAGCCCATTCTGGTTTCGGTGGACTGGCAGAACTTCCGTAAACCACAGCTCTCAGAGCCTATCGCACATCGAATTGAAATAGAGACGTTCAAAGAAAGGGAACTACTCGAAAGAAAGAAATGTACCATGCAGGTCTCCTCTTCGATCGGTTTCCCTCCAATTACCGCTGTCTTGGCCAGGGTCCTAGTATTCCTTGGGTATATAATTTTTTCTGGAACAAAAACACACACGAGGCATTAAAGTCACCAGCACCAACGAAACCGATCGATTATCCACCTGGATAGAGTTCGTCCGGTTCTCCCATAAGGGCAGCGCACCTGGCCGCTCTAGCAGACAGGAACATTCTTTGTGCTTTAACTTTCGACGAATCAGAAACACCGAATGCATATATGACCAAACGATGATGGTATTATACTTCGAGGAATAAAATGGTATTCGAATCTAGGAGCTAAAGTGTCCCTAAACCATCCGAATTAACCGAAAACAGGATTGAGCCTTGAGGACTGCACGTTCCGTTAACCTTCAACTTCCAACGAACCAAAGACACCGAATACATAGATAAAGGTATTACACTTCTAGGAATACAATATTTTGTACGAGACTAGGGGCCAAGATGGTCCTAAAGCAACTGAATCAAGCAAAGTTACGATCAAGCCTCAGGGATTGCAAGTTCCTTCAATCTTCAACTTCCGACGAGTCAACGACAATGAATGCATGTATGACAAAACACTGACGGTATTAAACTTCAAGGAATAAAATAGTATACGAGACCAGGAGCCAAGGTGTTCGTAGACCAACTGAATGAAACAAAGACGCGATTGAGCTTCGAGGACTCCGAGCTCCGACCGATTGTCACCACCGATGACGATTGCCACGCTGGAACGAACGGCACACCAAGCTATCGAATATCAATTGGGATTCGTGCCGTATACCAAGTCCCTTTATATACGGTGATCCGCGCTGATATCTCGAGCAGTCCGTGAAACTTTGAAGCGCACGAAACGCGTCAATTCGGATGTCCGAAGACACTCGGCAGAGATAGACGATAGACATGCCCCAATAACGTCTGTCTGTCTCGGCAATCCGTACATACGTGTCTCAGACCACGCGAGCAATTTAATCCCGGGGGGGGGGGGGGATGTCTCAACGTTCGCCATTCCGCGAAGAACGACTGGAAGTACACGTGCAGCAGCTTCTTCGACCGCCATCTTAATTATCGCTGATGGAAAACACTTGGCACGATCTCGACACGGATAGACATCGAGTGGAGCAGTTTCTTCGTGAATGACATTTAGTGCATTTTTTTGTTCGTAATTTTTTCTCATGATATCGTATAGGAGTAATGGAATCGCCTTCGAATCAGCTTAGAATATCTTGATAATGTAAAAGAATTTTTGAGAGATGGTCACTACTGACGGGGGGAATGTGCCATGAAAATTCCGATATTTTTCTTTAATTTCGCAGGTTTGTAGGGGACCATAATGGAAGCATCGGACAATTTTTTGTTTTTTTTCTGATTTTCGGCTCTTGACGGTGAAACCACCCCTTCAAGGTTAATGTGTCTTTTCCTATTTTCCTGTAGATCTTGAAAACTATGGTAATTATCGAGAACCTATTGGGATGAAAATTTTATTGCCCTCTTTTTATAGAACATTGAAATTGTTTAAATTTTCTTTGCGATAGTTTTTTGATATCTACTACAGTTTTCAAGATATACAGGAAATAGGCAAGTACATATTAACCTTCAAGAGGTGGTTTCACCCTGAAGAATCGAATATCAGCAAAAATGAAAAATTGAACGATTTTTCGAAGAGTTATCGAAGTTCCTTTGTGAGTAGTTCATGGGCAATGATTAACCGCTGCATTCCGGAGCAAGTCGTGTGTTTAGGAATTATATTGAATTCAATAAGAGGTTCACGAAGGTGGAACAAATACAGGTAAACCAGACCGTTTTTTCAATTATTCAGAGCAGAATACGCGGAGGAACGCACTTCCGCAATTTTTCGAGGCTGCAACCCGTGCGGGAAAATTGAAAATGCCGTTTCGCATGAAACCATTTGATACAACGTCTTTTCATTTGCCGTTTTTACGGTTACAGTTACGTGTGTACATGCACGTACTGCGTTCTGCCTCGCGTGATGCCTCGGGCTTCGAAAAAATGTAAGTCGGTTCCTTCTTAAACGGTTTCTCTTCTCTTCCCCGCTCGAAGAAATTGTTTCGGTGCCTGCTGGTGACCTCCGACTATTCGCGCGAAACAAAATTCACATATATTTCGATCTACCATCGTGGATTCGAAAAAAAAAAAGACATAAGAAACTGTTTGGGTTCATGATTGAAGCTCAACTATTACGACAGTCAAGTAGATAACATTTGTTATTAATAGACTTGCAAAATAGAATTAATAGTGCAAAATGTAGTAAAATGAAGAATACAATTTCAATGATATTTATATATTATTATCAACAAAATAAGACACCTAGCGTAGGAAATAAATTTCTCTCATTTTTGTGTTTATAAATTACATCCTAAAATTGTGATTTTGTATAAACATCCGCAGTCTAGTTATTATTAACGTAGAGAATTCAACATTCTATTCAATTTTTATTTTTCGATATTAGTATCGGAAATTACGAATTTGCATAAACTAGACTTACTAGTACACCTTCCTACAAAATTCCGATTTTCATAGACGGTTCCATAAAATCTATGATCACAAGAATGTCGAGTTCATCAATTAGCGGGTTGCTAGAGTGCTCACATTGATATTCAAATAAGTTTCGTGAAGTGTCTGTAACAGAGACGAAACCCATTGTGTTGTAAGTACATAGATCAAGAATAATATGGAAAGCATTTTATCAGTCGTTGCTCCAGACGCGTGCTAACAGCGAATAACACGTGGTTGATTCGTTTCTCGCCAGCAGCACAGCGGCGAGCACACACAACAGACGGTGGTGTGGCTTCGGCACACGTCTCGCGAGCTGGGAATCGCGTGCTCGCGTGCAATCGAGTCTATCGAATTACGAATTCGCGTCGGAACAGGGCATCTGCATTCGCCGATTACACCCACCGATATAACGCGGCTTAATTTACCCCCGACTACATACTCTCCTGCGATTCATCGATCTGATTCACCTGCTCGCACCTTCCTCCGCGAACGCCTTGAAAAATAAATCCTTTTCGGAGTAAATTCATACTTCTTGATCCACGATCGATTAGAAAATTTCAAGTTACCTCGATGTTCAGGATCACAGATTCATTATTCTTACTCGAAGAGATGAAGGAAAGATCGAAAAAACCTGACAGAGAAATCGTTTTATTGTAAAAGAAGGTTCAAGTTTTCGGGCATTTGGAAAATTATATCTATGAAAATCAACCGTATTATTACAGAAAGGGATCGAATTTATGAACTTAAACATGGTCGGGATGCAGAAGTCATTTCAATGCTTTTGAAGTCTCTGTACACTCTTTAAATTTTAGAATTCTGTAATGGGGATTAACTTTTTCGGTACAGATGACAAATATACAAGTGGTCCATAGTATACAAGACGTCTTCGAAATTCTGTTTATATAATGTTCTTGTTGTTAACAAATCTGCAGTTGTCATAGAAATATCTTTCCATTAAATTTTACAAAATGATCATTACGAAGGCGTGAAAAAATCGGTGTCTAAAAAAATGCCCAAACGCCGACCGTAGCAGGCAGATTAACGGAACAGTCGCGTTTTAGCATCGCCGTATTAAAAATGTTAAAAACTGCGGTTTCTATTCTCATTTCTTCGTTCACGATACCTTTCTGACGAAGATATACCGGCTTCTCCGCGAGCATCTCCATGCAATGTCTCTTGCCAGACGCTGAGGACGCTGAGGGCGAGTTCGCAGAAGAGTTGGTACCCTCCTCGGTGTCTTCCGGTTCCTCCATGTCCATCTTCAACGAATCGACGTCGAACACTGATATATTAAACGATTTTTGAAATCCTAAAGACACTTTAACATCGTCCGTAGAATTACTTTCCGTTCAGAACGATGAAGATCCCCTTTGATATATCGAGTTCCACGTTCAGTAACAGAATTAATTTAACGTTCAGTTTTCATAAAACTTTATCATCGGAACCACAAATAGGATTCACATCGATGATCCGTCTGCGTGTAATCACGTGAAGTGACATTTTCGACGAAGTACCATTTAATCTTCTAGGACCAGTGTCTTCAGGGAAGTCTCCGCGTCTCTTCGTGTCACTTGGACACGACGTGTGATTCTCGATGTGATCGACGCCACTTCTTCTTGGACGTATTAACAAGTCGAGGAGGCAGTCAAGTGCTCGTTGCTGCATCGAGCCGCCTGGACTGACAGGAGTTAATAATTCCGGCAGCTTTCGGCCGACTCGGTTCATCGCGCCGCGCACGAGCTTACCATCCCACCCAGGCTCCGGATAGTTATATGCATAATGACGGGCCGTGAACTCGAGAACCTGAAAGGCTTGAGCTGCTTCAGGATATCCGTGATCCGGCCGTATACGAAAGAAGTTTCGCTCGATCGGAACCACTACCACCACCCCTGGCCACGATTCACTAGCTGAAACTTTTCGAATTTTCGGTCTTTAGACACCTCGAGTTTCGAAACGGATCGAAGAAATTACAACGTCGAATTGTGGTTAATCATCGGTTATACTGAAAATTGTACTTCAGTTGGATCATTTTGTAGATTTATTAACCGTTTTTCTACATTTTGGTGAACATTTGCATCATTATCACCATGTCGATGCATCTCGTCATCACAACCTATTTTATATCAAAACTCACCGTACTCAATATGGCCAATTTGGTTGTTTCGACCGTGCATGTTAATCACTCTCTGCCAGCATTAAAGAATTCGTTTCTTCGCATTGTCAATAATTAATTTTAATTATATCATTTATTTCCATGTTTATGTACGTCCTTCTCTTATCGTAATAACTCTGTACTAAAGGGTATTTATCCCGTTAATAAATCATTATTATTATTACATTAACCTTTAGAGTCTGAAGGTTAACCTTTATCCTCTAAATTAGAGGATGTAAAGCCTATTTCTAGGCTAAAGATTAATTGGTTACAGAGAAACTCGAGTTGGCTGGAAAGATTGTTACACCCTTACTGAAGTCCTCCACGAAATCGCGTAACGCTTTTATGTTTGCGCACACAACTGCATCCCCTCTTGTGCATAAGGTTACGCTTACACGTGTTCTGCAATGGATTGTCTCTCGCCTGTGCTAATCTTACTGGTTTATCGGCGACGAGCGATCTTTGCACGCGTTTCGTGCCATTTTCCTTCGATCGGAACGGATAATCGAGGAGCGTGAATCTCGTGTTGAGTACCGTAGATCGTGAAGGATTTTGTTAAAGGTGCATCCTTCGTTTGTGACGGCTATTAATAAATTATCGTCTATCGTACGAATCACATAATAAATCATTTGGAACAAATTTTATTAACACCGTCCACAGGCTACCGCTTTTAGGGAGTAATTCATTAAAGATCATGCAACATTTTCAATACTTCTGCTTAATTCAGTCGTTTTTACTGTTATGTGCATGCTGCACGTTGTTGCCCGCTAGTGAGTTTGGCGGAACCTGAGTTGCCCATCACTGGTTTACTGTATGGATACTTCAGATTTAGTTTGTTGAGATGTTAGAGAGTTGAGGTGATATTATTATTATAAGATCATTAAGGCACAGTGGCGAATGTGTTAAATGAATTGTACAATTTTCATCTAAATGAAAGATACAATGATAGGGTGAAGAATCCACCTAATTTTACCCAGATCCATCCGAGTTGAGTCGTTAAACTTCCACCACACAAACGTACATATCTTATCGCTCCCTGCCATAATTACTAATTTCCTGGCTATCATGCCACCATCAAGATTACGTCGGTTTGGTTAAGTTCAAGTTCGCGCCCGTTCGAAATAGATGCTCCATATTCGGCCTTCGAAACTACGATCGGAACTTCCGAATCCGAGCATACGTGGTGGTTGCATGCGCGCTAAATATATGCGGAAATACATGAGTTTCTATTAACATTTCCGTGGATACGTTGGTAAAGTAATTTTGACAAAAAAGTGGTTTCCTTAATTTGAAGTACGCGCCAAATCTCTCTTCTCAATTAAACAAGTAATCACTACGACTAGCTAACAAACTATAATAATGTATGTACGTTCCTATTAAATTGTTCAATGTTTTATTAGTTTATTTTTACCATTCGTCGAAATAGTGGAAGTGAGCTATAATTGTTGCTATAAGTACATATCCGGAAAGAAAGCAATTCCGTTCCGAAAAATGAAAAGAATCGTTTCCTTCGACGTGATCGTGTTAGGGCGTGAATAAATTGTGCCAGTATTTTTAGCACGGCAATTGTTCGATACCAACTTGCTATTGACCTTACGTGGTATCCTGTATTCGGGTGCGTGCACCGTCGGAAACGGGTTGCATGTGCAGGTAGGTATGCGTTGCAGACGGTCTCTGGTATATTGCCAGAGTGCAATATGAAATTGAACTTAGAGCCGAGCGGCTTAGTACCAGGAGCGAAGTTACAAGAGATTACGTGCAACTACGAGTATTTGGTTACTTAAATGATCGATCAGATTTACACGTTTCTGTTAGAGACTGGCGGGCACGGCGGATCGATTAGTGTCTGCTAGCGGGCGGACCCGTTCCAATAAGTCGTAAAAAACAATTGTTATCCTTAACGTAGATGTTGAATTGGTGTGTAATTTTTATGCAATGTATACGCACTTGTACGAGATACTTGTTTTACTTAAATCTTTAGGGGATGGAAATATATTTTTGTTTAAGGTGTAATTGCAAGTTGCAGACACACGGTAGCGCTTCCAGAGAGGATGTTGCAATAGGAAAATAGATTTAAAATTGGTCATTTTTTGTGTTTATCGCGTTTTTCTAATTGTAATCAAATGGAAGGTATGCATCATCTCACTTGCACGGATCTCCTTGTAGATTCGATAGTGATTTAATCGACCTTCTAATAAATAATAATTTCTAACTTTAGTTGAAATCGCGTTAAAAATAAATGTGAAGGTAAATTTTGCGTGAAATTTGAATTTGAAAAAACGCGGGAAAATTGCAAAATCGATAAATATGTAAAATTATGGTAGCCACTTAATGACGGAAAGTGGAATTAAATTTGGAACTTCATAATCTAGTTATGGAATTTGCTACCACGTGGCGTCACCACCGACTAGGTATAGAATAGACCTATCATCCAATGCTTTTTTCTGTACCACGTTCATAGGGCTACGTAGCCCTTTTACCATTTTAGTGTCAATACCCGACGTTACCGATAAAGCATGAATTCTGAGTATTATTAGCACAAATGAAGTGTTATATATTCCATTCATATTACGTGTATCTATATGATTTCACGAGAATAAAAATATCCGATGCTTCAATAATATTGATTTCCTTGCAACATCCACAATTATTACAAATGTCAATATAACGAAATATCTTTTATGCGATGTTTGTGGTGTAATAAAAATCTGTGTTTCGATTACGTTTTTGATACGTATTACTCACTTATATGTAATAATATAGAATAAAAATATACTATTAGTCCGATATTTGAAAATATGCATGCGTTCGTTGACACTGTTAAACTGTTGTAATAACAATGGAATAATAAAATAATTTACTCAAATGTACATAATAATACATATACATATCCATAAAAACAATATTAAACGCAAAAACTTTTTTGTACGCGAAGAAAAACTAATATAGGTCCGTCGGGATGTGAACCCAAGACTCCTTTCTAATACGTCTACTTTATAGCGAACGGAAGAGAATACGTTCACGACCATGGTCCCTTCTTAGAATTAACGTAGTTCACAAATTCACCGTTCTCATAACGTAGAGGGCAGCAGAAATCCCTGACTTTTTACACTATCTGTATTTCAGAACATGAGACACGAAGTTCCATAAGATGATAGGTCTATCCTATACCTCGTCGGTGGCGTCACTTTATCGGTTTTGAAGTTTCCCGCGCTTTTTTAAATAGTCCAGAATTAGTTCGAACGATATACTCAAGCACTCACAGATGGCTCCAGGATTTCCTATATATCGGGTGAACTGATAACTCCCAATGTTGAATACATCACAGTGTTTGGAGTAACCTTACAGATTCCTATTCATGAATGTATCGTAATTACTTTATTTTTCAACATGCGTAAAAGTGGAACCCTTTTGTCTACTAATATTTAATATAGTGTTAAATGGCAGTGATAGAGATTCGTCGAAAGAGGAAGAAGAAAAAGGTAGAATCACGTCGATCGATGATACGTAACCCAAAACCAAACGTTCATTTTGTTTACCTAGAAACTGGATTGTTTTCTTGACTTTCAGTACATTAGAAACGTAAACAATGGGTAAACACGAAGTGGGAACACCAAAGTACATTGCAAACAAGATAAAAGCAAAGGGTCTGCAGAAATTAAGATGGTACTGTCAGATGTGTCAGAAGCAGTGCAGGGACGAAAATGGATTCAAGTGTCATACAATGTCAGAGTCTCATCACAGACAGTTATTATTGTTTGCTGACAATGCACATCGATATATGGATCAGTTTTCTAAAGAGTTCTCGCATGGTTACCTAAATTTATTAAAGAGACAATTTGGTACTAGAAGAGTAGCTGCAAATCGTGTGTATCAGGAATATATCTCCGACAGAGGACACATACATATGAATGCCACAATGTGGGTGACATTGACTGCATTTGTGAAGTGGCTTGGTCGCACTGGACAATGTGTTGTGGATGAAACAGAAAAAGGTAATTTTGTATTGAATGAATTAATCTATCCGTTATTTTTGTTTTTCAGAATTAATGTAACTCGTTGTATTCTTTTCATTGATGTTTTTTCTTTTAGGCTGGTATGTAACATATATTGATAGAGACCCAGAAACCCTAGCAGCACAGGAAAAGAAAGCCAAGAAACAAAAGATGGACAAAGATGACGAGGAAAGGATGATGGAGTTCATAGAGAAACAAGTTGAGAAGGGCCAGCAGGAAACCAGTGAACAAAGTGGAATTTTTAAAGAGCCATTATCCCGGTCTGAAACAGATGCACCTTTGGTGTTGGAAATGAAAATAAATAAAAAACCAAAGTTACTTCCCAGTATCATAAAACAAGAGAAAGATAAAAATAAAGATTCTATTAAAGAAGAGTATATTGCCACTACTTATATAAAGCAGGAAGAATTGAGTGGTGAAGAGTCAGAAACAAGTAGTTCATCAAGAAAAAGAAAAAAACATAAATCGAAAGTGGATGCGGACGAAGACAATTTAGAAGGCTGGCTCAGGGAAGGCTTGACAGTGAAAATTGTCACAAAGAGTTTAGGAGAAAAGTATTATAAAGCTAAAGGAATAGTTCAGTCTGTAGAGAAGAAAAATTTCGTTGGAAAAGTAAAATTGAAATCACCAGAAGAAGTTGAGAATCATATCATCAAGATAGACCAAGAGTACTTAGAGACAGTGATACCTGCTATTGGAAAAGAAGTCATAATTCTTTGGGGAAAATATAAAGGCAAGAATGGGGTAGTACATAAGCTTCACATAGAGAATTACTGTATTGATGTACAGCTTGACAGAGATGGTACCGTTGTAAAAAAACTACCATATGAACAAGTCTGTAAATATGTCACCTGATCAAGTTTGTTATAATACCAAAAATTGTACATTTTATCTGTATCTTTTTTAATAAAATGTTTTACACAAAATTATCTTTGTATTACTATTTAAGGCCGTAGCGCATTTTGGCGAAGTTACAAATTCAAAAAAATATCTAGTGAATGTAATAAACAAATTCTTAATACAATCTGCGGGGCTTGAACCGCGTCCAAAAAATTATATATCTGCTCTCATTCTACATACATATGTGCATATACATAAGTCATTGCTACCCGTGATACGCTTTCCGTTTACATAGTTCACATTTGGACAGCTCTTACACCGTTATACGGGTAGCTTTCGTCTAGATAAAGCACTTGATTTGTAGCTTAAAAAACGTAGATTAATCCTCTGTCATTGATAATAACAATAAACGACCAGAATACTGTAAAATCACATTTAATCGCGGAATACCACTATTTTTTTGACCGGTGGCGCCGTCCGTGGCAATTTGCGCAAACTGCTAGCCAAATCATACCGACAGGTGAGTGAATATTCCTAATGATGGAAAAAAGCGAATATCTCAGTAATTAAGCACTTAAAATGAATGTCATTAGTCTCAAATTGTCCCTCAGGACTTAATGCATGGATCCCATAGTGCAGAAACCCTGAATTAGTAAAATTAGTTAAGTCTATATTACCGAAGCCCCTTATGGGGCGGTAACCCTACATGCAATACATTTCGATTACATTTACACCACTGAACGGGCATCAGTTTTCCTCGTCACGCATTAAATTCGAAGTTTGAACAACGTAGATTAGTTCTTTCTAGCGACTGGAAATCAGTAATTACAAGAACATTGTTAAAATCACATTTATTTGCAACGGTTCACACTGTATCCCGTCATGCGTACCCCGTTTAGTTCACTTTGAATAGCTCTTCCATCGTTCTATGGACAAGTTACGTCTTGATCAAGCATTCAGTTTGAAGCTGAAAGAACGTAGATTAATCTCCTGTCATTGAAAATAACAATAAACGACCAGAACACTGTTAAAATCGCATTTAATCGCGGAATACCACTTTTTTTCTACCGGAGGCGCCATCCGTGGCGAGTTGCTGAAACTGCTAGCCATATAACTGGCTAGCAGTTTCAGCGATTCGCCACGGGTGGCGCCACCAGTCAAAAAAATAGTGGTACTCCGCGATTAAATTGCGATTTTAACAGTGTTCTGGTTGTTTATTGTTATTCTCAATAACAGTCGATTAATCTACGTACTTTCAGCTACAAATTAAGTGCCTCAGCTAAACGAAAGCTGTCCGTATAACGGTGTACGAGCTGTCCAAAGTGAACTAACCGGGGTACGCATGACGAGATACAGTGTTAACCGTTGCAAATAAATTGCGATTTTAACAGTGTTCTGGTCGTTTATTGTTATTGCCACTGACAAGAGATTAATCTACGTTCTTTCAGCTACAAGTTGAGTGCTTGGTCAAGATGAATCAGCCGTTGTAGGGTGTTAATCTACATTCTTTAAACTTCGAATGTAATGCATGACGAAGAAAAGTGTTGCCTGTTTAGTGGTTATGTAATTGCAACAGTTTTCGATCGAATTTACACTGCTAAACGAGCATCAGTTTTCCTCGTCATGGATTACATTCGAAGTTTAAAGAACGCAGATTAGTACTCTCTGGCAGGTGAGAACCAGTAATTACAAGAACATTGTTAAAATCGCATTTGTTTGCAACGGTTGACAGTGTATCTCGCCATGCGTACCCCGTTTAGTTCACTTTGAATAGCTCTTCCATCGTTCTATGGACAAGTTACGTCTTGATCAAGCATTCAGTTTGAAGCTGAAAGAACGTAGATTAATCTCCTGTCATTGAAAATAACAATAAACGACCAGAACACTGTTAAAATCGCATTTAATCGCGGAATACCACTTTTTTTCTACCGGATCTGTCATTGAAAATAACAATAAACGACCAGAACACTGTTAAAATCGCATTTAATCGCGGAATACCACTATTTTTTCGAACGGTGGCGCCATCCGTGGCGAGTTGCTGAAACTGCTAGCCATATAACTGGCTAGCAGTTTCAGCGATTCGCCACGGGTGGCGCCACCAGTCAAAAAAATAGTGGTACTCCGCGATTAAATTGCGATTTTAACAGTGTTCTGGTTGTTTATTGTTATTCTCAATAACAGTCGATTAATCTACGTACTTTCAGCTACAAATTAAGTGCTTCAGCTAAACGAAAGCTTTCCGTATAACGGTGTACGAGCTGTCTAAAGTGAACTAACCAGGGTACGCATGACGAGATACAGTGTCAACCGTTGCAAATAAATTGCGATTTTAACAGTGTTCTGGTCGTTTATTGTTATTGCCACTGACAAGAGATTAATCTACGTTCTTTCAGCTACAAGTTGAGTGCTTGGTCAAGATGAATCAGCCGTTGTAGGGTGTTAATCTACATTCTTTAAACTTCGAATGTAATGCATGACGAAGAAAAGTGTTGCCTGTTTAGTGGTTATGTAATTGCAACAGTTTTCGATCGAATTTACACTGCTAAACGAGCATCAGTTTTCCTCGTCATGGATTACATTCGAAGTTTAAAGAACGCAGATTAGTACTCTCTGGCAGGTGAGAACCAGTAATTACAAGAACATTGTTAAAATCGCATTTGTTTGCAACGGTTGACAGTGTATCTCGCCATGCGTACCCCGTTTAGTTCACTTTGAATAGCTCTTCCATCGTTCTATGGACAAGTTACGTCTTGATCAAGCATTCAGTTTGAAGCTGAAAGAACGTAGATTAATCTCCTGTCATTGAAAATAACAATAAACGACCAGAACACTGTTAAAATCGCATTTAATCGCGGAATACCACTTTTTTTCTACCGGAGGCGCCATCCGTGGCGAGTTGCTGAAACTGCTAGCCATATAACTGGCTAGCAGTTTCAGCGATTCGCCACGGGTGGCGCCACCAGTCAAAAAAATAGTGGTACTCCGCGATTAAATTGCGATTTTAACAGTGTTCTGGTTGTTTATTGTTATTCTCAATAACAGTCGATTAATCTACGTACTTTCAGCTACAAATTAAGTGCTTCAGCTAAACGAAAGCTTTCCGTATAACGGTGTACGAGCTGTCTAAAGTGAACTAACCAGGGTACGCATGACGAGATACAGTGTCAACCGTTGCAAATAAATTGCGATTTTAACAGTGTTCTCGTCGTTCATTGTTATTCCCACTGACAGGAGATTAATCTACGTTCTTTAAGCTATAAATCGAGTGCTTGGTCAACACGAATGCTGTCAGCATAACGTTGGAAGAGATGTCGAAAGAAAACTATACCGTGTACGCATGACGAGATGCAGGGTCAACCATTACAAACAATTGTGATTTTAACAATGTTCTTGTAATTACTGTTTCCCAGTCGTTAAAGAGTACTAATCTACGTTCTTTAAACATCGAATTTAATGCGTGACGGAGAAAATTGATGCCTGTTCAACGGTGTAAATGCGATGGGAATCTTCTGAAATTAGGGTTGCCGCTCAATAGGGGTCTACGTTAATATAGACATAAATAATTTTACTAATTCTGGGATTCTGCAGTTTTAGATTGATGCATGAAGTTCTTAGGAATCTTTCGAGACTAACGATGTTCATTTTGAGCGCCTAATTACTGAAATATTCGCTTTTTTCCATCATTACAAATTTTCACTCACCTGTCGGTGTGATTTGGCTAGCAGTTTGCGGCAATTGCCACGGGTGGCGCCACCGGTCAAAAAAGTAATGGTATCCGCGATTAATCGCGCTTTTAACAGTGTTCTGATTGTTTATTGTTATTTTCAATGGCAGAGAATTAATCTACGTTCTTTCAGCTATAAATCGAGTGCTTGGTCTAGACAAAAGCTGTCAGCATAACGTTAGAAGAGTTGTTCAAATGTTGAAACAAATTCCTGCGTCGCACTTCGCCAAAATGCGCGACGACCTTTATTGGGCTTGCCTGCAACCATATGAAGCAATAAAATCGACTAGAAAGGTTGCAATAATTAATGGTGTAATAAAATTAATTAGGCGCGGAAAAGAGAATGGTCCCTGGAAGTGCTGAATGGTTCTATCACCGCGAGTCGGTGGTAGTAGCTAGGTAACAGGGGTCATAGAACCCCCGGAGTATACGTAAGTGACCTCGTTTGCGAGTAAGTGGGGTCATAGAACCCCCGGTATAGGCGCCAGCGACCCCGTGTGGCGAGAACGGGGGGACATAAATCACGGTAAGGCATTCCCGCAAGGGAAATTGTAATGAATGGGAATAATATGAAAGTTCTTTACTTCTTCTTGAACATTCTAATTTCATAGCCCTAAAGTGGGTACCTGAAAGTATTTCATTGAATTTATGTAAAAGATTTTACTACTTCCTATGAGACTCCGTGTGCTATTTGATAGCCTAAAAAACAATGTGCCCATACAAGGTTTCGATTTATTTACGAAACTAATTTGACCAGTTGCTGCATTCTTTGACACTAATTTTCAAGAAAATAAAACTTCTGTATTTCACTTAATTTAAGAGACACGTGGCTGAATATTAACATACGTTCATTATTTAATTACTCGCAATAAATAAAATTTTTGTAAGGTAATGAACGTGAGACAGAAAAAAGCTTTGGATGAAGGCTGTTCTATACCTACTAGGTGGTTCCATCTAATGTCGCACCTGGCTACTAATTGGTTAGTAGCTTGGATGTGTTGCCGTAGATGACACAACAGTACTTTTCAAATATTTTTTATTTGAAACAAAGATTTAAATATTAATCGAATTATAATTATTATTTGAATAAATAGCGATATTTTGGATCTGAAATTAATACTTGTCACTTTTATATAAGTAGTGTATTGCTGAATGGCAATATTTATTCCAGCATACTTTCGTGTTATGATGACCATGTGGACTTTCAATCCTATGAACATAACCTAATTTAACCTGAATTATGGTTTAAAGAATGAGAAATTCTCATTTCCTAAAAGTTAAAAATATTTGTTCATTACAAAGAAAAGTGTCTTATCAGTGATTCCAGCAATGTTACAATCTTCGAAACTTTGAGGAACAGAAGTAGCCTGTTTACAATATTTATTCGAGTGTCTGTGTAATTGTTAAATGATTTTTTGACACAATGTCCGTACTGTTTAACGGAGACAATTCTAATTCGGAAGAAGATTTAAAGATAAACAAAGATTATGCTAAGAATTATGACAATTGGCGGCACAAGGAAGAGTTGAACAAATGTATGTACATCGTAAATTTTTTAATTTTGCTTCGTTAAACAATATTCTTGAATGAGATGGTTACATTTTCAGTGAAAACAAAATATGGAGACATCAATGGGACTGTATTGTCTGATGAAAACTCTGATACAGAGAGCTCTTCATCTTCTTCTGAAGAGGAAAATGTATGTATACAATTTTTCTTTTTAAGACCTTCTATATATCTTTTTAACTTAATTTATTTTTTCAGGAAGTAACAGAACAGTTTGACAAAGACTTCTATAAAACATTAGCCTTGTTGAAAAAGAAGGATCCAAAGATCTACAAGCAAGATGTAACATTCTTTGATGAAACCAACAAAGCACAGGAGTTGCACTATGAAAAGAAGAAGTCTTCTGACAAATCAAAGAAAGAACAAGCTGTCTATTTGAGAGATTTTGAAAGAAACATTATTGTAGAACGGGAGGGAAAGTTCAGTGACAGTGAGGATGAGGACAAGTTACGAAAGATAAAGGAAGAAGCCAAAAATGTGACATATGCTCAAGAACAAAAGCAAATAAAAGAAAGTTTCAAAGATGTATTGCACGATGAGGATGAGAATGATGATGATGTAGATTTACTAAAGCCAAAAACTAAGTCTCAAAGTGAGAAAGAAAAGGTAAGTTACATTTATCCCCTCAGTTTTTGAATTAGAGAACATAATTTTTTTTCATTTAGGAAGAAGCAGATTATAAGGAATGGTTAAAGGGACAAGATTCAAACATAAATGAGCAGGAACAGAATGCATTGAAACCTCTACGTGACTTTTGGTCCAATCCTAATCTGGACGCTAATGAACAATTTTTAAGAGATTATGTATTGAACAATAAATATTTAGACAATGAATATGCAGGTCCTGAGTTAGATAATACCCATTTAATTCACGACAGTGATGAAAATTTGTCGGAAGATGAGAAGAACATAGAGAAACAAGAAGAGTTTGAACAGAAATATAATTTTAGATTTGAAGAACCAGATCAGGAGTTTATCAAAAGATATCCACGTACTATGGAAAATACGATACGAAAAAAAGACACTCGTAGATCGCAAAAGAGGGTAGAAGTGAAAAAAAGAAAGGAAGAAGAGAAATTGAGGAAGAGGGAGGAACTGAAACAGCTGAAAGCGTTAAAGAGGAAGGAAATTGAAGAAAAGATAGAGAAACTGAAAGAGATTACAGGAAACGACGACATAAAGTTTAATGATATCGACTTGGAGGGTGATTTTGATCCGGATGAATATGACAAGAAGATGACAGAACTCTTTAATGATGACTATTATGCGGCTCCGGAAGATGATATTAAGCCTGAATTTCCAGAGATTGACAAAGATCTAGAAGTTGAAACTACATGGGATAATTACGATCCGAACGCGGAAAATTATGATGCACATGATGGAGAAGACTATGAGGGACCAGATTGCGAGGATCCGAACTTCAATGTAATTGATGTACTATTGTTGTGTCCATACGTTTCCTGTCTGTAAAAGATTCCAAGTTTGAACTTCCAATTTCAGATGGATGCTGATTATGATTCATCTAAATGTAATCAATTAGAAGAAGAGGGAACGAAGAAAAGAAAACGCAGACGGAAATCTAAGTTTGCTGAGCTGATGGCAAAACAAAAACCGAAATTTGATCCCCAACAGTACAAGTCTTATGAAGAGTACTTTGACAAGTATTATTCGTTAGACTACGAGGATATGATTGGGGATATTCCATGTAAATTTAAATATAGGAAAGTTGTACCGAATGATTATGGTTTAAGTGTAGAAGAGGTCAGTTTTAATGTAAAGATAAATATAGATTTAGTAACTATCGGTTTCTTAAGAATCCATCCTCTCTGCGCCCTCTACGATTGATAACGGTGATTTTAGGAACTACATTTGACTTTACTGTTATAGTACATTTAGAAATAGGTTCAGCATATTTACCAGTATTTTAAGTGATTATTTGTTTTTCCAGATTCTTATGGCAGATGACAAAGAGTTGAATAAATGGTGTTCCTTGAAAAAAGCACTGCAGTATAAGCCAGAGTATGCAGAATTAAATGATGTCCGGATGTACAAGCAGAAGGCTAATAACGAAGCACTTAAAAAGAAAGTACTTACTAGTTTGTACAGGTGAGACACAGAAATTGTTAAAATGAGTGTAAAAAGCTAAAAAAAACACAAATGATAAACGTGTAATATTTTCCAGGAGTCCTGAGGATGAAGAGAAAGAAGTTAAAAACTTGAATGCCATTGATTTCATCAATTCCAATGACGAGGAAACGGAGACGAAGAAGAAACGTCGCAGGAAGAAGAAGAACAAGAAGAAACAGGAAGTGCAGAACGTTCCATCGGCTACTGAAACCAGTCAGGAAAAATCAAATAACATGGATAATGATGAAATCGAGAATAAGGGTACAAATAATGCACAGATGACCTCGAAGGAGGTTAAGAAGAAGAAGAAAATTGAGAAGCGGAAACAGGTTGAGGAACAGCCTGAAGAACCTCGGGAGCTGTCGAAGAAAAAACAGAAAGTTGATAAAGTTGAAGAAAGTAATTCTACTGTTATCGCTGAGAATAAGTCACATGAAGAACAAGGTACTAACAAATCTTTGAAGAAGAAGAAGAAGAAGATGACCGTTGATGGTCAAAATAACAGTGAACTAAGTTCCAAACAATCGAAGAAGATGCTGAATCTGAAAGATAAAATGAAGAAAAAGAAGCTTAATAAAATGAAAAGAAAAGACTCCAAACAGGCAGATACCATTGGCGATATTGCTTCGTTGAATCCAGAAAGGCTGAAAACATACGGGATCAATCCAAAGAAGTTTAAAAATAAATTGAAATACGGGAAGAAGCAACAATAGCCATAATACACTGTGTAAATAAAGTTTTGTATATACATTTCTTCTTGCAGAAATAGACAATTTTAAATATACAGAAATCTGATCCTTTAACAGTACACATCTTTTTTTACATTATTCGCGTAACACACCCTATTTGATACCAATAAGTAGGAGGAGGGGATAAACGTTTGCGAGTCACCGGATACACTGTACACCCCGAGTAGGAGTGGCCGTGTTAGGGTGAATTCGTCTCTCGACATGATAAACGACGTTTGCGGATTATTAGAATCGTAGCAGTCTGTTTGCGTTTACTCTTCTAAAATCTCCATCTCTAATCCCGCCCATATGCTTTGGTCGAGGTAGCTAGTACGCGGCCATCTTGTGTCCGTATTGTTCTTCAGGCTGAAACAACTCTTAACTCTTATTATACTGGGAAAATTGTTCATAAAATAACCTGTTTTACATCCATTACAAATATTTACCCATTAGGAGAACAGAAAAGTCTTTGATGAAAATAAAAAACGTCTTTATTAATTCTTCTTCGCTTAAATTACCACGTTGTTGAAAAGAAATCCAAGAACACTAATTAAAAATGTAGAATTATCGGTCCATATACGGACTAGAGCGTGTCTCCATAGGCACTGTCGCACTGACTGGAATAATTTAATCGACAATAAAGCCGAGGTATCTCTTACGAATGTTAGTTAACGAAAGGGGAGGGGATTAGGGGATGGTAGTGCGCTTGTGCCCATCTAAACCGGCCCGCACGCAGCCTCTCTGTCCCCTTGGGTGCAATATATCAATTCTCCTTACCCCCGGCGAATGTTACGCCAGTAGCAGGTGGCTACTGACGGCCAGCGTCGTTCGCACCCTTAATTCCCAATTAATGTTATACCCGTTGTAAACGTGTGTCTACCATATCCTGGCTACCACCTACCTCACTTTTTTTTTACAAAATTCCTTATTCTATACAACGTGACGCTAATTATTATTGAAAATAAAGTAAAATAAATCGGTGAAATTAAAATAGTTTTGACTTGTCGATAGAAGAAACAAATGGAAGCAGCAGAGCAATTCTTGTTTTACTAGTGTTTGTGAAACTATGATAGTAAGATGAATACTGATGTTACTGGCAGTTTCAGTTATTTTCTTAAAAATAATCATAGGTACTAAAAAATGGTCTTTCATGAGTCTGATAGATGTAAGTGTTCTATTTGGACTGTTTCAACTAGGTGGGGACGCTATATTTTCGCGAATTAAAAATCGGTTAGGGGCCGATCAGAGGAAGAAATACTTTTACCGAGTTACAAGCTATCGAGTTTCAGGATTACTGAATTTCACGGGCTAACGCCTCCATCTGGAATCGCGTGGGGTGCTTAGGGAGCAGTGTAATTGAGGTATCATCCCTGTCCGCGTTCTAATTGGCGGAAAATTGTTAGGGCCAAGGGACGAGGAGCCTTGGACGTCTGCGTGAAGATTCGAGCAAGGAATTCCGACAAATTTTTATGTACATTTGTTTTTATATAATATACTATACCGACTAAAAATTTTTGGTAATTTAAAGTGATCGTAATTTTCTTAAGTAGTGAATTATAGTTAGGTCAAGCTAAAAAAGAACAATTTGTTAATTTAATTATTCTTTACATTCTATAACAATACGATTACATGATAAAGTAATTTCTCTAAAAATAGTTAATGTTTTCATATTTTAATAAGACTATTTATGTACTACTTTATTCGATTTCAAGATTTAATGAGATTTCAAACGAAAATCACGATTCTACGCCATCGTCGTGACCGTTGTCGTGGTCATGGTTGTATTCGTCTCGCGTGGATCGGGCAGATCTATTTGTCCTACCTGAATCAGGATCACTACATAAGTGCCGATTGTTCCCGCGACCTGTTAGAAAATTTCAATTTACAAATCCAAATACAGTTCAACCAGTGATTATCCAAGTTGTTAATATATATTACGCCTTGAATAAACGTGTTGTCCAAATCGAAGAACCCGCACGCGGTGAACATCAACGGATTCTGGATCATTTGCAGGGTAAAGTCTCGAATCTGAAACGCGACTCACTCAGTAAAGAAGTACCAGCGTTCAGTTTCTCAATCTGTTACCTCAGCACGAAACTCTTTGGAGGTCGAAGGTTCGTAAAGCTTGCAAATCAGATCGCCTGTGTCGGAGACCTGAGGAACAGGAATGTAATAATTTGTATAATTTTCGACAGTTTACATTTCCTCGAAAGATCTCTCGACTCCCAAAAACGATCGAAGCTCACCTCAGAAGTGGTTTTGTTACATACGTCGCTCAGAAGGAAGATCTTCGACGTATACATTATCAGCGCGAAAACCAGAGATATAATATCTGGATGAAAGCTGTTATTGGCAAGGATCTTGTAAATGACGAACAGCAGGGTAATAATGTAAAAGATGAAGGTGCACATTGTCAGGAGGATCTGTATCCCAAAGTATTCGTTCACCGTTCTGGCGATCTTGATCAATTGCAGATGAATTTGTCTTTGTTGAAAACAGATGTTCCGGTTAAAATCACGAAATCTCCAAATTGAAAATCAAAATTGAATGTATAAGTATAGGTTCGTTAAATAGAATCTCACTTTACCGCCCTCATCGTGTTCGCGTTCCCATTCGCGGCGAGTACTTTCTCGTCACGGAATTCTTTCTTCTCGAAATCGTAGATCATGTCCACGACTCTGGCGCGTGTCGGCGTGCAGGGCTTTATAGTCAACATCTCCCTCAGTAGATCGTTCAATTGACGGAACTTCATCTCCATGAATCTGTGATTTTTTCAGATATTTAGTATTACCTTTACCTTCTTCGAACAGTAATTCGGTGTAAATTTCTCATACTTGACCCAGAAATAGAAGGAAACGTCGGATACCGTTACCACAAGTGCCGGCATATTGATACCGCATGCCATCATTAATTTGACGATTGTTGGCGTCGATGTATTCAGCTGCGAAATACAACAGTTTGCCACGTTTCCGGCGACAACAGAAGTCACGATAACGATACATAAGAACTGTTGTTTCCGGTACAGGGCAATCTGCTTGGGCATCCCTATGGTCTCCATCTTTTGATCGCAGGTGTTCAACAGCGAGATCATCGTGCACAGTTTCTGAAGGACAGATAGATAGATGAATTCTTGGATTTTTCTGTTGTCTGATCCAAAGGAACCGAGTTCTTCTTATTCACAATAACACCGATTTTATAATTTTGTAATCTCATTTCTTGTCCTGTACGTGTATACCAAAGGGCGTGTTGTCCGTTAAATAAATAAATAATAATATTAAAACACAGTTGTACGATAGAAGTGAGTAGTAAATCTTATTGCCATACGTTCGTTCTGATCCTGACCGTGACTATCAACAGGATGGACAAAAACATGTGGCTGTAGTACCCAGTTTTGAACGATTCCGAATTCACCGTCGACGTAGAATAATAAATACCCAGGTACAGGGAGACCCAGCGACCACTGTATAAAATGAACAGCACGTAACACGTCGAATAAATAATTCCCATGAGCTTTCTCGTTCGCGTAGTTTCAGCGTATATGAAGCAACCCATTCCAGCCATGGTGTTCAACAGAAGTATAGGCCTGATGGTGTCTCGGAACGTTTTCGTCTTGGTCATCTTCGAACGGAAACGAAACGAACGAAGCTCGACGCGTCACTGTACTGTCTCGTTCGAGCTACCGTCGCATCGACGTCGATGGTTATCGTCTCGACCGTTGGAAATTAATAGTTGGCTAAGTAATGAACGAAATCGAATGGTCGATAGTAATTGTCCTCTCACCTGGATCGATCTTCACCCTGGGCGAGGAAACGTTTTATTCTTATTACTCGCGATGACATGTGCATGTTCCATAATAATTCGAACGATTCCACGTTGATTAAATGATTTCGTAAATTCTGTTGGTTATGGTCTTAATTCTCGTGTAAGATGTTAATGGAAAACAGAACTGATAAATTAAGGGGGTGGGGCGAAACGATCGTAAAGCACGTTTGACAAGTTCAAATGGGGCTTGCCTGGAACAAGTAACTGAAACATACGAACCTAGTGTATTATAAATATATGATATGATACTTGTTTTTATTTGAAGAAAAACGTCACGATTTGCAACAAGAATTACATATGTTTGTACTTTCAGGTGAAATCAACAGTTGTTACATTGATAGACAAAGAAAAATCTATTCTTTACTGACGCTGGTTGTATTTGAACTTAAATCTTTCGTTAGTAGGATCTCCGGTTCCATAGCTTGACTCCACTGTATCATAATGACTAGGTACGTGGACACCGCACTAATGCACTGTAACAGTGAAACACGCGTTCGAAAGATAGAAATGTATTTTTTCAAATTAATCTGCGGTATATTTCTCGATGTTAAACGAGCCCACCAACCTGTCGTATGAAGGTATAATTTAGACTGAAGAAATGGAACTTGGAGTTGCTCATTTGGCTGAGCGAGATTTGCAATGAAAATTGAAGGATCTACATTCGAGAAGGATCAATCAAACTGTTATTGTATATATTCAAACACCTCCAAACAGCTGAATCTCACCTCGTCCTTCAGTTCGGTGTCGAAATCGTAGACGGAGCACGTATGGATGATCTCTATTATCTTTTTCGCCTGGAAATATCACAACACGAATCAATCAGATCGTCTGTTACAAACACGAATCTTGAGTTCTTGCACGGAATTAGAACAATAATAACAATAATAACATTTATGTTAAAATGGGCTTTGAGCCCTTTGGTACAATACAGTATATGGGAGCCTAGATGACAAACAAGAAGTTTAGATGTACAATAACGCGTACAGATATACCAGAGTTTATAAAAAACTTATAGCAACTATACAGAAAGATTAACAAAATTCAACAAAAGTTCTACAGGACTATATAGAGAATCACAAAAGCAAAGAAAAAGGAAAAGAAATAAATTTACGAAAGTATTCACAAGAATATACAGGTTACAATTTTGTAGGAAGAACTGCGTAATTATCGATAAAATAACAAATAACGGTATAATAAACAGAAAAAGAGAAAGAACTACTACAAGAGTATAGAAAATTAACAATAAATGATAAGAATACACAAGAATGAAAGTGATGTATTGTGTATAGTGGAAATTGTATAACAATGAAAATATCAAGATTCTCACTTCTCTGAATGTGTACTCGCAGACGTAGCTCACCAAAATGATCCTGAACCAATTGTAAAACGTGCTGAACAGAGACACAAGGATCATGCCTATCTCCGACGACAATTTATCCGCCGCTTGATCGAGCATCATGTACACGTAATACAAATTCATGGTCAAGTTCAGTACAGCGATGCTTGAGTGAAGCATTATTTGCAAATCGAACAATCGATTGATTGTTTTTGTGATACCGCACAACTGGAGATGGATGAACCTTCGAAGGCACAATTATTTAAAAACAATTTGTTTTCCCTTGTATTCTAACGGGAGTTATCCAGTAAAATAAATAAATAAATAAAATAAATGAATTGATTAATTTTGACGAAAATTACTCCTCTATTTTTTACAGGTACCCATGATTTCGGTATACCTGATCTCTTGAAGCAGATGGACCTTCTTCACGGCTTGGAGCTCGTGCTTCACGCTCGGTGTCTTCTTCAGGGGTGCGACACGCTGCCGACGGAGCGAATGCTTGGACATCCATTTACCCAACTTCTTCGGCGTTTGTGGCGTCTGACCTTTCGCGGGTTCGACCGCTTCTGTCGTCGATTCCTCGATTTTTATCTGTCGACCCTCCACCAGGAACTTTCGCAGGAGATCGTTCGTCTGTTTGAAGCTGAATTTCTGCCAGCTGGTACGGTGAAAACGCAATGGAAGAAATATCACTAAATTAAGTTATTAGTGGTTACAACGCACGTGTATCTTTGTTATCAATTCATTTGGTAGCAACGGTGACTCTCACGTTTGTTCACAGAAGCCTGTCATTTCTGTATGACGAAATTACATACAAAAATGCGAATTTCGATTTCAAAATTAGGAAACATTTATCACAAAAGAGCGATAAAAGAGTGTAAACATAAAAATTGCATAATAATTTCTATACATAATTGTTATTTCAAATGCAAAAAAACGTAAATGCTTCGTGAAGTATTTGAAATGTTTCGCACGATTCCATTTCTGTTATCTAAAAGCTCTATCCGGTTTTTAGCTAATCCCCTGTAAGTGTCTAATTTAATTACACACACAGTTTCGTTTAATTGAAACACGTGTCGAGAGATATCAGAGATCGGCCACGTACTAGACGTATGCCATGAAGTCCACGAGAACAATTCCACCGATGTTCACCAGGTAACTGTAGGCCATCTCAGCCAACAGGTAAATAAGCTTCAATTTACCAGAAGCGACCCAGTACCCGCATATACCGACCGATATGAACGTGTTCAGAGAGAAAATACAACAGGCTATTGTTAGCCAAATAAATATGTTGCGATGATTAAATTCGGCGCCCAGTTTCAACAGGCTCTCCTCCACTTCGATGATCGATTTTCTGAGACTCGGGATATCCTGTAAAAAAGGACAAAATCGAACGACGAACGTACACGTCTTCTTTGATCGTTCAACCAGAAAAAAGCTTCGAAATTTTTGCTTTTTTTAACGCTATAACTGCCACAAAAATTACCTCATTTAACCCTCATCCGACTCTTATTTTCCCAACTTAAGTTGTCACTCGGTGTCAAATTCTGAGAGTGGTAAAAAATTAATATAACGTAGAAATAAATAGTTGAATGTTAAAGTTCTTTAAAATAATAGATTTATAATAGCCTCGGCTAAATGTACCTAGATATGACAGAAGAACATCGTTTCTTAGGCGAAAAATGTGTCCAATTGACACAAGGGACGGATGAGAGTTAAATGAATGAATAAACAGAGGAAAATATGTATATCATTGTGCACGCGAAAAAACGATACTATGTTACATGTTTAAATTCACCGACCTTCGAATGATACCAGCTGAAAACTAACATACAGAAGAACACTGCAGTCCAAACGGCAACCACGATCTGGTACAGTACACGTTCCAGCTTAAAATGTGAAGTCCATATCTCGGACAAACAGCCGAACCAGAGGCTAAAAGCCGCCACGCCTAGGACCACGACCTTAAACGAATAGTTAATCACGAACCAAAATGGTGTACTTGATTCCTTGAATTTTCTCAGCCCCATCAGGCGAGACAGCAGAGTCACCGCGATGGTAGCATCGTCGAAATTGTTCAACTTCATTGGTCGGTCTTTGTTGTCGCTTCTTTCTATACATATATTTTGTATTCCTCGATGATCAGAGAATTTTCTTCGTCAATCGTGGTTCCTTGGAATTCCTTGGACATTATATTCTTTGTCCCTCGAGAATCATCAAACTTTCTTCTTTCTAAACCTTAAACATCATACACTCGATTTATATACACAAAACTCCACTGTACCATCAATATGATATTTTTTCGAAAATCACCAAGTTTCCTTTCTTCCGGTCTTCCTCTTTTCTTCTGTTCTCCTCTATACTTCGAGAATCACAAAGTTTTTGTCCTTTCTCTTCCTGCTCTTCGGTGATTGTATTGTGAATTCTTCGGGAGATTAGGTTAACGTAACAGTGATTCCGTATACAATTTGCCTAATAAACCGTGAGATTCGATGTGTTGGTCACTGTCCGCGAGGATATTACGATACCCTTCCGGTTGCTCCTTTCTTCGTACTAACGACGAAAGAGAGACGAGCACCGTACCGTACATTTCCATAATTATGGTAGTCCTAGCGGCGTATGTATATGCGGCTCGGGTATATACGATAAGAACGCAATTCATTGGCTGAGAACTCACACGCCGGCGATTACGGTCATCGAGGAAATGCGATTGTCCGTCCGATGTATTTCGAATTATCGCGTTTCACTCTGGGAGACTATGTGAAACATTACGACCACGATATGAGACTAATTTTTTAGTGATTAAATTATGAGACCATGTTACAGGACTAGTTTTTTAGATTGTCGATGTTACTTTTATAAATTGAAAATAGAGATTAGATTATCGCAATAGTTATCATAATATAGAAATTATTGCATTTAGTACTGATTGTTAACATGTTCTTACGAGGATATACAATTGGTTAAGAAGGGGTGGCTAGAGCAGGTTCATTTTTCTCTGTCTCAGGTGCAACGAGGAAATCAATAACCTCTGTCGAATGCTCTAAAGCTCGATATCTCTAAACATGCTCGCGACGCTTCACCTCGATATACGAAGATTCGACCAAAAGAGTGAAAAAAATGTAAAATTATTCGATTTGAAAATTTATCTAAATGTTATCAAGTAGAACGAAGATCGCATCGAAATGTCATAATGTATTTCAATAAAGTAAATTGCAAGGTACTGTATATGTGTCCCAATGGATCGCGGGTCACTCCCGCGTTAGAAGCCCGTGAGCGTGACAGAAAAATGGAAACGACGAAGGAAACCGATGAGCCGTGAAGTTGGTTCTTTCGGACACTTTTAATCGAACGTCTGTTTCGTTCGGTGATGGCCAGTAACGATCCGAGAATTCCGAATATTGTCTGGTTAAGGTCAGTATCCTCCTACCATTCACCGTTTGCTTGTCTTTCCCACTCGAGTTTCGTTATTTTTACCCCCCCCCCCCATTTCGATTAAAACACCCTCAAAGGGGTAACTTTTAGGCACTCAACTAACAAAATCCCTAATCTGAACTGTTGTTCAACTTTTATAAATTAGACTCTACCTCATCGTGCAGGAGCTTTTTCTCTAGAACTATAGTAGACAATAGTGATACAACTTTATTGTAGTTACTAACATTACATTACGATAATAATAGAGAATTTAAAAGAGTGCAAAATACAAGATTTATTGAGAACTTCATTTAGATTTACTAGATTAAAATTGGTATTCGAATAAATGGAAAGGAATGTAATGAATTATATTCTCTGTTTTCTTTATTTGTTAGTTAAGGTATTAGTAAGTAAATACTGAATACTGTTTTACTGGTGTGGTAGGAGAACAGGGACTTTGACCAGCCAATATTCCCCACGCCTCGAGGACGATGTGTCTCGATTGCAGGACGATAGTTAGGTGACGAGGACTGCACGGGGAAATAGAGGATTTAGGAGCTCGTGGGGCGCGATAATCCCCATGGGGTATACCGAACACGGGACGGTTCGCTAATCCACGGAACAAGATTGATTTAAGTGGACCGACGAGGTCTTCTGGTCGATTTCGAATAGCTCTGTACTCGAGCTCTGTCGCGTGAAAATCCGGTTCCACTCTTAGAAGTAATTAGAGGAACTTGGTGCATCTTGATCCTGAAGTATGTATGTCTACTGACTTAGCCAAGGATCGAGTTCGTTTTATTTATTAAATATAATAAATAATGGTGTTTCGACGACTAGGCGAACCTGCGTCAACGCAGGTATGGTCTCTGAGACAGTCAACATTTTGCAGCATATTCACTGCTTTTGCGAACCCTTTAACGCCCATCCGTGCAACATTCATTTTAACAACGCGTTAAATTCTGTTGCCGGTTAATGTCTAAATTTCGAAGTAAGGATCTGTAGTTTCACTTATGTGAAGTAGCTCTCCACGTTTCAGTGGAGAAACTCACGTATTCCCTCCAGAAATACACAAAAAAAAACGAAAAAATAGTAGGTCTATTTAATATCGATATTTTTGACTTTAAAATAACAAAATACAACATATACATCAGTCTCATAATTTTGAAATAATGATTTAAGGGTCCAGGCGTTAAAGGGTTCAGTAACAACGTTACTTCGCGATAATCGCATCGTTTGTTCGAGTCTCTGCTTAAATAGTCACATGATACAATGGTGTTTCTACATAATAAATATACAGATCGATTCACAATAATTCCACTAACTCGTAACACATTTAAACAATTACCAATCGCGATTATTTAGGTTCGATAACGATAATGATCGAAACGTATCTGCGAACCAATCTGTTACAGGAAGACAATCAATCGAACGCTTGAAAAGTGAAGCTAGAATAAAAGAAAAAAGGATTCCACCACATCGAAAGGGTAGATCTCGCTGGTCAGGCTCAAATCAGTCGGACGACGATCCATTCGGAGGGATCACCGAGACGGCGCTAGAGCACGCTCTGTAAAAATATAATTCTCGGACGTAGTTTCATTGGTCCCGAGTCAGGCCTCGAGGACATGGTTCAAGTAGGCGATGTAACAGATGGCCAGACGGAGGATCTCGATCTTGGAGAGCTTCTTGTCCGGTGGCAGCGTGGGCAGTAGCTTACGGAGCTCTGCGAACGCTAGATTGAATGCTTCTACTCTCACTCTCTCCCTGGAAATAATCAATAATATAATTAAATGACTAAAAGATAGAATTTTTGATAATGTTGTTTACCTGGTAGCATGGGCTGTTCGATATTTCTGCGTCGCCCTTCTACGTCTACGTCTCTCCTCTCGCGAAAGGGTGCCCGCACCTGGCGCACCTGTCCCGTTCACAACAACCCCGTGACCACTGTTCATCATAGAATTTTTCATTTTTCTGTCTTTTTTGTATATGAAAAACTAGAGGCTTAAAATACGTTTCTGGTAACTTCTTGTCAGAATTTTTGACACTGTAGCTTTCTTATCCTCGTCTTGGGTGAAAGCTCGGCTCGCAGGAAACGGAAGTTGTAAAAGGGACAGCCATTTTCATTCTTCGTTGCTGGAATATTAATATTCGGTTCGAGATGTAGAGGCTGTTATAGAAATGGCTTCTGGGGATTTGATTGGTAGAGTACGATATAATAGAATTATTTTATTCGCATTATCACCCCCCGACGTGCCCACCAAGCATGAAAATATCGGAGTCGTTCTCTGCCTTCCGGCCGAAATCGTCGGAATCCCATGGGAGTCGCGCCCAAATTCGGAATAAGGGCTTTTCGCCGCGAGAAATCTAATGATTCGATCAAATATTTGCCAAAACTCCTACGTTCGTGTGAAAGGGTTGTTTCTTACGGGTGTTTTTCTTACTAATTCGAACGCAAATGACAGGGAAAGATATCGCATTGTTATTCAATATTTTTTATTTATCATGTATGAATTTTCCAGTTTTTGTGTTTTATAGTTGAAGTTTTTAAAGAAGAACGTGCATATGAATAAATGATCGTGAAAAACTGGCGAATCGAGAGACAAACAGGATCGTATTAAAGAAGGAACAGCTTTGAGTCCCGAGGGACTCTTAAATTTCAGGCAATTCGACGGAAACCGACGAAAAGTAGATACGGCTGCATAATTCAAAAAAAGCGTCGCCGTTCTGCAAAGATTGTGGTCGGTGTCTCTTCAATTATTTATGGAGAACAACCCCACGACCTCGTTCGATCTGATTCTTATGGTAAATCCGACGATTCGTATGGACACCTCGCGGCCAATTTAATATTACATGGATCTTGCCGGATTTCGATGTCCTTTTACGATTATTGGAACGGATACGCGTGATATTAACCCCCGATATAAGTGTTACGTCTTGTTCCCTTCTTCGTAGTTTTTTACGTAAAATGTAACTCACAGAAAATGACATTTCCTATCTGTCTGTGTCAAGCATTGAGAATAAACGAAAGTACGAACTGTAAAGTGACCACAGTGTCCTCCTCAATCTCCTCAATATTTTAACAGAGGCAGTAAAATCCTATCCCAAGTGTCGAGTCCTCTAGATCCGCCTGTACCTTCTATGTCACCGATTCTTCTTCACATTTTGTATAATACAGAATGACAATAAAAAAATTCGTAAACTAAATTCTAAGGAAGAATAAAAGGGTTGCAGGTTTACTTACGAAGAAATCATCGAGCGATTTTCATCCCCTTCTTTATACATCCAACAGCTCCTGCACGATTCGTTTCACCAATAAAGCCAATCTCTCTATTATCTTTTCGATCACCCTTCTCTTTAATTTCACTTTACGATCCTCCGAGATCAGGATCTTCCTTCGAAGAAAAGTATATCTCCGTTTTCCAACTTCAACCCTCGCGTCGAATCACTTTCCACTGTAATATCGTTACAAGTACCCGATATTCTTGTTTAACAATCTCCAACCCCGATATTCTATCCGATGGACCAAGTACGAGCACACCACGGGATCGACAACACCTCTCTGATAAGATCTCTTCAGTGTTCTTGTGGGCAGTCTGCATCCCCTAAGTGCCCGGAAGAATCACCCCCTTGAAACCCTTAGACCACGCCCCCGTGATGCGTCCTCTCGTCTTTCATCCTTCGTCCTGTCTTTCTCGCGCAGCATCCCCCCGACGTTCTCCAATGGAAACGCCGAAAAGGTGTCGCAAGACCGCCCCATACCGCCCGCCATTCTGTCGGCGGTGGAGAACGATGGAACGTGTACGATACGGATACTGCACGAATGGGTGGACCATTTTATCGATCATACGAAAGCTCTTCGGGGTCCGTGGACCTCGTTTCTAGCCCTCTGTCTCTCTGTGATCCTCAGTCAAGAGATTCGTGGTTGCACGCACGTAAGGATTGGTTTCCTAACAAATTCTGCACACTGTTTTTTTCTGTCTGTATTCTTTGTTAACATAAGGAAGTTCTTACGACGGGATATTTGAAAGTTGAAATCCCTATGGGACGTTGGAAAATTGTTTCAGTGTATTTGTTAATATAGGGGTTGAAAGAGTCGCGGTGAGCAGGAGCAGGTTGCCGAATTTTGACCATCGCCCAGGTGAACCATTACTGTAGGTTGGCATGTGGAAGAAATTTAAGTCGTATGATAGACCATTTGTGTATGATAGTGGTGATTGCATTAACTAAAATATATAAGCAACACATTTTGTTTGTTATACGGAGCAAATTGCTTACGCATGAAAAGTTACAGCAGTGGTCCAATCTAATAGGTGATGGTCAAAATTCGGCAAGCTTTTCCTACAAGTCCCAGAATCACACTGGGATTTCAATTGAAATGTACATACATACGTAGCATAAAACCACTAAAATTTTCAATATGTATTGTGGTTGAAATAAATACGAACGAAGTATGTCACGTCTGAAATCGTGTTGAGAAATAATGTGTTGATACAAGGATAGATTGTATCCCTTAGAAAAAAATGATTCGTTCTTATTTTAATCACAATACATAAGGATTGAAAAGTTTAGGGTGGCTTTATAGTTATGCCACGCAGTGTAGAAGCATTGTCCATCCCGATTTTATGTATTTGTTCGATATTTCACACTGCCAATACGAATTTATAGAGATGTTGAAAGGATCGTTTTTAAATATCTGCACCGAACTGTTGTTATTTATGATTTTATTTTTACTCCTCTGTAAAAATAAATCAACGCAGTTTTCAGCGGTGAAAAAAAAACACAATAACTGCATTGATTAAAACAGTCAATAACAAAATAAACAAATTTTCATTTGACAATTGAATTGGTAGGGAGGGAAGATTATTATATCACGAACGCCGGCGCAGATGCTCCTCCCTCGACACCTGATCCTCCAAGGAAATCCATACTCTGTCTCCAGTATTGTATTGTGTACTACCCATTGGCCTTTTTCACTTTGCACTATTTACAAGACTTTAAATAATAACATTTTTTGTTGAAGAAACGTCCACAAGTTTTGTTTCAACCGAATCAGGTTGGAACGAATATCTGAAAATCATCCCCCACAGTAATGTTTGATACGATCGTTCTACAAAACCAGTCATTACCTGGTATTTTTCACCACTGAATCAACAATCGATTGAACACAAATCAAAATTCATTCTTACCTCCACGTGATACCGCAATTATCCGCAAACTACAACAGAACAGAAGATTGTATAAAAACTTGAATGAAAGGGGTGATTGTGTCCACGTTCGAATATTACAATTACACAAATCGTTTAGACAAATTGCAATAGCGCGAACGAAAGGGTGAAGAATCGTGTAATCGACGTTTTGTAATATCTACGTTCTATGGACCGTGCACGATGGTCACGTGTCGCGGCTTTCAACCCCGTTGACGGGAGGCTTGACGATCCCAGACCACATTCTAATCGACTGGCCTACCGATTAATGTTTTTGGCGGTTACAAGTGTCATGAGATAGTTCCATGGTTCGTTACTTTACCCCCGGCCTTTTCGACGCCCTTTCTCACCCTTCCGCGTGCCACGCGACTTCGAGGAGGAACAGCACCGTGGAGAGGGTCGGTGGTGTATTTCATCACCTCGATTCGAACGAAACGTGTCCGATGAATTTTTAATATTTCGTTGGCTGATGAATGGGCTGTGAAGCTTCATGGATATTTACATTCTTAGAAATTGCATCACAAACTATATTGCAAAATTCAATGAAATTTTATGGTAGGGGTTGAATATACGTTTGAAAGTTAACTAATATGTTGTAAAACATCCTGAAGACTCAGAGCATGGTATTAGCATAAATTATTATTATGATCTATTTTTCTACACCATTTGTACATTGTACACAAGTGGAAAGCAATCTAGAAAACAGACACGAGGTAGCAGCACGAACAGGGCTGAAGAAACAATCGATATTTCTGTGCTGGTTGGTACTCGAAGACCTTCTGAAACATTTACCGGTTGAAAAAAGAATCGATTGGGGAAAACTGTGATGGGAAGCGCATGGACACTGTACTATCGACAGAATAAATTTTGTTAATTAATGAATCATTATAGGATAATCTTTTAATCACACTATTAGTAGAATATCGTATTTGGTACTTTTACATTGTTAACTACTAAACAATCAATTTTTCCGACTGAATATTTTTATATTTTTCCTCCTTATATAAATTCATAGAATATTTTCCATGAAGGTGAACACCTCACTTTACAAGCACATAAATGTACATCTTCCGTGAATTATTTGCTTAGAGTAACACACAGAAAGACATCCAGCTATCGAATTAATATTAAGAGAATCTATCCTGCCTCCATTTCCAACATGTTCGGCCAGAATTCGTTCGATCTCTTGTCTACCTGCACTACAAACAGATTTCTCATAGTGGTGCCACTGATGGAAGGCTGTTCGTAATCGTTGGATCGTTTGGATTGACGTTTCATTTTTCTCTTTCTAGATTCACGGTACGAGGAGAAGCAAATGTCGGCGTTCTTCGACCATCTGGCTCTCCAGGCTCTTTTTATTTCCGTTCGAACTTCTAGGTTGAGAAGACAGTAGAGCAAAGCCACAAAGGTACCCTAGGAATTACAAATCTTAATTCAAATGGAATTGATTCCTCATCCTCAACATTTTTTCAAACTGTAGTATTTCAAGTTGAACAGTGTTGACTGGTGGAAGAAATCCAGAACAAGTCGAAATACCTGAAAAGAGGCGAAGAACTGATCACAGAAGAGCCAGACAAGTTCCACAAGATGGTCTTTATGGTAAGACAGGCCCATGAACAGAGTATAGTGAGCTCCGAATAGGGGCACGAGGACTAGAGTGGACTTGGCCCACCTGCTGTATAAATAAAACTAATTTTAACCTCCTTTTTCACTAAAGATAGAATCATCGACGTGACGATTCACATTAATAATGTACAATCTTCTCAGATTCTTAACCCAGAGACGCGGGAGATTTACCTGTACTGCATCTTCTTGCGCTGCAGGTGCACCGAGGTTTTGAACTTGATGAACAGAACGCGCACTATGTTGACGAACAGCAGGAAGTTGAACTAACAAGAATTATCGAGGGTAGTGAATACGGGTGAAGGTTCAGGAATTTGAAGGTCACTCACCAGGGTCGATATCATGATGGGTATTCTGATGAGAAGGAACAGAGACGGATTTTCGTGTGTGGTCCAGCAAAGGGTGTCCTCGATCGTGGCCCGGATTATTATCCAAGGTACCACCACGAAGATAGGCAACCCTTAGACACGAGAAAAAACCTCCTCAATTCTCTTATCCTCCTAGAAATAAATCCTATAATTCCAGTTTCGAGGGAAGCTCGAAATTCCGCGTGGAATTAATTAAATTTATTCAACTAAGGAAGTTTTATTCACTGTTCAGTCTTACCCCAGCCCATCAAGATGTATAAATTAATCGCTGCACTGTCGGCGCAAAACGCACAGACGACCAAATTGTGAAGATACAGGCCTTCCATCAATATCCACGAGTAATTGGCAACGATGAAATACTGCCATGTGCTCGTGATAGTCTTGCACACCAACGCCTGAAACTGATCGTTTCAATTTCCCGTTAATTTATTTAGCATTTCTGTTTTTTTTTTTGCATTTTCACGATGCCTACATTTCGTTGTTTGATAAACGCGTTCTTCCCATCGACGTAGACAACGTCCACGGCCAGGCCGACTCCATCGACGAAGATCCAGTCCCTGATGAGAGCCATGAATGCCCTCATTATGAACGAGGCGAAGAGATGCATGTGCAAGCGGTTTCTGGGATTTCGAAGCTTCCTGAAGGGCGTGGATAATATTTGATTTATTTGGAACAAATAATATGCTCGAACCATTCCACACCAACTCACTCAAAATAAATTTTTATTTTGCAAAAACGAACCCGTGCTCATGTTTTAAACAATTTTGAAACGATGTATGTTCCTTGAATGTTTGTCGATAAGCATACCAAATTTCATTAGTATCATTTCATAGTTGCTTCAAACACATTCAAGTGCCGTTCGAACAAAAATTTTGTCTGTAAGTGTAATAGTTTGCGAGATGCAAATTCGTTTATACAGTAATATTTGGCTAAAAACACGCTTTTCCGCGATTTTCAACATGTGATAATTTGTTAATAACGTTGAACTCAGCAAAATGATGTCATAAACTCATTATGATTTCACGTAGACTACAACATATTACAGTTTCATCATAATCGGAAATCGGTGAAGTTTTTCGAACGACCTCAAGAACAATGCCCACACTTATGTTACCTCAGAAGAGAGAAAATGATCATTGCAACGACTAGCATAGAGAACGAGGTAGCGTATCCGATCTGCGAGACAATTCTCACAATGGGCAGCCATTTCTGCAAAGGTAGAAATAAGAGAAGACTTTTTATCGTCACATTTATGTAGACTTTCATTATTTTCTTGGCTCTTTGGGAATAATGTTTTCATTCTTACATTCAGTAAGAAGGATTCAAAGCTGCCGTAGTTGTGCGACTGGGTCATCCCGATCCTCAGATCGGTGATTCTCATTATGGAGCGAGCGATAAAGTCTTCGGAGGATTCGCAGAGGCTGTAATTGCTCCATGGAATTCCTTCTGAATTCCTGTACCACTGGCCATTCGAGAGACAGATTTTGGTGGCTATCGTTCGATTGGTTGACTCCACGGTGATTTTCGATTCCATGTCGTAGCCGAAGTCCGTTCCAGGCGGGCAAGGAAGAATCGCGATCGTCGACGCCTTCGTGAATGGCCAACAGAGGAAACCGTCGAACAACGGTGGACAGTGGTAAAATTGCGCGGTACTATTTACCGACGTTCCGTTGTCTGTGTAAATTCAAGGTAATTTGAAGAGTAATTTTAGAAATTGTAGTTACTCCTCTGTTAATGACCAAATAAATAGATACAGAAACGATTAGAGGGTTTCAAATATATTTCTGACTCTTCTGTACCGGAAGTGGGTTAAAAAAGTAACTCAAACAAGTAAAATAAATGTCCATCAGGTTTGTAATTTGAATGCACTCACACTCTGACAGCAGTAGATAGCATTTCTGCTTCTGTTCCTCAAAGAAACTCTCCATCGCGGCTGCGACGTCCTCAGCTTCCGGTTCGATTCCCGTCGCGGCCATCGCGATGTTCGTGGCACTCGATATCGTGGAGGATTTTTCGAAAAAAAAAAATGGAAATTATTGCTTTCCGCGGCGAATGATTTTCAATGAACCATTTTACTTTAAGCTCGATCTGCTTGAATTGTCGATGAGATTTCGAAGACAGAACTCGACGTAAGGAACAGAGTTACATTCCTGGTAGCACGAGGGGACGACGCGTAGCTTCTGAAATCTGGGATAGAAGTGAGCCCACGAGGTGGAGTTCATCGATGGTAAACGGCCTGTTTACAATCGTGCCTCGCCCTCCGGTTTTCTTTCCGTTATAGTCGCGTGGGGAAGGACAGGTCAACACCAAGTGGAAAGAGTCGACCGAGAGTCAGACAAGGTTAGCTTGGTATCTATTGTGTGGCTGTTACCTGTTTCTCAGAAATGAATTCAGTACTTAAAAATATAGCATAGAGAAGGTATGGTTGTTTATGGTGATTGAATAATAGTCTCACTGAACAATGTCTGTAGGTGTCTGTGAAGATCTAGAGGTAGTACCTTGCTGCTTCTAATTCCGTAGCTCATAAGACTGTGAACAGTTGGTATCAATCACACATTGTTTAATAGTCTGACTTGGATTAGAAGTTATTTTGAAAGCTCCCTTCAGCAACGGAAAGCGGAGCTTCGCGTAAAATTAAGCAGATATAAATTTGGTGTAAATCAAAGCATGTTTATGTTTGGATAAAGGTGAACTACTTCTAAACAGGAAATCAGAATCAGAACGGTGTTTTAAAAATTATTATTAACACGATTATCGATAAATAAAACGATCGACGAAGTATATTGGTACGGGATGATGAAATACCACTACTTGTCGATGGAACGACAAACGCATGGATCATCCATCAAAAGCTTGACGGCTAATGTGTTCCACTGAGTTCCGTCAATATTGATCGAAATACGAGGGAATAATCGATTATCCAATTTTACTCTGTTTCCGGTGTCAGACAATCCTATAAAATGAAAATTAGATTTACATTTCGTTCGGTAAACAAATCCAGAAAGTGGAGTAACACTTCAAAAGGGTAAGAGAAGAAGTGAACTTTCGACACACGTTGTATTCAAAATTCGTTTTATGTTAAACTTACACCAATCACACTTTACAACAGATTGTATTCTTTTCGTGGATCAACTCGGGACAATCATCCACACTCAAGTCAAAGTCGCTGTGTTCCTCGCGTCTCAGAGCGAGAAACACCCTATACGCCAGTCTTCAATTGCACCACACATTCCTCTCCATACCCGACCGAGCTGACTAAAACTTCATTCAAAAACGCAACAAACATCAGGCAAGAATAATCAACGAGCACAGCGGATGATCTCGCGGTCCACGTGGCCCAGATTAAAAATCACTTCATTTTTTTGTTTTACAGCCATCGATGTCGGTAAGTGTCGGTAAGTACAGACGATTCATCATCATTCCGCTAGCTCCCCTTCGTTCAATTAATTACCTACAATATTTCATCATTGGGATACGCCATTGTTCCCTTACGTCCAAAGTGATCGCGTATTTACAAATCTATCGGTCGTAGTAGGCCATATATCATTATTCATGACGACGTACTTAATCCTGAGACGAATTTTATAAAACATGGATTAGTGCAACGTTATACGTGGACCTATGGATGGTCTGGATGTAAATATTATACGAATGATTCCTTTATCGTTAATACACGTTCCAATCGTTGCACTAATCCCAATGTTACTGTATTTCGTTCTGTGACCTGCTATAAAATGGACGATCGATGCTCGATCATATTGATCGGCATCGATGACTCTCAAAAATTCTCCTATTAATATTCTACCAGGGTTTTGTAACAACTATGAGTACAAAGGAAAGCGAAAATGTCGCGCGAAGTTTCTTTGCCATTTCTCCGATAGGACTGACGCGTTCCTTGGTAACGAATAATTTTTCTTTTTCTCAGACTTTATTTGCGTCAACGTCGCCCGACGACGACATTGCTCCCCTTTCTGCAATTTTCAGTGAATTCTAGGACATAGACTTGGCAGTTTACATAAAAGCCTACGCGTACAGCTGCTGTTTTGTTGTCCCAGCGTCATGCTTCGGTATCATGACAAAATGGTACCCTCTCTTGGCGATACGAGTTCCGGGAAATTCGTTTCTTTTTCTTTGTTAAATACCTTCGCTGTTTCAATCGTTTATTGTTCGCGTGGGGTGTCCCGGTTAACGTCACCACCTTGAATGTCCTCTTCGTGATTCTTCTCGATGGAAGTAGTGGACTCTTTAATGGAATCCCATTTTTTTTAAAAGGATGGTATTACGATTTTCGTTTATTTATACACAAGACGGATTTTTTCATTTGGAAAAAGAGTCGAATAAATATTCTCCAATTGTCAATTCAATAATTATAATTTCAACAGTTGAGCCATCAACGGTTCAAATAGAGTTTCCAAATAGCCATCAAATTTTTCAGAGCATATTTTCTCGCATAGGTCAATCTCTAAAAGCAAACTCTGAATATCATTTCCAATATAAATATGACAGTTAAAAATCTTTAAAATTCTCAATGAAGGTAGACGATGGTCATATACCATAAACGTTTTGAAACTTAATTCGGTACCTTCGTATCGAAGGACCATTATCGGATCTGCCGTACTTCTTTCAAACAGAAAGAGATTCAGAGCAGAGCTTAGCTAAGACCCTCCTCCCCCTCTGAGTTGAGGATGCGTAGAGCATCCGATTCGCGTCTTAAATACTGCAACAGCTAAGGGACGACAATGCAATCTCGGTGTCGATTACCGAGACCCTAGGAACGGGTGGTGTCCGTTTCGCTCGAACAATAATGACGCATCATCGCGGCACCACGAGTAAGATTACAATTGGAAAGGCACTTCGAACGAAAAGTATGGCATCCAGCTACGACAAAGGCGTTCCGCGAGACTCGCGAATCCTCGAATTGACGTTAATTTATATATCATGATAGTATCCTTCGAAGTATCAAGTACTCCGTGTTCATATTACCTTTTTCTACAAAAAAAAAAAAAAAGAATCGAAACAAAAAGAACATTGTGCCTTCGGCTCTTGGCAGAACAGAGAGACGCTCGATAAATTCCTTCCCTTATACACCATCGTTAAGTAAATCTCTACCGATCTAGAAATCCTTTCAACCTCTTGCATCCAAGGAAATCAGTCTACCTGGAAATTCGGTACCTTCGCGTGCCCACCTGGACACACACGCACACTCTACACAGAGTACTCCTCATTCCTCCGTATCATTGGGTAGTCTTACGTTTCCCACGTAATCAGCGTTCGACGGATCGACATTATTCCCTGCTGCAAACTCTACCATTACACGAACGATTACTTCTTACTTTGGAGTTACGAGACCCGTTATCGGATAATGATCGATTCTAATGGACTGAATCGCGTCACGATCGTGACGCCTGACAAGGTCCCTTCATCGGGGTTGTTACTACGTGTCATGAACTCGGCAGACAATTGCGTCGACTGATCGAAAGGTGGCAATAATAATCGTTTCTTGCAACGTAACCCGGCAACGCAACCATCACAGCCACGCGTACGATTCCAACTGAACTCGATGACCAGATTCGGGCTGAGGAACGGTCAGAGACATTTCCCGGGATTCTGGGAACACCATTGAGGCCACATCGCTTCTATCTTCAAGCCCCGACTGGTGAGTAGTTCCATATGGGCGGCTAGCCTTGTGTACACACTCTCGTCCGTCGAGTAGCCATTGGTTGGCAGGTCGCTCCTACGATTAATAGGAAGAAACATTTCAGGGGTTATGTTGTTAAAAGGGATAATCAGGTCGACGCTTAATATGGACAGAGACAAGCAGAACATTCTCTTATGATTCTCTAATCGATTAATGTCAGGAACTTCTGAGAAATCCTCTCGAGAGGTACAGAACAGTCATCTCCGTCAGAAATAGAAAGGAGACATCAACCATCAGGGCAAAGCAATCATACAAGAAAACAGCGCGGCAGAAATTGCTCACCATAATCGTTCAGCGAGAGCTGACGCCCTAGGCCATAGTCGAGGTCCTAGAGAAGCATCGCCGGTCTGCTCGCTCCAGATCGCAGCCTCCCCGCCAAGGACTAAGTTCAGGTGTTGCTGAGGATAATCCCTCCATGGTCGGTGATTGTAGACTGTCTGCCAGGTACGGTACTCGCCGCAAGCTGCCTCCCCCGTTTCCCTCCATCTACCGAACCCGCAGTCCAGATACCAGGCATCCACGTGCGACACGATCACACGGAATCCGTCTTCCAGCAGGTCTGGAGTCTCGGGCCAGTTGCTACCGCCCCAGGACTGAATCACGTGGATCTTCGGATCGAAGTACATGGTTATGTAAGGCCTCTTGGTCAACGGTGAGCTCCACAGGATCACAGCTCTCGGCATCTCGTCGCGGTTTGCCTTGACCAGCCTTTGTAGCATCTTCGTCTCGAACTCGGCCCACATCGCGTGATGATCGGTCATGTTCTGCGCCTGCATCGCTGCGGTAATGTTGCCGTATTGCGCCCAACAGTCGAGATTGACCTCGTCGCCGCCTAGATGCACGATGTCACGGATCTCCGTCAGATCCAACAGCTCCCTGTACAGCCCCTCCAGTATTCTGTAGGAGTGCTCGTTGATGGGATTCAACTGACCGCAATTCGGCTCGCCGCAATACGACGACCATGGCTGCTGATCAACGCACAGTGCCAGCTCGCCGTACCCATACTCTGTCCCTGAATCAAGCGGATTAAACGCGTGACACGCGTTAGTCGCGGTTTCACGGAGGACTAATAGTAGCACGCACATCGGGAAATATGGAATATACATGCATTTGGAAAGCTTCTGGTTAACCATCAGGGTACACTAACACCTCATGGACTGGGCCAATCGGTTTAACGAAGGAGCAAAAATGTTTAGCAGAGGACCAAACTCAGGTCGAATCGATAATGGGTGTTAAATAACCACACGTACACAACAGGTGAAATTAACAGATTAACTTTTACAATAAAATAATACTTCCAAGACGTAGAGGATACCGTATCTCTATATGTATTCGACTACTTGCGTTCATTATACCTCATCTTTATAATATTATGTATAGAATAGGACACTACACTTGTTCATTCGGGAGTCAGACAGGACAGGTACGTTCCCCCTTGAAGTAATGACGTAAGATAGTTCCAAGAAAGGATATCGTGGGTATGGTTGCAGTTTTAAAAAAAGACATTAGGTGACCACAAAAGCTCCCCACGTGACCGTTAAAAAATTGAAGTATAATTATAGATCACGGCACAGTGTTTTACGGGCCCAAAACACAACTCACCCCATTGCCATCCGGCGCCAGCGTGGGCAGGCGAATCGATCTCCACGAGCACCCTGACGCCCCTGATCCTAGCGTAATCCGCGAGATCCTTGACGTCGTCGGGCGTGTAGATCTGATTCCCGCTGTACGCGCCCCATCTGGCCATCTCGGGGAACTGGGCAGAGTCGAAAGGGAAGCTCTGCGAGTCCGTCAGGTGCCAATGGAAGGTGTTCAACTTCGAGGCTGCCATACCGTCGATGACCCTCTTCAGCCGTTCGATCGGGAAGAATTGTCTTCCGGTGTCGACCAGCAGACCCCGGTAAGGAAACGTTGGTTTGTCCTCGACAGTGGCACGCGTCAACACCCTCAAAGCACCCTCCCTTCCTGCGGTCTCGTCCCACCAGATCATCTGTCCAAGAGTCTCCAGACCATGTCTAGCGCCGAAGTAGCTTTTCGCGGTGATACGAGCCTCCAGAACCTTTCCTTTTGGTATCAGCTCGAGGGTATAGGATTCATCCGTCTCCAGATTGGGTCCGATTGGTCGGCCATATCCGGCGCTGAGGTATATTACGAAACTATCCACGCCCGATCGACTTTTTGCGTTCGCGACTTTCACTAGACTCCTGACGTTTCCTGGAATCGACCATGAATTTTGTTTTGGGAACTTATTCTCATGGTTTATAGTTTTTTTTTTCAGGAAATTTGTATACTAGGTTCGTGCAGAAAACAGGTCCTGTTTATGTGAGACAAATTAAAGGCGATTACCGATGAAGACATCCTTGGCGTGTTCCAAGAGGTTCTTGGTTTCCTGATCGCTGGTGTTCACGGTAACGAACTCAATCTGCTGATAGTGTATTACAACGCTGTCCTCGCCCAGAAGGACGTTTCCAGTTGGTCTGGGCCAAAGCAGACGACTGTTGCCACCGCAAAGTGCGATGCAACTCGCCAGAGAGGTACGCGACGATCTCACTGCTCGCCTCTCACATCGGCCGGCCACGCATGCCCAGGACCAGGGGCTCTGAAATGTCCTGTATCCGGCAGCAAAATTCAAAAAAATTTCGAGATTGTCAATGGACACATTTATGTATCATGCTGTTAATATTATTTCCGGTTTTGAGGACAGGTGTGCTTGAGAAAAAGTTTCGGCAAGCTTATTAGACACACGTGAGGATGCAGATTGTTAAGATACAGACACGTCCACTACCACTTATCCTATCTACGGTGAAAAAATTGAATTTCAATTAGACAGATGATGTCTGATGTCGAAGCAAATGGCGGTGGTGAACGTATCGTGTGCAATTATGTAGAATGAATTAAGGAACTATGGTATTATTGAAACGTCTTAGCCTGGTGCAAAATGATGACTAAAGAAAGGAGAAAAGCATACTACGCAAAGTTCCTGTATCTATACTAGAATAAGGAAAGAAAATAATTTTGGAGTCTGAAGGATCCATACTTTTATTTAAAATCTTTCATAACTCTCACAAAGTCCCCCTTGTCTACCAATAATTTTTATAATAGTTGAGTTTATTGCGGTTTCTATTGTGCCTATTGTGCGATAATAGATCAATACCATTTAGTTACTGGAGACCAGAACGGAAAAATCCTAAAGTGGAGAGAGACTAGACACACCGAGCCGGACTCGCGGAGTGATCGAAACGGTTCTCGGAAGACGGGAAATAGAACTCGAAGAGAAAATAGAAGAGCTCCGTCGTCGGTGGCTGGTGAACCAGTCGCTCGTGCAAAACAGCCGACGGTTTGCTGCTGTTGCACAGATAAAATCGCAGCGATAAATATTCATGGGACGGCTATCCTCAACTAGCGTTTAATTTACAAGGATTAACAAGCATGCGCTTCATTCCTCTGCGCGGAAGCGTATTTCCCTCCGATTATTATTTAAGTTTCACTTGAAAAGACTGAACGAATCACAAGGCAGTACTTTTGAAATTTATATTAATATTACTTAAGTAAAATTATGTTCAAAGACCAACAGAAACCTTTCGAATCCTCTATACTGTGTACGATGGACAAAATTGTGTATCATCTAGAGACACTACCGTACCAGTGAATTATTCAGTTACACCACGGAACGATCGACTAACAGGGACCGGGCAATTCCAGAAAGACAAAAAGAAGGGATGAGAGAGTAGCGCTGTTACATGCAGGGGATGGACCATGAAGGGAAGCAGACGAGGGGGGGGGGCTGGCAGGAGTCGAAAAGCGAACGAGATCTCTCCGTTTCCGGGGAGGGGTGGAAGTCACGGATGAGGGGTCGGTCGTGGAGATTTCAGGGACAAAAGGAAGCTTTAGCAAGTACGGGGGCGACTGTGTCACCCCTCGGACAGGGGGGGCTGTTACCTAGGCTCTTCCAGATACTCGTAGAGCCGTTCCTCGGGTCTCTTCGTGCTTTCATTACCGACCAGGAATGTAACCAAGCCTCGTTGCAACTCCTTCAGTCTTTGATGCGCACACCCGAGTCGCCGGAAGTGCGAGGTAATTAACGAAAAAATAAACAAAACGAGAAAAAACAGAGAGTAGCGGTAAAAAAAAGTTTAAAACTGTGGTGGTGGTTTGAATTGATTGTGAATGAATCGCTGTGGGAGGGACCACGAGACGAGAAAAGGGGGATGGATAGGAGGCCTTCTTGAATCTTCCAAGTCTTTGACTTTTCATGATTGTCTTTTTTTTGTTCTTTGACTGATAGAGACGAGTGATAATCCAACGATGGAGGAGAGGAGTTGTATGAGCGACTGTATAAGAACGAGGATCGAGTTGTAGGATCGATAGCACGAATGGGATGCTTACCGGCGAGACGAGAACGGCTGGAGAGAGACAAGGGGTGGCGCGTGTGCGTACATGGCGATGAGCAGGACCCCAGTCATCAGGACCAGGAAGAGGAGAATCTTCCTCATCCATCCGCTGGGAACGCTACCCATCATCCTGGCGAGTCTGGAACAAAAACCAAAGATGAGTGTTCTGCGAGGTATCGCCTTCGTGACGTAGAAATGAGTGTGGTCGCGGTTTAAATTGGTTTAGACACTTTGGAATTGATTAAATGAACATCATACATACGATGTGCCTACTGGAATAACTTTTCGTGGTTGTTTCAAATGGCCTGATACGAGCATTGCGTCCAAATGCAAAAGAGATGGATATTTCGTGTCGTATAATGACGTATTTTATGATACAGACACTGATAAAAAACCAGAATAATCTATATTATCGAGACACTCGATAAGAATACAAAGACCGTTCGCGCGAGCAGAAGGATCCACGATTTTTATCAACTATGGTCACTTTCGAAGTCGCAGTCATGATTATCACCAACGAGAAGCCATATATGTATATTGTGAATCCTCTTAAATTTACTTAGGTTTCGAGCAGTCTAAACTCAACCCTGAATCGAGCTTGATCTCCTCTTTAGTCATCAAACAGAATTAACGCGCTAACAACAAATCGTAAGTACGACGTGCTTAAACTGTGATGCTCGATGCTCCCTGGAAAGAGGCTTACGAAGGCCTGTGTCACGTGGGTCAACGGTGACCCTCGACATACAATCATTACAACACTTAGTTCGAATGAGGAAAACGTAATGGTTCGTAAAACTGATATATTTCAGGCCCACATTTATTACTCCATGGTGTCATAAACGTTATCCATCGAGCTTTAATATCCCCCAAACAATACTTATTTCTGTCTTCTATAACATTTATTGCATACTCGATAAGTGTTCTAATACTCGATAAGTGACTGAATAATGTACGATAATAAGATAATAAGATCATAAAGCTAAAATTCAGACTCTTTAAAGTATCAAGTGTAATGATAAGTAATCCACTAGTTTGTTTTAATACACTTAACATTGTTTGGAGTCAAAATATATCTTAACTCTTTTTTTTTTTCTTTTGAAATGATTATGAACATTGACGATCTAGCGCAAAATATCACCTTCTGATTTCCTCGAAAATAAGTATCGAATTTGGCAAAATATAGTGGATGATTTATCGGTGCACCTAATACAATTCAAATTCCTTTTTGAATGGCACTAGTGGTCGATGCAGGAATATCGTACGATAAATTACCTTTGGGCATAATTCGGGAGGCTGACGTCGAATTCGATGGGACCGTTCGATCGGTACGGAAACAGGGTGCCATGTCGCGAGGCTACAGGCATCGACCACGAGCGAGGGACGAGTTGTTCCGTAGTTCGGCTCAAACCAACCGAGACTAACCCGCCGACGCCGCCGCCGACGCCACGATTGCATATCGGAAGACTAAAGTTTTCGTGTTAACAAACAAACCGCCGGCTGTGAATCGATTCGGACAACCCGTACGATAAATCGACTCGAAGGACAAGCGGAAGTTTCGCGGTAATTTTATGCAGGCCGTCGCGACGCTTATACACCATTTCACTCGTGTCTGAGAGAGGGTGGAGTACCAAACTCAGTGTATACATATACTCTATAAGCTCATTATCAAACCATACGTTCCGCGATTCGACGAAACGTTTCGAATTTCATTAAATAAAGGTTTCTTGAATCCTGTAGCTATGACGTCAATATCGATCGACCGGTTAAAAGACAGATGAATAATTTATGCTTCCGAGGCATGGCATATGAAAAATGGAAATACATACATTATCGGCTACGGTGGATCGGTCCGAATTCAAGAGGATCATTCAAGTCCTTGATTTTCAAATCGTGACAAATCTACGATCATGATGTATTTAAAGGGTTTCTTTGCATTCTTAGAATTACTTTAATTTCACAGTATTTGGAATCGCTAAGTAACCCCGAAAATTCCAATTTTTTTTGTACTCCGCAGGTTTGTAGGGGTACCTCAATCGTAGGTTGACATTTCCGCTGATATTCAGTTATTCGGGATGAAACCTCCCCTTGAAGGTTAATTTGGACATCTCGAAAATTATAGTAGATATTAATAAAATTGTTAGAATGAAAATTTAATGGCTTCCTATGCTCTATAAAAGTATGTAATGAAATTTTTAAAAATTGGAATGTTTATTTATTTAGTTATTTCAAAGAAATAAATTTTTACCCCTTTCATTGCACAATTTTATAGAGCATAAAAGCCATTACATTTGTGTTCTGTTTTTTTTTAGTCATTAAGGCCTTTGTTACTACATAGGAGGAATTATATTCGAGTCACAGAACGTTCGTATATTAGGGTGTTTGGATACAAGAGGCTTTAATATACTTCCTTTAATACTTTGTAAGAGATACGAATGGTTTCTTTAGTCGCTGTTCGGCTTTGTGCGTGGTCAACCGACGAGCGAAAAATAAAAAAAAACCCACGAATTATTTTCGCGAGCACGATATTGTGCGAGACACACGCCTCAGGGGGGTCGCGAGGCCTAATTGCACAAAAGAGTCGTTCCCGGCCGTGAGTCACGTAATATGCGTGGTGGTCTCAACGAGCCTCCGTGTATCGCGATAACAGTCCGTCTGCCTGAAACAAAAAGCTTCGGCGCGACGCCGAGAATTTTTCCGTTCTTTCGAGCTTTCTTTTTCTTCTGTTGTTGCCGCGACGATTCGAGACAATTCCACGTAAACACCTCCCCCCTCATCACTCTTCCTCTGTCCTTTGTGATCCAAGTTACCGTAGCACTTTACTCCGACCCACGAAAAATTGACTTATCCTTCGGAGGATGTATTTGGACATTGGATCGTCACTGTTTGTAGAAGCCAAAAATTCTGGAGTTTGTTCAACGAATCGCACAAGGCCGCACCTTTCTTTATTGAAAGGAACGAAAAACTTCAAATGATAAGATACTGCTCCACGATCCTTATCGCGACCAGGTTCTGGCTTGAACAAATTTGGGCGGAACGCTTTAAATAAACAAGGAATAGAATTGCCTTATTATATAGCCGTCACACGAGCATAGCCCCTTAAACTTTTAATCAGGGGGAGAGAACTGGGAGGGCTAAGCTGACTGGATCAGGGTGTGTGTATACACACCTTGGCCCTGTTCGTCCCGCTTCGTCCTAGTTCCACGTCAGTGGTCGGCGTCCCGTTTCGTCCTGGTCGTCGTCGTCGCGACGCCGCGCGTCGTGCGCGCCGGGTAACCGTGGTCACGTCGGGGTTGGAATCGCGTGGTGGCGTAGCCAGGCAACCGCGCATAATATGACCAGCCATATAATAGTTTGAAACGAAACGGTTGCCGGTGCGGATCGGGGGAAATATTCGGAGGGATATATTCTTGTTTTTCCCCCCCGTCGATCGTCGTCTGTCCACCGGATTACCCTGGGTGGTGTTGACCGATGGAGAACGCCGGAAACGAAGGAGGATAGAGCGGAAATCACGACAAAACAGAGGGACTACGCGTACGTACCCCAGTCTATGCAATTGAAGCCATTCTCGGGGGAAAATTCGACGAATAAATCGCGAAGAGAATTCGATGAATGAATCGACAGAGATGTGAATGGATCGGAATGACATCCTCTGTGTACAACGATCGTTGTCGGGACAGAGTAAACGAAACAGAAAAGATCGAAGAATGTTGGAGAATCGAGAACACTGACTGTCATGTTATCTAAATATGGGTAATACGTACATTGCAAAGGGGGCTGAATTATTTAAATGGCGTTACAGAATTATTGCGTAACATTGATATCCCAGTAGAATATACAACGAGACCAACAGCTTTTATTGACTAAACATATGTATTTTGGACGATTTATGACTTGGAGAACGAAAGTGTGTCTGACGACGTATGGCCTTTTTCACTGTAGCAGTCGGCGTAAACGGTTGATTGAGGTGCAATTTAATGTTGCGGTGAAAAATAAGTAGGGTGATAGACAAAAGTGTTTGGAGGGTATAATAAACACGGGAAAGGTATGAAATCACGATTTTCTGTTTAAACGATCGAGCAACTTCGAAGTTGTCGGTCCCGTTTGAATCACCCTGTACAAAATGCGTGCTACATGAAGACTGTTATGGAGGTTTGATGAATGGTGTATTGATTGAATTGTGTCCACGGAACACCAAGGGCGAAAAAAATAGAATGTACAGGAGTGTAAATAATTGAGGGTCAACCGCGCAGGTGATTTTGTAGTTTGATAAAGTGTCCATAGCTTTCGAAGGTTCAATATATATCATATTAGGATTATTGTAAACGATTCGATGGTCAGAAATATTGTAGATTTATGAAATGTCCATTTAATATTTTGTTTAACATTAATAGCGTAAAATCACGAACTTGCCCAATGTTTTTGTATTAGGCTAAAAGTTTCGTCAATTGAGTAGGCTCCGCATAAATCGATCGTATACTCGTGAAGGCCGAAACAAATGACGCAATAACTATAGATAGGCTCTTTTTAGCTCGAATATTCAGCTCGCGCGGCGTGTAGGTACGTAGAAAAATATTTTCGCTCTATCCTACGTCAATGTTTTGAAAATACGCGTATCCTGTCGATGAAAATTATTATCGGGGCACGAAGATCGACCTTTCGAAAACATACAATTTCCCCACCACAAGAACTCGAGCCACGAAGGAAATAAAATTATAAAACGAAACCGCAATTATTAGAAAGTTAAATTTATGTTTTATGTTGAAGTTGTTTAGAAAAAAAAACCGGTGTAATAATTAGGTAGTAGTTTGCAATTCAACCGGATAATATCGAAATCTTGATAGAATATCGTCGTAGCTATTTCAATACTATGCCAAGGAGTTAATTATGCATGCTAGAATGCAAGATCATTTCCCACTGAAGACACGCGAATGAAACTAGGACGTGCAACGTGTTTTAATAATCCATGAAATTCTTCGCCGGTCTCCATTCACTCGATAGAAATTTCTTCTGTATCTCACGACCGTGTCAAGCCTTTCTCTCCGCCAATATGCATTCGCTCTACGCTGCACTCCATTTAAATGTTTCTATCGCCACAATTTTCAGAGAATAAAATTTCTGACAAAAAACGGGTAAAAATAAAACTAAATATTATTAGGATAAAATAATATTTATATTATTACGATAAATAAATATTATTAAAATAAAGTAATATTTATTATTACTTGGATTTTAAATTCTCACAGGTAGAGGTATGCGAAAGAGACGAGCGTTTCGATCGAGGAAACCCTGGGGGGGACTGAATGTCGAATAATTCGATGCAAATTCACCGGGGACACGTCGAGGATAGCGCAGAAATAGAACACGGCGGTGTTACACTTTTGCGGAACGTTTGGAAATGTCCCAGGACTCGGTACCACGAACGAAAAGGTAAGGGGGTGGCTCGCGCGCGGGCTTTAAGGGTGACTTCCGTGCAAAGGACGTAATCGATGAACGTAAGGCAAGTCGAAAAGGTCCCTGCCTGGTCTGCTTCTTTTCGAGCTTCCTCCTGTCCGTAAAAACAAACCGTTTCCTCTAACCCAACGAATGATCTAACAAACTTAACCATCGACGAATAAAACATCTGATTATTCCGTACATAGACGTAATGATTCGTAGCGTCAGGTTGTTCCAGAGAATATGTTTCAGCTCGAGACATCAACTAACCGTGTGTTGTCTTTATTATGCGAGCAAAATCGTGTGCTCTATTCTGCCTGAAACGGGTGAATAATGAATAAAAACGGAAACTTATCCAGAGATGCGATTTCTATGCAAATGACGAATTGACGACAGTTAAAGGGTACGTATAGTTCGCCTTACAAGGAGAGGTCCTCAGGTGTAACGCTGACTTTTTAATGAGTTTCAACATAATGATAAAGCTGGGAAGTTTAAAACCAATGATATTTGTTTCAGCCGCAAATGGCCATAAGTTTATGAAATATTTAATGGTAAATTTCTAGCGTATATATAGGGTACTTCCGAACAGTGTTACAACCCGAAAGGTTGTGATGTCACATGCAAAAATAATCCAAAAATCTAGACTATAATTTTTGTCGCATTTTGCTTCATTTTCGAGACAATCGAAGTTGAAAACCTACAGGATGCGCGTGAATGGAATAGGTCAACGTTGACGCGTCTGACCATTATATTCCATTTCTACTTATAGCCAACACTAAACATTTGGTTGAATTTCGAAAATGAATTATTTTGAAAACGAAGCATTATACAAAATAATGTTCTCCTATATTTTCGACATATTCTTGCATATAGAATCACATCCATTCGGGTTGTACCAACAGTTTGGAAACACCCTGTATACAGGCTACAACTATAACATTAAATATCTCATGAACTAATGATCATATGCGGCTGAAACAAATATCATTGGCTTCAGAATTCCAAGCTCTCTCACTAGGTTACACATCTTATTGAGAAGCCAACGTTACACCTGGTGGCCATTCCTTGTTAGATATATCGCCAACGAGGAATGGAAAACGGTGAACAGGGGGAAAAAACGGTGAAAATCATAATTGCAGGATGACGTTCCGGCGAACGATGACGGTGCTGACCGCAGTGGAGGTTGCTTCCGCGAACAAACGGAACGCGACGAACGTTAACGAGGACGTGGCCATTCTGCCGGGATACAACGTTACCACCACGGCGAGCGGCGCATCGAGCAAGACCAACCACTACGAGACCGATTTGCACGGGAACGTTAACATTCTTCTCGGTGGGTGAGTAACGAGATAAATTCACATTTCCGTGGACGTTCCACGGAAGCTTCCAGACCTAAGGATCACGAGCCTATCGGAACAGGTTTCGGTTTTCTTTCCGTAATCGCGAATTTTCTCGCCGACCTTTCCCCCGCGAAAGTAAAGACACGAGGATAAGGTAAGGTGGTTCTGGCCTCTCTTCGCCATAGGAACGTGTTTACAGAGCAGAGACACGCTGCTTCTCGAACTCGATTAGCGAAAGAGAGGGAGAGAGCCTTAGTGGCTGGAAGTTTTGCTCGAACTTCTGAAGTCTAAGGCTTACCACCAACTGTACAAGACACATACACAGAATATAAATAAAAGTTTCACGACAGATGAGGAAGTTCACAGAGTTGACAATCGAAAAAATTGATGTTCGAATAAGACAAATAAGGAGACGATTCTAAAGACAGTCCGATAACGCTAGAGGAATATACATATACATACACACACTGGGGAAATCGAAAAATTTCTGTGATTCTTAGTTCGTTAAGTAAAGAGATGTTTGATTAAGCGATTGGACAAGAGTGATCTACGATAACGTAAGCAGTGGAAAAACGAACAGGAAACTCGCCGCACCGCGTACTCTGATCGCAGAAACGAGACGACGGCGTTACGGTAAACGTAATCCGTTAATGCGCACAAAGTCGTAAATAACGACTACAAATCACCGGCTCGCCTGACTACCCGGTGCTAATCTAGAGACGCAAGAGAATTACCTGGGCAAACTATAGATCCGCAGGCATGTTCTGTCATTCCCGTGAAGCATCTCGGTGCCAGCGATCGTTCTACCTGGGAGCTTCGAAGTACGGGATGATATTTCTCTTGAGGCTTGTACGATAATAACCCTTTAACGCCTAAACCCTTAAATCGTTATTTCAAAATTATGAGACTGATATATATGTTGTATCTCAACGGAAGAAGGGTCGGTCAGAGGGAATTTCCAACGATTCCACGGATGTAACACTGAAAAACCGTCACGAATCGCGGGTTTTACGGGCCGATATCACGACAGACTGGTGGACTTAATATTACGCGCAGGGCGCGTCGATTTAGTCCTAGGCGGTCCGGTTAACGCGCGCTAAATATACGCCCGGTCTCTCACCTATGCTCTAGATCGGCGTCCGCGCTCGGCGTTGTTTTTCAGAGCGATGCTCAGCGGCGTGATTATGGTCGTGGTGCTCATGTGTTATTGCTGTCACAAGAGCATCAAGAAGAATCGATCCCAGGAGTACCCGCAATACTGGCGAACGGAACCGGATGTCCATAGTCTGGAGATTTTCACCACGGAAGCGCACGCCACAGTGAGTGACCTTCCTTCCAGCTATACATAGATTATACATACATGCTTCCGAATGGATCGATCGTTTTTTTTTTCTATTTTTTAATCCACCCCACGATCGAGTCTGTGTCTTGTAGTAGGTATTGTTTGCTAGAGTAGAGGGTTATGACGGTACAGTGTTGACTAGGGTCAACTAGTTTTTATAATTTTAAAGCCAATTGAAGAATCCAGGGGAAAAACGATCGTATCGAAATTGAGGTTTTAGTTGATGTGCCTGGGTTAGGGAAAGCTATTGAAGTATAGTGTAATAAAGGGACAAAAATGGACACATATCAGAGAAATTGAAGGCTACAGAATATTGAGTTCAATGAGACAGTTTTCCGATGGAACGATCAGAGTTCAACTCTGTAGCTCAAAGTCTGGACTAAAAGAAAAAATTTTACTATTGTAGAATTTATGAATGTTTAATGTTCTTAAAGAGATTCAGAAACGGATTATAAAAACGATGATATTCAATTTTGAATCGTGTATAGTTTGAAAAAGTTCACAAAGTTTCTTCTTGAAATGAAAATGTTACTTTTTGTAACTATAATCGTATTTCTCCTTGGACTGTATAATTATGTAATCGTTTTTTAATGGTCCGACGGTAGTTGTATATTTTCTTCGAGAAGAAAAAAGGGTTCGTTACCATGTGTAGCATCGACGAGACGAAACCAGTTTGCGAACGGTTCCGGTGTATATCAATTTCTCTGGTTCATCGCGTATCGAATGCAAAATACTCGCGGTGCATTAATGCGTTGACTTGTACCGGGTAACTGGGCTCGCCTATTTGTACGTACACTGCTATCAATTGCGGTGCAATCATTTGCGGTTTCAAGAAGAATTAGTACCACTAATCGCGTTGCTTCCTTTCACGCTTTACTCGGGTCACTTGCGTATTTCTTGCTGATCCCGAGGAGTGCCGTTCTAATTCCGTCCTTAGAGCGTGATAACACGCGGAGATCGAGATTCCAGGTTCCTGGTAACTACAGAACCAGGTCTCCTTGAACAACCTTTAATATTTAGGTAGCCGATGTTTAGCAAGCGGTATCCGCGTGATCAGCGCCTGGATAATTAAATTTATCACCTGCACCGACGATCTTGTTAGATTGGAAGTGAATGGCCATTCCACGTACCCAAGCTGCTCTTAGCCTGGTTATCCATACGGAAATTTTGTATTTCTTTCCACACTGCTGGAAACAATTAGAGGGTGTTACAGTACAAGTAGAGTACAAGTGTACATACAGTAACAAAGTTAGTTTTCTCAGAACTTTCGTAGCATCATCAGAACACCAAACAAAACGAGAAACGTCCATATCTGAATTGATTTGTCCTGTACTATAAGACCTGACACAAGCATACAGTAAATCTTCGATGAGTGTTCGAAGGTTCCTCGGCACTGAACATTAAATATTACATTCATTAAGAAGTTAGCATTGCAATCGAGGACGTCTCCTTGCCAATGCCGAGGAGTCTTCGAATACTAATCGAGGATTGACTGCATTGGGCAACCTAATAATACAATAAGGTCTGTCACCAGTGCTGCGAGAGACAATCAACAACGGATGTGATCCAGGAGGAAGGATCCATATACGGTGCCCCATCCTGTCCAGTGACCCCGAATTCGGGTCCAGGACCACCGCCGACCTACGACAGCCTCATCTTCGATCCGCGTAGTCTACCGGCCAGCATCGAGAAGAAATCAGACGTTGGTCACACACCCGGCGTCATAATCCCGTCCATGGTGTCCACGCTTCTTGGGCTGACGGCTACACCCGTGAGATCCGTGGAATGCGACGTGTCCACGTTGGAACAAGAAACCACGGGCGTCGACGAGGGTCTACCTTCGTACGAGACGGCTTTGAAGCTGGACGCGAACGGTTACGTGTAACTGGCCCCCTCCCACTCTCCCCCTAAGCCTCTACCTTTTCTCTAATCGGGGCTGACCAGGAGAATTTTACGATTCCCCGAATCGATTTGCTGGTCGTCGATTCCCTTTGGTGGGTTTTCTTACGGTCCAGTGGACGGGAAACGGAGCCGTTGTTTGTTCCAATCCGTGGCTTCGGTGCTTCGAAGAACCCTGGTGGAAGTGATCCAGTGTGCTCGTAAAGCAAAACTCTCTGGAAGGTGAGGCCAAACGGTGATTTTTGCGACTGTATATTCTTGTGCTGGTAGGGAAACTATAGAGTCTATACTCTAAATGATCATTGATCCTTAATGTCTTGAAGACACGGTTCATATGTTTGTCCATTTCTGCATTCCACTGCCGGAGATGCGAATATTTTGGCCACCTTCGGATCTTAGGATCACCCTGTGTCTCTTCCACCAGGTATACTCATTGAGATGAAAGGAGGATTTTGGTATTGAGAAGCACATCGAAATTTATTAACCATTTTCTAGACTCTCTTCGAGTTACGAAGTGGTGTGTTTGAAACTGTTGCGATGGAATGGTTGATACTGTTTCAAGGGATAAGTGTTCTTTTTAAAACTGTCATTGAGGTTGAAAATGGTCTTGGAAATTTCAGCGAAAGAGGAATCATGAAACAGAAACGGACTCTGTGGGATCGTAGAAGGAAACTTCTAGCTGCAATAGAGATTGTCTAACATCTTTAGAACTCTGAAGGTACCAGGCACTTGAACAACATGATTCTCTGTTCATATTGGCCACTGTAATACTGTATTCGGAAGACAATCTCCGATTTACAAGTACTTAATCGATAATGTACGAGTTCGTTCGTCTTGCCTGTGTGTTTTAGGGACACTGAGTTTCGTGAAGAAACTCTTGAATACATGAACTTTTTGAAAGTGACGAACTCGTGCTTCATAATATCGAGGATTAAGTGTTTCGTCGAGCATTTTCACCGATCGCATTGTAAATTTGTGTAAATAAAGAGTCATACGTAGCGACTTGAACGTGAAGAATCTGTAGAATCTTTGTTGATCGTACGAATCCATAGTCTGAGCGAATAAAAATCGGGGATCTTAATCTTCGGGAGGGCAGCCGAAGGCCATTTTAGCGGTCCTCGACTACGTCGTTGATCAGGTTAAAGACCACTTTAGGAAGGCCCTGAATCACTGCTTCGTTTAGAGCCGCTCGCGAAACTAATCGAGTGTCGCAAACTCGTCTACTGTCCTGCAAACGGGTTGCAATTATTCAACCGAACGACACGAGGGAGAACGTAACGGAAAAGGAAACCGAGATGTAATTTCTAAAAGAAACGACGAAAAGAGTACAGCTAATTGTACACGGTATTTCCATTGTCTAATCTATTTGAAGTCTTTAATTCAAAAAGGCATCGGTCGCGATACGTCAATCATTTTAATGGCTCATAATAATTACGGGAACGAGCATGTAAATTGCCTCTTTAATGTCCACTGATTACTAATCGACCGGTCAATTGGAAATTTTTACCCTCGCTTCGTGATATTCGCTGGTTATCTCTACTTGGCTCGCATACAACTATGAACTCTTGTGCATAAAGACACTGTGATATCGCGTGAAATTAGTGTAAGACAAATGAACAGGTTTCCTTATCATTGTTTAACGACACCACCAATCGTTACGCGAAAAATATATTTATCTGTGCATACACGACACGAATGTACATACATATGAGGACGATAACGCTGAATTTGTTTTCTTAACCGATTCGACAGGCGTACAAGCCACTGAATAATACGAAAAGTCGTTTAAAGACAAAAGGATATGACTCGAAAGCTTACAAAATTTTACATAACTTATCTTGTATTTCACACGTCAGTATCTCGTAGTCTGAACTAAAAAAATATTTTCATTATTTAAGTTTCTGCCTGGAAGAACTGTACAATGTTTGTAAAATATCGCTTACACACGAAAGGTGACGCTATTCTGCCTGAATAGCTCGTCAGAACTTCCTAATCGAAAGTAGAAAAGTTCCCGTGCGGCGTATAATAATTTTCCACCTCCTCTACTGGAAAAAATAAGGGGGTCGAAAGTTTTCGAACACGACCCTCGTAAATGGTTTAACGATCCGCGCGCAACTTCGACGAAAGTGGATCACGAGCGAATCCAATGAGCGAAATATTTCGTGGCGCTCTCGTAATCGAAACTACGAAACAACGTGCGATTAACGTGCACCAGTAAAGGTGCAACGTTCATTTATCAATTCCTGTTATAAAAGAGTTTAAAAAATTGCGATAAAGAAGAAAAAAATGGGCGACTTGTCACAAAAACCTGATAATTGTCGCTATAAAAAGTTACATTATGTATGCATGTCGTGAATTGGGGTCGCAATTTTTGCACGAATCCAACATTTGTAGATCGTCCCATAGATGCAAGATGATTGAAGTCAGTCCATTTGGATCAGCCAGTACATATGTACAGGGTGTATGTTTTACGTGGAACCAGTGGAATGTCTCCTAAGGCACTGAAGATATGAAAGTATATGTATATGTTCTTACAAATACTTTGGTATGGAGGGGAACATTAAATGGAATAAACAATTTTTTTGTGATCACATTGATCTGACTCCTTCAAATATGATCACATGATGATTCACAGGATCCTTTGAATTCTTGAAAAAATTAACCTTGAAATCTCCCCCACTAAAACACCTGCCAAAATATTATTTATGCCACCTATAATGTTTCCCTCCATACCAGACAACTTTTGTCAGAACCTATTTTTTCACATCTTCGGTGCCTCAGGAGATATTCCACTGTGTCCATTTACAAAGGACACCCTGTATACGGAGGCGTACGCGTTAAAAAAAAGGAGGACGATGCAAGATAAACACGTAATACACGAACAACCGTTAATCGAGGTCCACATCGTCGTCGTCGTGCCGCCTTCGCTCGTGTTAATTTAGCTGGTCGACGTCATGATAAACAGGAGCCGTGTAACGTGTTTCGATTAATTGGCCTTGCATTTAATGGTGCCACCGGCCGAGTTATTATCCATGTTGATGCGCCCGTCGACAGGATAATCGTATGTTTTTACAACGTCATCGGATTTAAGGCTTACCCAACCGGGAAGAAGACCCCGTCGTCGTCGTTTGGGTGCTTCAAAGACTTCCGTCCCGTTACTCCGGTTTCGCCACCCCCTTAAACCACCCCTTACCCTTAATGGGATGTATTTTCGATTCAAGCCGGCTTCCACGCGCGGCCTACAACTTGCACTTTGGCACTTGTTTGTGCTCGTACGAGAACGCAACAACCAAATCGGGCGGAGGCTTTGCATGAATCGCTCCGAAACGACTTTGGCGCGTCCCATATAAAGATTCGAATCTCGACACCTATTTTGAACGTGTAATAATGTATTTAGAATATATTTTATGCAGGATAATTCATGAGGCAACTATCGAACTGTGGAGTTCCATGGGAATTTTACATTTTTATAGACAAATTCCGAAACTTTCCTTCGTCAACACTATAAACTCGATCTCCACGTCAACAATTTACGTCATTAAGGAAGAATTTACTGGAAAATTTGTTTTGTCACCTACTTGTGCTCGGTTATCATGCTCGCAACAGTTTTCGTAGTGTGTTGCGATTTCTGAACACGCGACGTGGTAATGAGTTTTCTAGTCGTTGCGGTCCGATTTCGATGTAGGTACATATATACAGCGTTAGTAGCATCAACAATTGAAAACATTTTATGCTACTATGATCCCCTTTTTAACTTTTCTTAACTCCCTTTTTAAATTCTTTAATATTCGTATCTAAAATTGAGAATTTGCATAAATTTCACCAATCTAATAATGAGGTATAGTTTCTTTACGGTGTTTCGTTTTATTATACATACATAATCTTTGTTATTGGTCAATTCTTCTGGTTTTACAAATATTTATATTTTTCTTCAAAATTAAGTATAAGATGCGGAATGAAGTTTCCCAGAGATACAGCGTAGAAGAAGATGCAGTGATTAAACTTTTATCTTGATCTACGTAAGGTTCTAATTAAACGAAGCCAGCAGCACATGTACGTTTTATTCTCGCGATAAAGGGTAGACGAGTAGCAGCAAACGGAAACGCGCGTTCAGATACGCGAGTTATTTCAGTTTTCACCGAAGAAACGACCGATCCGCTACGAGTATACGTGTATGTCCGTTTGCAGGGACATTCAACGATATCATGGAAGACAATGGTATTGTACGTTCGAAGATTCTAAACTCCAGTACGCGTTCTCGAAACGGGAAACGGTGAAAATGACTGACAGAAAGATGGCGGCGTAATTATTTTAATATCACGAATCGTGTAAAATTATAGAAATAAAGGTGACGATGTACGAGGGACTTTTACACAGATGACAATCGACTGTGCGACTCTACAGATCCGATGCATCAGAATCTCGTGGAATTCTCAGAAATTTAGAAATGAGCTGTAAGTTTCCTCCACGTACGAAGCTAAAGTGGGAAATTGTAAAATGTTGTAACAGAGATAAACTTATTTAAAGGAGTGTTTTTTACGTCTTTATCTTTGCACGCACACTTACAATCGTTTTAACTTTGTACATCTTTGCGGTAAATTGATAAGTACTGCAAAATTTACGTCTTCGCCGTTGAAACTATTTAGAAGTAACAAATTCGGGAGGAGTAAGCAAGGAAGCCTGCAAAGAATGACCCAATTAAGCTATAGAAGATCGCAGTGATTCCAATATGAAACTGAGCCAATCAAAACGATAGTCCGTTGTAAAAGCTTCTAAACGACGTCGACTAATCAAGCATCGATCAAAAGTTTCACAATTCGCGACCGAAGTAAAAGTACTCGAAACGATGCACCGTCGCGATAAACTTATCACCCCCGCTCTGTGACAGACAACATTTCCCCGTTTTCGAGAACGATAAATCAAGCATCAATCAAGAGCTATTAAAACTTCATCGGAATGGATCCACCGTTTCTCTCGCAGACCCATCCTTTCGTTCGCAGAGCCACGCGTAACGGATTCATCCTCGAGGAACATAATATATTATATCCAGAACGAAATGAAAGAGTTTCTCGTTTAAAAGAACGTCGATCATCCAGTTGGACTCATTACAACGATAAATCAATCATCGAGCAAAAGGTTATATGTATGCACACGATTTACACAGCTATTAAAGCCTCGCCCAGAATGAAATATACCGCCACGAGATGATAGACTCATATGCTTTTGCGTGTGTTCTTTTCCTTCTTTTTTTTATTTTTATTTTCGTTGTTTCTTCGTGCAAAGCACACATCGATCCAGACGAGCGCTACTGAATTTATCGTGTTTGCGTAATTGCGATAACAAACAACGGAACGCCGTCGTTCCACACAACGAGAGTTCTCTCCGGGACGGAGAGCCTTTATTATTCACGGACACACAGCTATTCAATGGCTCCCGGGGCAAGTACGTTCTTCCGATACGGTGCTCTATTTCATTGCCCCCGAAACCTTGAACGACGACACGTAAGGTCTGGTTAATTGCGCGCAGACACGTCGTGTGGCAGCTTCCTTCTGCAGAACGGTGTGGCCCGCTCGTGCGGGCCATTTTTACTGCGGTGGGGCCTTTTGTTCTTGCGTGCAGAAACGTTTCAGAACCGTGTGTCCACGGTAGGAACGGAAATGAATTTGCAGAGAGCCATTATGTCCGAATAATTGCATGGATTCTTGGATTAAATGAACGATATGTTTCTGATCATTTTATGCATTCTCTTTAGTTTAATATATAAGGATTAAGTACAAGCAATGTGGAATTTATCCAATTACAGTAAATCCTCGATGATGGTTTGAACGCTCCTTGGCACTGACAAGAAGAGATCCCCAGGTGTAATGTTGAATTTTTAATGAAGTTTAGCACGGCGATAGAGCTTGGAATTTTGAAGTCAATGATATTCGTTTCAGTCGCATATGGCAATTAATTTATGAAATATTTAATGTTCAGTGCCGAGGGGCCTTCGAACACTCATCGAGGATTTACTGTAACTATTTATGAAAGGAACAGTTAACTATGGAGCAATGACATTTAACGTTTGAAAGGGTCGTTAAGCGGAAAAAGGTTTGAAGTACATATAAGCTCTTCAAGGCTCCTATAAAACTCTATTTTTATGGAGTTCTTGACATACTCCAGACACTGGACGAATAATTCATACATATCGGTGAATTATCACTGTTGATCTAAACTGTTCCGGAACTATAGGCACTAACTTAACTCATTAACCGGACGTCATAAAAAGTACCGAGGAACAACGGGCTCGTAAACTTTAGATAGTTCACGAGAACGTTGGTAGAGATGGAAATAGGTTTAATAAAATATTTACGACGAATTTGTCTCAATTCCGTGCAACTAGCGCTGTCTATACCTAATGAAACACCTGGTTCGTTAATCCGATGTCGAATGGAATCGAATGGTCGAAAATTATGACCACTGATAAAGGACTGTTTTAGAATCATGAGTGTTATCTTAACCGGTTGCTAGAGCTCGTAAAAAAGAAGTGGATGTCGTAAAGTTCCAACAGTTTGAAAAAGAAAAAAAAAGCTTCACGAGTGAGTTTGGGAGCGCATAATTCCACGGAAATGGATTGACAGAAGTACATATGAGCTGATTTTTCTTCGAGTCACATGTATAGCCTACTGATTCAAATATGTTATACGTTATGAACACTATCTGCAAAAAATGGATACTTCAGCAAAAGTGATCGTTATAGATATTTTCGAAGGAAAAAGATCCATTCGCTGGTGGCGTGGGGGCAGCCTTTAATTTTAATCCGATTCTAATCTCGAACTAACCTAGATTTCACCCAGGTCTAAATTAAATTAACGACGATTTCCTGCTGGCGGCTTAGAGCCCTGTGCGTTCATTGATCAGATAATGAAAAAACGTTGACGTGGCGTCGACAACGAGTCGACGAAAATGAAAAAAAAAAAAGGAAATGGTTACCGGATACCTTTTAAGTTTTTTTTTCTTTTTTATTACTCAACCGGCGAGGAACGTAATGGTCATCGTGAATTGACGATTACGCAACGAGATTCGGTTTTCATCGGCCCCTGAGAGGAATATAACGTATGTATGTATGTATGTATGCATGCACATATGTATATGTATGTGATTCGTTTCGTTCGAGAAAAATTACACAGTGGGAGAGATGGAACCTGGAATGCTGACAAAGGGAGACCCGGAATTTCAATCCCCGCGAAATGAAAAATGGGATTCGTTGTCGTACCGCATAATCGCTTTCCGTGTTTCATAAAACAGGAAATTGAAAATTTTATATGTATTAAGTATACAATCGATCGGGATTGTTTCTTGAATCGAATGAATTCGATTAAACCGGCTATTGAAATTGGTATGTATTATAATTTTGAGGAAACGAACAATTTAACTGGAATGGAATTGAATCTGGAATTCAAGCATATTCGTGATTTCCATTTTAATCAGTAACACCCGTTGTGGAAGAAAATTGGAAAAGAATAATAGCAGCTATATCTAGGTCTTCAGGACTCCAGTTTCTATCCTTTTTTTCCAGGATTGATTTCAAAATTATACCACGGGTCACCGGTGCACCACGTGGTACAGAACGACTAGATTTCTACGTTATGCCCAAAAGAAGTTAAAGCACGGGATGGATAATAGTAGGACAATAGTACAATGGAGTACCAGGTCCATTTGTATTTGGTCGCACTGTGTCACAAGACTTCGAAGAGATGAATATGGTACTCAGTCCGTAGTTAAACGTCAATTTGTGTCAGTCGGATTTTTAAACCTTTAAATGGTCCGCGTATTTGTTACGCTGTCTGGCCCAGCAGACGGTCTACGGGTCCTCTGTCGCACATTTACGCAAACCGATCAATTCCTGGAAAGCAATCGTCCTAGTGAACTGGCTACGGTTCTTCGAGTTTCACAACACAACTTCCCATTCACCTGTGCTCCACAAAGATATGAACGTAGGCGGTGGGTGCACCGTGTACACACACCGTATACGCATATACACAAATAGGTTACGCCTTTGTTCGTTGTACGTACGTACGATGACTTTCAATCATTCGTGTTCGCGGTTTCTGAGTTTCATTTATTACGATATCGCGAATTTTATGCACTTACGGAATAGGAGATTGTCAAGAACACAAATGAAATAAGAAACTGTACTGAAGTTTTGTGCAACTTTCGTAATCATTCATAGCATAATTGAACCTAGAACGAAAGAGATAAACTTCTGTTTAATGTATAAAAGTACGGATTTACATAACAATTGTCAATCATGACACTGATACAGTTTTCGCAACATTTGTTGGGTGACGATTCATGACACGATTGCAGCTATTCGATTAAACAATTAAACATGTCCTATTGTCATCGATAACGTAGTTCGTCTCTATTGTAACTCGTCAAGGATGTATCATACGCTCTTATCCGGAACATACGTGACATGACTTAATAGTGTTTCTTTGTCAGTACATAAAACTTGGAGAACCTTCGCGAGCATTTTTACACCGTCCTGTATTCTAACTCTGCGTGATTGAAACTATGCTCACCCAACACGCTCTTCTGTCATTAGTACTGTCGCTAGTTATTCTTATTGTAGATTATAAATCACGCTTCTGTCAGTACACTACACGTAAGTAAGGGGCCTTCACTCTAAATCTAGTAAATGAACGAATAAATACAAACAACAAATTCGAATAACGCATCATCCTTAGGCTATTCAGTCTCAAGCTGATTCTCGTCGTCCCCCGTAGCTTAGCGGTGGGATGCCACGACAGGACAACAAACGGATAGAATCGGAGCAATGTCGTTAAAAGAACGGGGCTCGTAACCGTGCGGAAAATGCGGTCGGAAATCAATGGAGCCGCTCGAACGCGTTCGACGCGGTTATACAAAAGGGAAAATAGTAAACGTAGCCGGGGCGGGAGAGGGATCGGCTGCAGAAAACTTACCTAACCTTGCAGCAGGACCGCTCGTTCGCTAGCTAGTTCCGCGTAGCCCTGTGTGCCCGAGGAAAGTTCCATGTACCCGTCCGGCGATTGATTCGATCCGCGCCCGCGGAATCACCCCCTCAACTGAGCCCTCGAGGGAGACATCTCTCGAAACCAAGCGAACGAACGAGCAAGAAGAAAAAGAGAGAAAAAAAGAAGAAAGAATCGGACGGGGGAGAGAAAAAAAAACGTTCACGGATAACGGTATATCCCAGCCATGTCGAAAACACGAAACCAGGCACGATTTGCCGCGGGCTGGCGCGCGCGCGCGCTCTCCAACGCCGTTGTCCTCTTCTCACTGGCACCACTGAGACCCGGCCCGGTAACGCATAGCTGACCGCATACGCATCTGTCTGTCACGACGAGATCTCACGGAATCGAAGGCGTCCATACGCATTTACCTCTCCCGCGCCTCTACATCACGCTCTCATCCAGTGAAGATTTCGCGGACGCGGACAAGCACCAACAAGGAACACACACTCGCGACACTCGTTCGCCGACTGAACGTGTTGCTTGTAGCACGGCATTGATAGAATGGATGGGGTAACTGGGGACACCTGGCGGTAAATGCGGGAACTACGGGGAGACGTGTCAGGCCGGTGGGCGCGAATTTTTCAAATTGAACCACGGACGAGATTGTACATCTGATTTTGCGATTAAAATAAATCGTAGGAAGGCTGAATTGAAAGGCTGATTTTATGAATGTAATTGTTGTAGAACGTACGTATACGTCCAATGAATGACAAAAATATTCGGATTTGTTTTAGGGGACGAATTGAAGGCTAAATTCTTAATTATTAAATAACGATTTCTCACAGATAATTTTTTAATATTGTATAAAATTCTTCTTAACGGTTTATACGTGTATTTATAATGTGATGTTAATATATTTTTTTGTAAATTATATTTACCGAAAATTGTGAAATTATTTATTATTAATAATTATGAAATTAATTATAAAAATGCTACATTCATGTGTGGGACTTTAAGATATATTCTTGATATCGCGTGGTCAAAATAGATCTTTCCAAATAGAATAAATATGATTTCAAAATTTCCTATTTCTACACTCTTCGTTTCCCGACAAGTGTATCACTTTGGTTGTAACATAGTTATTAATTTAAGTGTAAAGTAGTTATATTATAATTTTAAAATGACGTGTTTAGCGGTTTGTGATTACAAACTGCGTGATATGAATCGTACGATTCGTCGTAGGAGTTGTTGCGCCGATAGTCCGTCAGCTTCGTCGAATCTTACTAGACCAATAGACGGACTTAGACCATTAACACATGTACACATGCTACTATAAAAGGAGTCACGCGAAAGAATACATTCTTTCTAGTATAGCTTCATCTTCACAGTAATTTTGGAAATGTTTCAATTACTTGATGGACGAAGGTTAAGGCATTTGTAGCGGCAGTAATTGACGTGTCAGTGCAATTGCAAATGGCGGGCACCAATGGTGACATTTCCTCAGTGGAGAGGAAAATCGAAAAATTAGGAATATCTGCGAGTGAATCAACAAAAAATGAGGATGATACAGAAAGAGAGAAATGGGCCGAACGTCGTCTTTGGGGTTTTGAAACCAGAGAACTGTATAAAATGGCAGTTAATTTCTACAAAGGTGAGTCACTCATATTGACAGTTTGCTAGAATAATCTCGGTGTTGAATTCTTTATGTTATGTCGAGAAACACGACGTGTCCGTATAAATTCGCATTTCTAAACTACGCTATCATATTTTCTTAACACTTTGGAAAGTTGAAGTATAGAATTCAATGAGAACTTCATTTGTGATTGCTGTGTTGATTTTGATGTTGTTCAACTTTCTTGATTCGAATAGTTTTATAGAACGGATATTACTGATATGGTGACATTAAAAGTATGTATAATTATTTTAGAAAAAGAAGGAAAAGCAGTTCACCTGTCTTATGAAGATAAATTAAAATTGGTTGCTTTTACACAACAAGTAACACATGGAAAATGCACAGCAGAGAATGCACCGCCTTTAGGGGTATTGGATGTGATAGGAAGAGATAGACGTTTGGCATGGCAGAATTTGGGAGATATATCCAAGGAGCAAGCTATGGAGGGATTTATAGTTTTATTAGACAAATTATGCCCTTTGTTTGGAACAGTTGTAGAAGCACAGAGAAGGGATATCGAAGAAAAATTACGACTGAAAAAAGAAGAAGAGGCAAGAAAATTGGAAGAGGAGAGAAGGTTAAAGGAGTTAGATGAACAAAAAAAGAAAGAAGAAGAAGCTAGATTAAAGGAAGAGTTACAGAGGAGACAAATTCAAGATGCCTTAAATCAACAAACATATTATCAGTTTAAAATGTATGCGGAACAACAGTATCCTGGAAATCCAGAGCAACAAGGTGTTTTAATAAGGCAATTACAGGAACAACATTATCATCAATATATGCAGCAATTGCGTCAGAACCAATCAGTTGTAGAAAGTCAGGCTTCAGATGCAAACAATACCACAACAGAAGATCCTCAAAAGGAAGAGAAGAATAAAGAGACTGATGAAACAGCACCATTAAATGAAGAAGACTCAGATGAACAGCAAGAAGATTGGCCACAAATAGCTCCTGCAGAAATGTGGACCATCAAAGGTGTTGAAGAATTTAAGGAAACCATCAGGAGGGAAGCTGGTGATGCAGTTATTAAAGTTGGACATGGGGAGACAGTGACTGTTAGGGTACCGACACATCAAGATGGCTCGTGTCTGTTTTGGGAGTTTGCAACAGATGGCTATGATATTGGTTTTGGGGTATATTTTGAGTGGTCGAAGCCAGAAACAAGTCAGGTGTCAGTACATATTAGTGAGTCGGAGGATGAAGATGAAGAAGATGAGGATTATGTCTTGAGGGAAGATTTGGAGAGTGGTGTAACGAATGGTAGTGTTCAGTCTGATTATAAACCATCGTCACCACCTATAAGTGTGATAGTACCTGTAAGTTTATGGATAAAATATAAAGATATATATCATATATATATATAAGAAATTCAAATGTCATTAGTCATCTTATGTTTATCAATTATTATCAACAGGTATATAGGAGAGATTCTCAAGAAGAAATCTATGCTGGAAGTCATAGATACCCAGGGCAGGTAAGAAAAATTAAAAATTCAACATTTATCCAAACAATCGCATACATACATGTTTGTATACAATCATCTCTTATGAATTCCTTTGTTGCAGGGAGTGTATCTTCTTAAATTTGATAATTCATATTCACTCTGGCGAAGCAAGACGCTTTATTATAGGGTCTATTACACTCAAAATTGCTACGAAAATTAGTTTTATGGAAAGCCACTGCAATTCACTGAACGTACAACCGTTGAGAACTAGCGAAACACGATGGTCTGTCAATATTGCTAGTCCAACTAAATGAAGAGTCCTATATCATATTTCTGTTCATATAAAGCGAAATGTTCACAAAAAAAATAATATACCTATTATTATTATGTAAAGACACTTTATTGTTTAATACGACAAGAAAGTGGGCACAAGTAAAGAAAAGGTTCCTATTGTTCCCTTTCCCGTGGATGTTTATAAAGTGATCAACAAACGAAGTGTATAAACGTTAGCAACAACAGTATATGCACAGTAAACGAACTTCTTTGTACCCGATATATTAGTGTCGTATTCAAATTGTACATTGTACCAATACGTATTGGTAAACCTATGCATTATATTGTTTTTTGTGGTCAGAATTTTAGTCTGTCTGTGTTATTATTTCACTTGTGGCTGTATCTTATACTTTTATTAATAATATTTCACGTTTTAGAAAAATATATTGAAATCAAAGTACTAGTTGGGTTTGATTTGTTGATCGTGATTCCATATACACAAAAGAATATTTAAATATACAGTTCCCTTTGTCCTGTCAACGTTTATTGTATTATAACCACATCGTTTTCAGTTTTTATTTCTTACAGGAATGTATATCGTCGTTAATAATAATAATAATTAGTTATATACGCAGCGGTATACAGTTACAGGCTTTTTTATGCGAATGCGTATCCAGTTAACGCATAATTATAGACAATTCGCCCTATATAACAATTTTACTTAGAAGAGCACTTTTTTGAGACGGCATTGTTGTTTTTCTTTGTTGTTATTTATGTTGCACGACAACGAGGATTCCGTTGCAGGCAATAAATACATTGCGTGAATTACTTTGCAAAGACATTAAGCGATAACAGCGAAATTCCTGTTGGCGTGCACTTTCTTTTACAGTAGCCGAATTCTCATATCGTTTAGTCAATTTTAATTAATCGATCGAAAATTCGTTATAAAGTAGAATTCAAATCGACATCAACATTATATTAATTTAGAGCTATACCCGTTTCTTTATCGATGAACATTGTTATTCAAATTTAAATTCAAATTGTGGATGGTTTACTCACCATTTCTCGTTAAAATTCTTGATAAATCCTTAAAGCCTAGATCTGCCAACATGTACCTCTGGTTTGATTAATTTTCGAACGTTAAAGAGACACTTTTGAAATTAACGTACGGTACAAAGCTAGTCAATGAGTATCTAGTTTAACAAAGCTGTCAGTATTCACAATACTTAGTGACTGTTTACATCATACTAAATTAGTCAATTCTTCAGATTAAAATTTTCAATTCCATACCATTTTTGTAAATTTCACGAAGAAGCCATTTATAGTATGGATATTCAAAATTAATGGCTAACTTGTTTACAGTAGTACATCCGCCATTATGGAAAGTGTCTCTTTGCAACCGGCGGACGTTCGTTTTTCTCTATCAAAAAGTTTTGCTTCACTGGGAGTAAAAAGTTGTTATACATTACTTGTTTTACGGGTAAACTTAAACGATAATTGCGCGCGTTATCCTGAGATGCCTTAATAATTAATCGGTTACCGTGAATATCGAATTTCTGTTATCACATGTCTCGTCGCTCGTCGTTCAAGAATTTGCAAAGTCTACGTCTATGCGGTGGCTCGGCTAGTGGCTTACATCGCGTTTGAATTTCGCGCTAAAATTACTATCGAATTGCTTGCGATTCTCGATGAAACTATGTTACAGTTATAAAATCGCGGCTTGTGGTGCGAATGTGCGTATGTTGGAAAGCGTTTTCACCTTAAAAAATCCGATTCAAAACGTCTAATAAACGAAATTTGGTGAGTGGTTTGGAAATGCAGCGTGTCCAAGAAAAAATTTGCTGTCTGATGAGTAATTTTGTGACTGCCCGATGAGTTTCAACACTTTCTTCAGATGGTGAGTACGTCCTCAACACTTAGCCATTCGTCTACGTTTTTTATGTGTTTTCCTGTTTACCATTTATTACAAAACCGTGTGATTAATTCTAAGAACTTCAGAAAATTAGATTGCGTGGTCGCATAATTTTAAACTTGAAATTGTGAGAATGATTGATTGGCATCACGTACACACATATGCACGCATTAAGGACATCAGAATCTTAATTTTTTACTTATAGGTAATTATCGTGGTACAATTAAGATTCGAATTTTGAAGTGTTTAATTATTCATGCAACAAACTTTCTAAATTATATTCAGCTATCTAAATTGTCTAAGCTGAATTTGGTCTAATATCCAATTAAATAATCTTGTAATTATTTAGGAATTTGCAAATAGGAATGATGAAATTTTCGAGTCTTAATTATACCACGGTTGCAACGATCGTCGATTTAATCTTCTCTATCAATGATTATCACGATCAGCAATTGGCATCAATACACATTCGTCGAGTATATGAAAAATATTTCCCTAAAAGCATAACGGTGCGTTCCCTTACTCTGCGGTAATATGTAATAGTAGTATATATTTATATATATATATATATATATATATATATATATATATATATATATATATATCGTCTAATAATACAAAGTTCTCGATGAAAATTTCGAGAGACCAGTAAAAACGATCCGAATACGATAGCCTCTTTTGTCTTTGGTAGAGCAGACGCGTAGACAAAAATATATATTGTATAAATATATTATACAATGTACAGGCTGTCCTCTAATTGATCGCCAACCAGTTGAGAATGTTTTTATGGGGAAAAAATAAATCGGAAATACAGAATAAACTTTCTGTATAACTGACTTCGTTGTCGAGAAAGTTGCATTTGAATTCCATACGTGTACGCATGCGCGGAGATGCGTCGTTCATGGCGCGCAAAGTGCTCGTTCGAAATTCAAACTCAATTTATTTGAAAACGGAGCCAATTAAGGAAAACTTTTATTGTACATTTTCGACCTACTTTTTTACTACCACCTTTTCGATTGGTCCATTGAATATGAAACACTCTGTATATAAATATACATTAACGTTCAAACGCCTTAGGGTCGTGATTTTATTTTCCATTTCATTATAAATTTCCGTAACGTAAGAAGAAAATCATTTTTATGAAATTTTTGAAACTTTATAATAATCTTTCCTTGCATTTTTAAGTATATAATAATTGTTTTCTCGATTACAAGTATTACTTTCGTTTCAATTGATTCGTGACCCCACGTTTTCAGACGCTAATACATATAAATACACATTGTATAATATATTTTTCGTATTTATGCACGGAGAAGCGAAGACTTTCAATCGTTTTCGGCACTGATTTCTTGATTCCTGTCGCTAGAATCTAAAATTGTCTGCTACTGGTTGAGCGAACGATTTCCGTCAAGTTCCACTTAATTCGTGTGAATTGACACCGCGATTATTCGATGCTTCGAGTTTTTGTAATTGTTAGTTACCAGTTATCGTTTGTTGTAAATTGAATCCGATCGGTTATAGCGGTAGTGTTTACTTTTTCGAGACGATGCATCTATTATACGTGGATCATGTTACATATGCACAAGCATAAAATTGTACGAAAGCTCGCGATCACGGCTATGTGTATGTAAGATGTCACATGAAATCGTATATAAACTAATGAAAAGGGTTTTGACACGCAATACCAACACGATTGGACTATGAAAAATGGAAGGATTCACCTTAATATCAGCTCCGGGGACTCGAGTAGAATCTTTCTACAAAAAGCTGTCATTCACCACAACGTTTTTCCCAGTGATAAAACCCAAATCATTAGTCGATGAAGCTTATCTGCTACGAAGTGTGCGCATAATTGACGCCGAATCAATTGCTCGTAAGGAATCGGATTCGCGATCGTGACGCGAGGAACAATCTCACTTACGGGAATTTCGTTCCCCTCGACGAAATTTACTTTCCTGGGTGGATGTGTGGTTAGTGGGGGGCACTTAATAATTTTTCCATTGGCAACATCGACAGCGTTTCTCGCGTTCGTATCCAGGATCCGATTGCGCAAAATCGATCTAAGCGACGATCTACCGTCGAGACTCGCGTTACGCTTCAAGCAAAAGGCGGTGTTCCAGCTGGGCAATAGCCCATCTCGACACTAGTCACTGGTATTTACGGCGTATGTACAGATTTTTTTAACCGTGAAAATCGGTAGGACGGATATTTACAATTCGATTAACCTGACACGACAGCGTCCCTTCGTTATAACGAAGTCTCCATATTCAGATTCGGCCATTTGTTGTTCTCCGTTCGATAATCCTCTACGCGGCCTGTGAAGCTTCGACGTATGTTCGCCTCGTATCGAATGGGTTTCGTTCTTCTCTCGGTCAACGATCGAGTAAGCTCCCTGTTGGGTGATTTCGAACTGGTGTCTGTAGGAACTCGATCCGTAGAGCGATCGACCATCTTCCCATTGCGTTTCGAACCTTCGTAAGGCGGGAAAGAAGTTCCCTGCTGGTAAACCCTAGCAGATGCTTGGTCCTGGTCGATGTTAGTGGCATCTACCGCGTCCGTGGACGCAGAGAAAGCGTAAGGATAAGGATGTTGACGATCAGGGGGGCAGGAGAAAGTGGATGGATGAGAAGTGTCTGAGTATCTTTGCCTCTTGGAGTCTTGGAACCGACGTCGAGACATTTTCCGGTCGCAGGCTAGGGATCTTCCCAGTTGGGTCAGAACTGTGTGACTTGGTGATTCCTCTGTAGGAGTGGAATCGACCTCTTGCCTGGTACGGATCACGTCTTTGCCTCCGAAGGGATCACCAGGGCAGAATTCTTGAATGGGACTCGCAAAGATTAGAGTCCTAGAAAAGAAATTCACGTTTTTTATGGATTAAGCTCAAAAACCAATGACTACAATTAGAACATCTTGAATGAATAGTTTAGAGTTTTCAAAGTGTCTCTTACCTAGTGTTCTCGCGTTTAGAGCTTCCAGGAGCATCCTCGCTTTTATCTACAGGCAAACTCTCCAACAGCTTCTTCTTTCTACCCAACACACTGTCCAAACTCTCCCTCGATCTCGAAAATAAATTATTGAACCTTCCTCCTGCGTTGCTCGTTGACGCGACCACAGGTGTACAACCTTCGTGATATGAGGATCGTGCCTCATTACGGCCTTCTGGATTTCCTTCTTCTCTGTTGGACATGTTTTCAAGCTCTTTCGCCGTAATCAACGTGTACCTCCTTTTATTCTGCTTGAGAATCGACTTTAAACAGAAGTACGTCTTCGAATCCGGCAGAGTACATGTTTCATTCGACATAGGATTCGTTATAACCCTACTTCGCCCAGCCGTTCTCTTCGGTATGGCGCCTCTGCTAACATCTACAGGTACTCCAGACCTGGAGGTCGCTTCATCCAGCGAGCACAGAGAGAATCGGAATTTCCTTCTATCCCCTGGCACGTTCAATCTGCCCTGACATGATTCCCCTATCCTCTCCTCGCTACCGAACTCCTCTTCCTGATCGTTCTCCAAAATATTCCTCAAACTTTGTCCATTCATCCGAAGGAACCTTGTATCGGTATCTATCATCTCTGATCGACACCTCAGGTTTGGCTCGGACATGTCTCTCGGTATCACACCGATCGTCAGATCTCTTCTGATCCTTCGAGTCACCTCCCATGAGCTAGTGTCAGGGTTTCTGACGGATTCGTTCTCCAGTTGTGCCTCGACCAAGAATTTCCCGCAGCTTCCACACCTTCCGGTCTCTGTTTGGGTGGTGTATGTACACGGTGGAGGATTAATATCGATCGTAGTCTCCATCAGGGGCTGTCTGCTGGCGTCGTTCAGTTGTCCATCTTCTTCCTGTCTGGAAGTTTCATCCAGGACCCTCGTTTCGGTAGCAGCGTGACAGGGACAGGTGCAATCGCGTGGTGGTAGGTCGTAACGACCACCAGGATCCTCGTTGATCTCTTCGTTCACGATACAGGCTTGCTCGGCTCGTTGGTAGAGCAAAGCTTCCGAGTAGCTCGGCACCATCTCTGTTATACTCGCCTCTTGAGATTCGGTTCTTCTCGAATCTGGTACCGGGTCCATTAGCAGCGCTTCGCTGTAGCTCGGTGCCAGCATGTAGGAACCTGGCTGGCTAATCGTTTGTTGGCTCATGGACGCGTGTATTGGTTCGCTTCCGCTTGGAGTATCGTAGTTGATCCCGAAGAGCTTGGTTATCTGGAGACGACGATTTATTCTTAGCAGGCAATGGGCGATAAGAGTGACATACACTACGCACTAAGAATAATAAAAAAAGGGATATTTTCACCTGGTAGTCCGCGTACTGTGTCTTGTACTCTATGATAACTCTGAGAGGCCAGCTGAGCAACAGAGCACTTAGAGACCAGTAGACGTAGCGATTCGTGAACCACGGGTTGCCAAGAACAGCCACCAGTGTCGTGGGATTGGGATTGTATCCAAGATCAAGCCCTTCTCGCATCTCCATGTAGTCGTCCCTTAACTCCTTGGAGCAGGAATAATTTCATCGTTCGATAAGACCACCGATCGATCACAGAGATTAGAACGGCATTTCGAAACGTACTTGTTCGGCGAAGAATCTAGACCTGGCCTCCTCGAACTCTGTTGCCGATCTCATGTTCGAGAAAGCGAAACCTTTGCTGAGATTAATCTTCGTGATCGGCACTTCCGGGTCCAGGATCAGCTCCTTGCTGATGTCCTTCACGCCGCAGTAGTCGTAATAGTAGAATGATGTTGCAGCGTGGGTGTTTATCCTCTCGTAGTAGACCTGGAAGAAGGTGGACCGTCAGAACGGGAGATCGATCGAGGATAGATGGGCCATTGAGAGGAGCAGATATTCATGACACCGTTCTCTACAAGCACGTTTATCAATCCCAAGCGATGTAGCTATAGGGAGGGAGTGTATTCTTCAAAGGTCAGTCAGAAATAGTCGCAAAAGGGGAAGACTTGTCATTATGTTGTTGGAGAATAAATAGTCTGACATATAATAACATTTTCTGAAGTCCAAGATTTAAAGATAGATAATAAGATAAAATGGAATGGCCCATCTGTCCTCGCAGCAAAGTTCCGTTGAAGCTCGCGGAGAAGCGTATCGACGATTTACCATCCCGCGATCTCCCATCGTCTGGACAACGAGATATGCGTTGCACGTTGCGCGCTATGCGTTACCTGCGTCGTAGTGTAATTGTCTCCGTTTCTGTACCGGGTAATTTGTCGTTTCCGGCGTACGTAATGGTAAGAAACGGCCTTCCACCAGATCGTCGGCTGGGCGGACTTTAGCTGCAGCAGCTTCGACAACACGCTGTCCTGGCTCTCCGAGTGTAACAGATCGATTCTGATCGGGGAATGATAACACTCGACCAGGTAGACGAGGTACAACATTCCCATGAACGCCACCTTTTGTATGGGTAGAATAATTTTTTCAAGGGAAATCGTCGTGACATGTAATTCTGGATAAATCAAGAGCTTACAGGAATGTATATGTAACCATCGTCACACGGGGACACGTGTCTCGTGCTTCTGATTGGGTACCTCGAAAAATTTATTACGACCTGGAACAGATTCTATTTTCAAGGACATTGTTTTCCAGTGATATCAATTTACTAACGTCTTCAGTCTAACGTGGGCCACATATGCATTTACATTTACCATTCAAGAGTAATTAGGCTTTATACTGGGATAAGCCTCCTGGTACTTGTGAATGGGAGCGTATAAAAATGGAAATTTAATAAAGGATAACACGGGTTTAATCTTATTTTAGACCTCGTAATATTTTTTATGGCGGCTACATAAAAGTCTGCTAAATTTCCGTTGCTGGGTGTGAGGTTCGTAAAAATGTTTGAATTTGCATAGAACGATGTGCTGCTGGGTAACGGTGCCTCGTGTTTGGGTAGTCTTTTTCAAGGATTGTAAAAGGGGTAACTAACTGGAAACTCGTAGGACGATTGTACAACAGAAATCGATTTTTTTCACGTCTCATGAATGAAATGGACACGGTCTCGATAGTATACTACCAGCCGACGAATCCCGTGATGCAAAGGAAGTGACGTACCTTGGTGACATTCGCGCATCTACACCACGTCACTGCGGCAAGGCATCCGTATATTAACACGGACAATACCAGGCACTTGCAATTCGGCTCCTTTTGCAATGCCCCGCAAAGGGTTTGGGACTCTGGTCGTTGCTGCGTCACGCAAAACATTTTGAAACATTATTATGATATTTTTCACATGCTCGAACTATAGATTCTAGTGTCGTTATACAATTGCTTGTGAATAAATATCATGACTGAACAGACATTTATTAAGCAGAGGTTCTAAAAGACTTCGGATGTTATTTATAAATTAAGAGGTCGTTTTTGATATTCCTCGGTAATTATTGTCAAAAAAAATGAAGTGTGTATTAATTTGTTATATAGAGAGAGTATGAGTACATTGAAGAATTTTTTTAATAATCATTTCCTAACCCGGAATAGTAGCGAGAACTCGTAAGAAAACTTATGATTGCGTACTTCTTCGTTTTCTCGATTCATCGTTGAGCTTATTGGGTCACTTCTGGGAACGTACGAATGTTGTCCTGGGTCAGAAAGCGAGCTTTTCCATTTCACTGATTCCCCTTGGTCTCCTTTACTTCACGGGCATCAGCTTTTCTGCTGGGATCGTGACAATTCAATTAACTTCCTCCGTTTGTAATAAGAAAAAAAATAAATCAAGAAGACACAAACAAACTGCTGAACGCAATCATTGCATAATAATTGGAAAAAATTACATCAGGATGATGAACTAATGAGAATGCAATCGTAGATAATCCATAAATAACGCAACATTCTATTTACAAAAAAAAAATAATAAAGGATGTTATGATAGAATCTTCGTTAAAAATCAATCGAGTGTTCACAAAGGCCGGATTAACATCTTTCGTAAGACTCTGGAGTTCACAATATATTCAAGTTTGAGTTCTCCTAGCCGCGACGAATTTCCTTCTCGACGTTTTTTCACGGTCCACCAGTCTGAAGCATCGTCGTCTCCGGCTTTTTAAACTCGGAAGCTCGGTAAACACTCGCGCGAGCACTCGATTACCCCGATTCGAATCGATTGACGTTGTATAAATTCCAACCGCGATGCTTTCGATCGTCATGCTTTCACGTTCCTCGTGGAAACGGATTCGACTCATCAGTTTCTGAAAAAAGAAACGTCTGAAACACGATAGGTATGTGTCCACGAGCTAACGATGTTTGCCAAGCTGTCGGTTGTCCGTTCAAAGGTTAACCTTCGCGCGCCGCGGCGGCTTTGTTCGCGTGTGCTCGTACGCGGCGAATCATCCCCGTGGTGTGGGAATAAAATCGATCGGTGAGGGGAGCCCACGAAGGGACGAGAGCCTGATCATTGTCGAACCGTGGCGACCTGTGTGCCTCGCGGGCCTTTTGCTTGGAACACCACAGACATACGTAAATTACTAGATTCAAGACAATGTTCAACATGTTTCTGCTGCATTTTTCTTTTGCATGTTTAGGAATTATTGCGATTAAAATCTAACTTATGAATTCGTTAGTCGAAGGTTAGGTGATGTAGATTAGTCCTAATCACGGGAAAATCTGTTTGTTCATTCGATATGAAAATTCTTAAAGGAAAGTGCTTTTTATTACGAAGTGTTTCGATTGTTAAGGTATTACAAAGATGAAATTACGGTTAGGAAAGACCTGTTCGTTTTCTTTTAATAATTTGAGTCTAATAATCTGTGATTATTAATGTTTTGATTCTTAGGGACACTCGCGGGGGATCTAGAATTGTTGATTCGATCGATAATCCTTTTGAGCAAAGCTAAGGGAGAGACATTAGGTGTATCAATAAGTAATTCACTGTTACTTTTTAATAAAATAAGAATAGAGTGTACATATAAAACTTTTACCCTATTGTTCTGGCGAAACGACGGCAAATATTTAAGAATTGAGACAAACATCGCTGAAACAGCATAGGCTTCAGATTTCCTGGAAACTAAGTCTGGAATTTGAAAATAAGGCGAATTACTTATTCGTACACTTAATAATAACCGTTTGGGACACGTTGACTGCTGATGTCCATAAGCATTCTCACTTCACTGAGTTTTCTTTTTGAAAGAAAATTCATTCAACTTTGTGAATCTTGTTTATATCTCTGTAAGTATCGAACAAGTTGACAGATTAAGCAAAGAACTTGTGTCCTTTTGCCTTACAAAGCCAAATTCACTATCGAATCCTTTACGTTCTGTGTATACTCCAAACATACAATTGAACGAAGCACTCGAATACATTAAACATTACAAAACATATACCATTACCCTCTACAATTCGATTCCTGACAAATAAAACCGGAGCTATTCTACTATAGGTCTTCGTGATGGTCGACACAAGGGGGTATCGTACCCCCAAGAAACACAATTATTTCAATTTCAAAATCAAAACTTCAATCACTGTTGCCTCAATGACTCGGTGGTCAACTCGTTAAATGTATTCCGAAGATAATAATTCGACGAAGGAAACAAAGAGACGATCGAAGAAAGGTGGGATATAAACGGTGATTCGAAAGGGTTAAGCGGAAGTTGTGGACGCACCGTCGTTCGCGCGAGCGTCCCCCGCGTCCTGACGCGCCCCTCTTTCACCGTACTTTCGGGTGGATCCACCTCGAAGCTACCCTACGGGCTAACTGGCACCGTCGAAACACCGTACTCGCGGACGCGGCATCTCTACTGACGTCCGTCGAGCATCGGCGACGACGACGACGAGCGTCGAGCGTCGCCACCCTCGGCGTCGGCGCCCTTCCAGGCATCGCATCCCGCGGCTGCGCCCCGTTTCCGCGTTCCTGCGTCCCCGAGTGGCCCGCCTTTTGTCTTCGTTAACCTATTCACCTTCCACCCCATGGGGCCAGGACGACGATCGAGCCGAAGGGGATTCTTGTAATCAGGCCTCGAAAATATTTTTTATCGTCGATGGTTAAAATTATTTTTCTCATGGAGTTTCATGCTGCTCTTCCTGGAAATTTGTGTTTTTTCATGGGGGTGCAAAATACGCGTTTTCGATGAGAAAAAGACTGAGGGGATTCTGATTTCTTAACCATTGTAACAAGAGATTACGAAAAACGACCATCATTGAATCTGACGTTAATTTCCAACTATCATATGTTTCTTCTGTGATAACTACAGTTGTTATATTTTATATAATTTATATAAATAATGCGGTTTTAGTTTAAATTAGGTAACAAAAATCTCGCAATAGTGAACGTCAGGCTTCTGAGTGGTTCGCATAACAATAAGGGTTGCGACCCGAGGCAGGTGGGCGATGAGTCGCAGCGGTCGTTGCGACTTGGGTTGTCAATACGGTCAGCAAACCGTCATAAACGGGGACTACCTGGACAGCTGCGCATCACGTCAAAAACATTCATTGCCCTGAGACCATTTATTTATCGTATTACGGCGCTGACTTCCAGGAATCCCAATAACAATATTTACACCAAACCCCGCCTCTTTGACGTCATACTACCGCTTTTTCCACCAATATACACTAACCAAAATCCTGAAGTTTCTACCAATCATAAGTCGATTCGCTACAACAAGCGACTACTCATACGAACATCAGACAGAACACATTCAACCGTTAACAAGAACACATCTTTCAGGACAAACACAGTTAGTACACATATACACATACATCACATTGCTACATTTACGTTCATACGAAAGTTAAGTGTATTACAAAGTAGTCTTAAATTATTCAAATCACATCATATCAGCATACACCATCAAATCATCTCTTCCAACAAGCTCCGCGGAATTAATTTACCAACGTGCAGTGGCAAATCGCGAGCTTATAGTGAGTACATCAGATCACTATGTGTTAAGGGGGATGAAATGTACATACAACGATCAGGAATAATTCAATTAATTATTACGTAAGTGTTTGTTAAACTAGAAGTGTGTGAATTCAGAAGTTCAAATTGATCGTGAACAGTGAACAAAAAAGTTGATGCGTATAGTTAAGTTCGTTTCAGTTTTTAATGAATTTCATTCCGCTTGTTAGTTCTGGTATTTTACCAAACTAAATTATGCCATAGAAGGGGACGATTTCCAGACGAAATTGTAGGGTACTTAAACTGTCTTCACGAGTGTCGCATTATTCACGCGCGTGATAATTATTCGATCGTAGGGAACTGTTGTTTATCGTAATAATTAATGGGGCGTCGCGAGGCGAGAACTACAGAGCAGTTAACGATGAAAATTACCGTCCACGGAAACGTTTCCATCCCCTTTCAGAAGAACATAAAAGCTGCTGAGATTTAATTTCAGTGGCCACGTTCTCGTTTTGTTATCCGTTGGAAAATCTGTTCCAAGAATGAATTCACGAAATGGACTGCGACGTAATTTGTCGGTTATTAATTCCATCCCCCCGCTAGCTTATAACTTCCGTTTATTGAATCAACGTCGAGAAAAAATGACAGAGTCGAAGTTCACGGTGCTCGAGAAAAAGTTTCGATCGTGATTATTTATCTTACCAATTATCCGGTGTTGTTATAGGATTGTTTTTCCAATGTCAGGAATAGCGAGTACGTTACGGAGGGCAAATTGGAAACGGAAATAGAGGAAATTGTTCCGCGAACAGGATAATGGTATCTGATAACGATCTATCAACGATTCCCGTTTTCACGCAGACAGTGGAGATCGAGTCGAGTCGATAAGAATTATTTATCTCGATGGAAACAATTTGTGTATACGTTGGTAAATGAATTATTGGCAATTTTGCATTAATATTTGACAATGGATAATGATCTGCGACTTGTGGAGTAATTAAACGAGAATAAGAATGTTCTTATTCATACATAGATCGTGGGTGTTTATACAAGGTTCCATTTTTATAGATTTTTTTACATAATTCAGACTTAACTCATTAACAGTTTATCCCGGGTGTGTTTCTGGCACATCGCATTTATCATACACGACGTAATTATTAAAACGATAAGTGAAAAAATATGTTTTTTTTATTTTTTATTATGGATAGAAGTAGTTCAGTTTTATTGTAGTAAAGAAATATATATTATTATATATTAAAATATACATTTTTTTACCACAAGTCGTAATTTTATTCGACTGTTATTGGGTTAAAGAAACGTGATACACAACACACAAGATCGAGGAATGTACCATTAGGATAATATTGATACATTCTTACCGATATACTGTTCCATTTTAATCAAGACCAGTCTTCAGCTCCTAAACAAACATCCCAGCAATTTCCCTTTCACCCTTACGAGTTTATGTCCCAAACAATACACCCGTCTGCTTTGTACATTCTGATTTACGATCTTGACATTGGGATGTTGCTCGGTCAGATGGCGCCGATAATATAAGCTTACTTTTGTAATCCAGGATTCCGTTGGCGCCCCTATTGGTCCCACCAACCGGGTGCCTCGAATCGAACCTAAAACAAAGCCGAGATAATTTAAACGATTTTACAAACCTAAGTAAACACAGGATAGAATATTATGAATCAGGAGCATTTCGAGC